GATTATTAGAGGATTTTTCTCAAGTGTGAATGTAATTTTGTTGTTTCTCTCAAGAAATCTAATGCTGTCGTGTAGTTGTTTACAATTAATAGCAAACAGGTGCAAGCTGTTTATTACCGATCATTGTATTCAAATAGCTGTGGCTCGATCGCGATGTGAGACATCGATATTATATATGTGTTTATTTGTGTATAATGATGATGGGCTTGCATACACAAAAAAAAGGTTAAGTTCATTGCGACATGCAGTATTCGCGTCTTTTGTTTGTCGAATCTTGTATCGGAATACGGCTGTGTGCATGGAACAGCCTACGTGGTGCATGCAAAGATAACAATGCTGACAATAAAGATTGTATGTGAGAAATACAGTCAGCAGTTTTTTTCTCTTTCTTCTGCTTTGTTGTTGTCTTGTATTGCTGCTTTTGTTGCTTTTAAATATTTGCGCAATCAACTTCAGTTCGTAATTCATTGCATATGAGGTATGTGACATAGACCTTCAAATGAAACAATTTTATAAATAAACTCATTTAACTGAATCGAAAGCAAGCGTGTCTGTTGGAGGTAGAGTAAGACGAAATGATGATGATGATGCGAGTGAGTGAGGAAGGGAGGTGAACGCATCACATATGTACATTAAACCAAAAGAAAGAAAAGGCAGCGCAATGAGAGACAGAGAGTGAGAGACTATATCTTGACTGGGCAACTTGCTTTTGGTTTCATTTAATACGCATCGGCATTTAAACGTGCAGCGTGCATTCAACACACGATCAACATTGTATTGCGATTTCTCGTTTTTCACCCGCAAAGTGTAATGGAATTGATTGCGATCTGAAGAGAGAACATTATTATTTATTTTATGAGCACATAATTCATATTGCTATATGTGACTCTGTTTGGCTTTGTTTGCATTCTATAATTCTTGGTTTGTTCATTGTGTTTGTGTGTATTTCACAAAGTGAAAATCCATAAGTCAAAATCCAGTGAGCCTTTTCCGAAATGCTTTAATCATTCTCTCAGTTAACGATTTTGCAAACAAATGAAATCGAATAGTCATGCATGCTACAATGTAAATATATTCTATTTTAAAACTGTGCAAAATAACAAATCTGACGAAACGAATATGCATATATTGCCATATTGGTTTTAATATTCACATGTATTGAAGTATGTGTATGTGATGTAATGATCTCTCCTTTTATAATCATAGAACGAATATTAATTGTTGCTCTTTGTTTCCCCTTATTTAATTTGTATCTGAATTATTCATAAAATCCAATTACGAGTTTTGCGCTCGCGCGCGCGTAAACACATCTATATCGAAAACGCGAGAGCGCACGAGTGAGGGAGAGAATAAAAAATAAATAAATAAAAACATACGGAAATATTAAACACATGCCGCCGTTTAACTACTGCCATTTTTGTTCTGGCTGTTGTTTATTACTGTTTTTCCTCTATGCTTGTCTCCGTTGCTGGTAATGAATATTCTGTCGCGATGCAAATTGACATGATAAGGCATGTGTAAAACAATATAGCGTTGTCTCATTACTTGCAGCGATGGTATGCACTTGATCAAAATGTGTGTTTGAAATCATGATGAACAGCAACAACAGACGCATCAAAGACAAAGACAACGACAACAGCAATGATGTCGTTGATTCATCCAATCACTAAACTAAACGATTTCGCAGTGTCTCTCTCAGTTATCAAAATAATTAGCGAGAAAAAAAAAATGGAGAGAGAAAAAAACCGCATAAATTGCAAAGAAACTGTGACATTTGTCACAATCGTATGTATCAAATTAAAATTGCGTTTTTTGCAAATCCTTAAACGTTTCCTGTAGTTGATCTCAGCGATACAGAAATATATTTTCTGGCACAAAATTTTGTATCGTGCTTTATGTGTAGTCCTGTCAATGCCAAATGCAAACAAAAAAAGAGAGAAACGACAACGATGTGCTTTCCAAATATTGTTTTGTTTTTATTCTTCATTGCACGCGCCATATGCGAACAGTGCACTATAACATGGGAACGAACGGAAAATTACACAGGCACACACAGAAAACCAGGAAGTCATTTTAACCGAGCTCACATATTAACATCAGACTAGGAACAAACTGCATTCCGTGTCGTTCCATGAGTAAGTGCAGTTGAAATGCGTAGTTTTTCATTTCGTACATTTCGCGAACTCTTTGTTACTATTATCGGTCTTTTTTTCATTCGTTAAGGCCATTTTCCCCCCACTCAATCAATGTATTCATGAAACGAAGAGGATTTTATCTAAAGAACCATTTATGGGCTTGCAATTATTATTTCATAATTACAAACGAAACTGATGAGTATTGGACTTTTAATCGATCGTGCTATCGATTGCAATGATACAATACACACGTGCTGATTGTATATTTCCTCGATTTCACATTTGTGCCACACATTTGAATGTTCATTTTTAATCGTTTTTTGTATATCGATTGGTGTGTGAATTAGATTACGTGAACATAAACTTGATGTCAGACAAAAAGACTGAATTAAGTGACAAAACTGTTTTGGGTTGCACGTTTTTAACAAGTCAAGAAATAATAAGCTCACTGACTCTATGCGACTAATAACAGTGGCGTTGATGTGTTTTCTTTTTCTTTCATTCAGTCAACAGTTATTGTTTTGTTGAAAAAAAGCTTTTTTTTTTTAAATAAAAAAACGTTTGCTTCATGAACAATCGCATAGCGTTTAGTGACATGTGAGTTGTAAACGATACATTCGTTGAACAACAACGTCAACAGAAAAAAATATGCCGATAAATTATATCATTGTGCATAAATCCGAACACGTGCAGTTTGCTATTCCTTTTTTTTCTCTCTTTCTAGTTCTTGTTTTCGATCGAATTTGCTTAAATCTTTTCCTCTAATGCAACCGATACAGTCGTCATGGACATGTGATCAAAATCCCATTTAAACGTCATCGTAGAAGTAACGCGTTTTATGATATAAGTCGTTTGCAAAAAACAAACACACACACACACACATTCTTTGTCATCATCGAAAATTCCCTGTAATGCAGTTCTTATGTCAACAAAAAAAATTATGAAACCCACACAGAGTGTCATCACGATGCAAAAGCAATGGTGGCTGACATATTGCTCCTTACACACTGGATGTATATATACTTTAAACGATTATTACGGCATTGGCATCGAAGTATGTCCAATGAATTGCATTTACGTAAAATAATTTGTGCTATCGGACATTTTTGCCACGTGCTCCAAAAAACGAGTGCAGTTTTCTCCACTAAAACGTGCTCTATATTTGAAATTGCAAATAAAATGTAATAATATTAGGAAAAGATAGAAAAAAGAAACGATGCAAACCATGGCAACCATAACAAAATACCATGCAACGAACAGAATAAAAAAAACCAACAAATTCCTAGAATCGATTAATTCCGCCAACCAATTGCTATGGCTATAAATCCATTTGCTTTCATCACACGGAATGCTACATAATCTAAATATTTAGTGAGTGAGATGAGTGCAGTGCACGGATGTGAAATAGGTGTGAGTATACATTTACGTGTACTATTTCCAAAACGTAAACGGAGAAACGTGTTAATAAATGGGACACGATTACGTTGCATCTTTATCACATGTTATGTGTTCAATTCCATAATAATTTTTTGTTTGTTTGTTTCAATTTAATAAAATTATTTCTAGTCGCAATTGGTGGTTTCATAATTTTCTTCTATATACGCTTCAAATGTGTGTTTTTAAACTTGGTCAATTCTTTCTATTCAGATTTCAAATAAGTTTTTGTACAAATTTTAAGTCACATGGGACTCCATGATTTTTGAGCTATTATTGTTCTGAAGAAATTCACAAAAACAAGAGTTAAGATTCAAGATATAAAATATAAAATCATTTGCTTCATGAATGACGCGCGAAACGCTTTTTTTTTCGAATGGCGACGTCAATTGAAGACACGCGATTACATAAACCATAACCGATCTCAAAATGGATCATTTGGTGTATGATATAAAGTCATCTTATCGAATTTATTTAACGGTGCCTATTGTGAAGGCACTCCCAAAGAATTATAGTATGGAAATAAATGAAACACACGAGATAGATTAAGAAATGTATGAATGAACGGGAAAGTCACAACAAAATTTAAATGTTTTCATTTCATTTATTGTGGTTGTACGCGCGAGCCCATGAATGTGTGTGCGCGCATATGCGTTTTGCTTCATTTGTATATGTGTGTTGAGCTTCAGCTGATGTACATTTTCAAAAGAAAACCTACACACTAAATCATGTTATAAATCTTAAAAGGTATTCCACGCCACATACATGCTAATATAATGCGACACACTCGGTACAAAGTATAGAAAAACCATTTATAAATAAATAGTTAACCCAATTTACAATTTATTAGCGTAATATCTAATCAACAATGACCTATTTTGATGGTGCGTAGTATAATTATGATTGCCATTGCTTCGCTCCGCGCAATGATAAAAAAAAAGAGAATACGAAGAGAGCTGATTAATATTTACGAAAATATTTATGTATGAAAAGAGTAAATCGTAGCGATATAGTGTGCAGTCTGCACTTACAAACACATCTATTAGAGAGAAGAAGAAGTAGAATGCGTTGAATACATGAATGCAGTTCATACAAACAAAACCAAACACAGAAATATATCAGACGAAGGCTACATTTGAATGAAAAATAGTAATGTTATTACATCGGGTGATTCGTTCAAACGATGTTCGGTAGCTTAGCCGAATTCATTGCATTAAGGTCAAGAAACTGGGACATTTGTTTATTTTGAACTCACAAAGTTTGTTTCTAATTCTAATCACAATCGATTTTAATAATAATACGGAAGTATGGAATGTTGTTCAGATGTGAATTTTATTGTTCTATGATAATTTTATATCAAATACTAAAACAAGCACTTTCAATTGAGCTTTATTGATTTCATTTTTTTTCACTTCTCCATTTTCTCAACAGGTGTCACTGTGTATTGAAAGAGGCGTTCATATGAAACAGAAGCAATGTTCCATTGTTACTAAACGTACATGTACATGATAGTGAGATTTACGTGAAAAGTGAATCTCCCATTGAATATATAAATATACACATATACAGAAAGAGAGTGAGATCCAGCTAAGAAGTCGAATATACATTTATTTAAAATGCCTATCAACGGTCACGGCCAAAACATGTTGGGCAGCGGAACAAATGGCTTGCTCAACGTATGCGTTAACAATGCCACAAGCGGCAATAATACTGCCAAGGTACATTTTACATAAAACAAAAACATATTTAGTTATGAAAACCAAACAAAAAAAATTGCCCAAAAATGTGAGGAATGATTTTCTAATCGATTTTTTTTTCTGAATTCAAATTTATTTTAGACAAATAATAATAGTAATAAGAATGGTCATCGATCATCACATCAAACACATCCACATTTGAGCAATGTGTCAACATCATCATCACCAACAAGTTTTATGCATGAAAGCCATTCAAATGGTCCAATGCTCATGAGTGGCCCAATGAGTCCAAGTAGTCAAGATGAATTTTCTAGCAGCTATGATTTAAATTCCCATCTTAAACGAAAGGAATTATTCACACAGCGAAAACAACGTGAATTCATACCGGATAATAAAAAAGACGACAGCTATTGGGATCGACGACGTCGCAATAACGAAGCAGCAAAACGATCTCGAGAAAAACGACGTTATAATGATATGGTGTTGGAGCAACGTGTTGTCGAACTAACGAAAGAGAATCATGTGCTTAAAGCACAATTGGATGCAATCAAGGATAAATATAATATTTGCGGTGAGAATTTGGTGAGCGTTGAACAAATTATGGCCACACTTCCAACAACTGAACAAGTTTTAAGCATTACAAAACGACCAAAATTCAATACCAACAATGGATCACCAAGCGATTTATATCCACAGTCACCAAGTTCACCAATTCAAACATCAGTGATTCAGCAATCATCATCAGGTATGTTATTTGGTCTTGGTGTTTTACATAACATAATAAATAAATGAAAATATCTAATCGAACATATGTTTCAGGTCCAGCTTCAGTGGACTCATCATCGCCACCAGCACCTTCTTCAGTTGCACCAACAAACGCACCAACAATTGTTGCTCCAATCATAGCACAGCCACCTCAAATTCAAACGTCCGCTGTTGTCGCAGCTGCTGCTTTTGCGCATTTAAATAGTAGCTATATGGATACAACACCACAACGAAATACTTATGTAAGTACATCTAATGTTGTGAAGAAATTTGACAATAAAAAAATGCGGAAATTTTAATCGAAATCAAATGTTCTCCTCTATAGAAATACCGTGATAGCGCACCCATTGAAATCGATGGTAGACTTGAAATTTATGGTCCTCCTCGGCCGAATTTCCACAATGCTGAACACTCAAACTCGAATAGTAATATGAATGGCTGCAATGGCAACACTACTGTAAATGGTGAGTAAAAATTAAGTGAAAAATAAAAATAAAAAAAGTAACCGTCCGTTTTTCTTTTCATTCAATTCTTTTAGCACGATACAATCAACACCTTTCTCCCATTTCTCGATCCAATGCACAAACCGAACATAATCGGCATACAATGACTTCACATCAACACCTTCATCCATTGCAACATTTCGAAACAAATAATGATGTGAACAAAATCAGTCAATCGAATTCGAATTGCACTGGAAGTGATACAGACATAACTGCTGTTGATGACGATTCAAATGTGTTGAATTTGTCACGGCGCCGCAACAGTGATACAACCAATTGTAATAATAGTAATAACGGTGAGTTAAATTTGACATATCAATTCAATTCGACAAAATTTATAAATATTCACTCTGTATTTTAGGTAATCATAAAGCTAAAAATGGCAGTGTCACTCCACCACGAAGTATTTATGTGAGTATAACGATTTTAATTTAGAGCAAATTGGACAAAAAAAAAAATAATTGATTTTTTTCTTTATGGTTATAGACATCGCTCGGTAGTTCAACTTCAACCGAAGACGATCAATATAGTGTTGAAAATCAACCGATAAGTGACACAAATAATAGTTTACCGTTAAAACTACGACACAAATCGCATTTGGGCGATAAAGATGCGGCCAGCGCACTATTGGCATTGCAAAATATAAAACAAGAGCCAAATTCTCGGCTATCACCACCATGGGATGGTGAAGGATCGAGTGATGAACGTGATTCTGGTATATCAATTGGAACGGCCGAATGGGGCATTCAACGTAGCTATCCACTGAATGATCGCACCGAACCAAATCAATTACCATTGAATATTCGTTCAATGACAAAAACTTTTACGATACCATCATCGATAAATGGTATTGGTGCGGCAATTGGAAATTTGGCGGCTAATTTAAGTAGCGTTGGTGTTATGGGCGGTTTAACAATGGGCAGTGTTTTAGGTGTAAATGAAAATAGCTCGGATCGTGATGAACGAAATCATCGTTTTGGTGAGCAAAAGACATTCCGGGCACCGGTCATGTGTCATCTTGAAATAAACAGTAACACCGACGAAGGCAATGTCAAAGAAGAGAATGTCCATTTGAAAACGCAAATTGCACGACTTGAATCCGAAGTCGCATCGATCAAAAATATGATGATCTTAAACACAAACTCTGCATCGGCCACAGCGGTTCAGTAAACATTATCAGTTGTTTTATTATTATTAAAATACTATCTATTCTTTTGCTATCAAAAAAATGACGAACAACCAATTGCTGTTAACCGGATTATTAAATTTAGATTTATATTGAAGCATAGATTTGTAATTGAAATTGTAAAATTAAGATGATGAACAAAACTTATGATTAAAAAAAAAACTATTTTGTTTTGCAATTGAATATAAACAACCTATCCAAATCTGATCTTTTAGCAACACAACATTGATGAATTTCAAGCGTTCAGAAAGACATACATTTATGCGAACAATTGAATGATGCTTGCATCATTTGATGCGCATCGATTGTGCTGTCGCCATACATTCGGATCTTCGGCAGCGCACGAAGTGCTCCGAACGCACAACGAAAGCACTAGCGATGCACATCAAATGATGCAAGCATCATTCAATTGCTCTGTATGTCTTTCTGAACGCTTGATGAATTTTCCTTGGAAATTAATGTGCTTTTTCACTTTGAATTTAATGTTCCCAATTATTACGTTTTTTTTTTGTTTTCTTTATTTTTGTATTAAACAATATTAGCTAATAATTTTTAAGATTTATTTGTTATTAAAAAAACAGAAAAAAAAAATTAGCACCAGACAGAAACACACCATAATTTCTTTGTTAATAATAAATCAAGTGATTCACTGGATGCATTTTATTATTGGTATAAATATAAAAGTGAAATATTTAGTGCTGAGTTGAAGGCAATTTAATGTATTTTCTTTATGTTATGAATTAGATGAAAAAAATATAAAAGCAACATGAAACGATTACTTATTTACATTTTAAGAATTTAAGTGAATTTTTTTTGAGGAAGATGAAGAATACACACGAAGAAACAAGCTAAGGAATAACTCAACAATCATTTTGAACTGAAATTTAAACGAGATTTAATGCCAAAATACAAGAAAAATAAAGAATATCACGCACGAGACAACAATAATAAACAATTATCGCTTTGATTTGTCGCCTTAAGTTCATAGGTATGTCTCACATGTGCGTATGGTATAAAACACACACACACAAAGACACACATTTAATATTTAAATTATAAAAAACTAAAACTATGACAGAGAATTAAAATCAGAACAATTTTTGTGTAATTTAACAACATTCGTAGCATTGCGTTAATTTAGTAGAGAGAAAACTATACTGTATTTATTTTTTTAACGAATCAAGTAACAATTATATTTCCATATGAAAATAAAACGAAGAAAAAATGTGTTTACAAATATATATATATGAAGAAAAAAAACTCAAGCAAACTAGGATGAGGATAAATAAAAGAAAGAATTCTTTAAAAGGGATTAAAGTAAATCAATGTGAACACGGATGTAAAACATCAAATAAGAGTTAAGTAGAGATTAAACACAAAGAGAGTATATATAGAGATAATGTTTATGACCAGAAATAAAAAATAACTCGCTTATTATTTTCTAATGCAAATGTGAAAGTATGTAGTTGGTTTTTTATAAGAAAACAAGGAAAAGCTTTGGAATGATTCCACTGACGAATGAAGGAATGGAATTTCTATTTTATTTATTTACTTAATCTAATTTATATTAAATATAAATATATCATTCGAATAAGACAGTGTTCCTGACTCTTTTTTTTTTTTGCATTAAAAACACAATTGTTAAACACCATGTATATTGGAACGGGGAAAATGATAGGAAAATGGAACGAGTAAAAAAGAAATGGCTTTTTATGGCTATCAAAGCCAAATCATATCAAATGGAAAAAAGCGTTAATTAGCTAGCTGTGTTAAAGTTCTTTTTAAGAGACATATAATGCAATTATCATTTAAAACTGTTTTTTTTACTAATTCATTTTTTCTATTGAAGAAATCATTGATTAAAATTCCATTGTTTGTTATTTTATCATGGGCCAACTCACTCATTGCAGAAAGGAAGAAATTAAGGTGGATTTAATAAAGCTAGCTAGCTTTCAGAAGTGATAATTTGAGGAAATGAAGAAATATGGATTTGAATGTCACAATTTGATCTATATACTTTCTTCTTCTTCTTCTTCTTGGATGTGAAGGACCGAAAAAGAGTTGATTGTAAAACAACTAGATGCTTGTTTAAAACAGTAATATTGTTTATATTTTGACTATTGTACGTAATAATTAATTATGATAGAATGTAGAAAGGGAGACCATGAAAACTGTGCAAAATAGTAGAAACCTTTTCATATACAATACTTACATGAATTTTAATACTTTTTGTAGTCTTCTTTGACTGCTATTTATTACATTTATTATTGAATTTTTTTTGTGTCGAAAAAATTGATCTAAGTAGGGGATTTTGGGAAAGATGAATTATGATCTAAATGCTGGCTTAAAATGGTCATTGTTAAAATAAAGAATGGAAATATGCTTATTTTTTTAATAAAGAAAAAAAACACAGAAAATAATAATTACAATTAATTTTATAAAAGAAACCTTATTGAAATAATATTGCTATTTTTATTTTTTAATAATTCTGTTTAGCTGATATTAAACGAACGCATACACATTCTACAATATCCCCTATGCATCATGTCATTAGGGACATGGAAAAGACGTACGCGTTCGATTAATTCTCAAATTTTTTTTGTTATATTTTTATTCTTACACAATTGTAATAAACGTGGTTAAACAAAATAAAAATAAAAACCATTGAACATGTATGAACTGATACGATTGCTGTTTTTCTATCTTTCGAAACTTTACATTGTATTTGCATTAAATGTTTTCATCGCAATGGCATTTTCGGAATTGAATAAAAAAATTAAAAAATGGATTGCCTTGCAAAGTGTATATGTTTGACTATTTGTCTTACAATTTTTTTTTTTTCCTTTAACTCCTAGCGGAGCATAGGGCCTTGAGATAAGAATTCTTATCTTTCTGGTTTCTGTTGATCAATTAATAACAATAGAGAAGTACAAGTCTTACAATAGAGAAGTACAAACTCAAGTTATAAAGGAATTCACAAAGGTTTTCATTCGGAAACAATGATTTCTTTTTGAATAAACACATTTACTGTGCTATTTATTATTTCAAACTATAATCATAAAAGTGCGCCAAACTTTGTTTTGTTTCAAAAGGATTTGCTCTGTTTTTCAATTAATGTGTTCAATGCTTCTTTCAGAATCATCATATCGTTTTCACTCTTGTCGACAACGTGAAGCAAATTGTTTAGTTCAGTTTCATACTTTGTAAAATTGCAATCTTGATCCACGAATCATATTTGGACGAAATTCTTTGCATAGTCTCCGACTTGTTTTCGAACCAATTCGTAATTTTTAATTCCCAGCCCTTCGCCAGAGAAAATGCATCTTATTTGATTCGTTGGCACAATCGTTGGCTCCTAATCATTGATGAAACGATAAACAAAATCGTGTAAAAATATTGTCAATAGTTTTTGGAGTTAAAATACTCATTTACCTTTCAATTGAACGACTGAATTTGATAATCTGCATCCAAGTCTACTCACACGTTACATGTTTCCTGAAAACATTTGAATAATAAACTATATAAGTATTTTATGATGCAAACTATAAACAAAATATTGACTTGAAGATTGTTTGTTTTAAATATGGACACAAAATTAGCCGTTTTTTTGTTATTAATTCTTTTGCAAAAAATGAGCCGATATCGTCACAACCGTATTTATCTCGAAAGCGGACAATTTCTTTGGTATTTATCAAAGAATTTACAATACAATTATATCCCGAATGAAATGGTATTTTGGTTTTGTTCTACTTATAAGTATACTGTTTGATTAATTGAATTCTCTAGAATAAATACAGCGTATGATACGGTCGCACACCATAGGTTGTTTTTACATACATTTTTTGCTGTATTTTGTATGACGGTGTTTCGCTTTGAAATGCAACCTTTTCATACGCTGTTTTTATTCTATAGCAATCAATTTATTGTTTAAATCAACTTAAAGGCATTTCAATTACATTCGGCACTTTGTCCCATTGATAATATAAATTCAAACGTCAAATATTTGGTTATGTTTTTCTAACTCTTATTATTGTGTTGTTTGACGAGAAGCTTTGACATTTGTAGATTTTCACAGTCGTGATATTTTTCACATCGTGGCATTACGCTATAAATAGTTTTATTAAGAAATTCTCTAAGTTATCGAATATTTTTTATAAAAAGAAGTTAACAATGAATTATTTTAAATATAAATCAATAATGATTTATAAATAACGAGAAAGTGATAAATAACGAGAAAGAGAAAAAATACTTACCATTAGACAAAAATATAATTTTATTGATTACAGAATACTGAAGAGCATTTAGAATATGGCCTGCAATTATGGAATAAATTGCACAAAGAGACACAATTATTTCAAAGTGGAACATTTTAAGGAATGTTGGCGATAAATCTGGGTCAGCCAAAATCTTTAAAGACATTTTTGGCTGACCTAGATTTATCGCCAACATCTAAAAATTGCTTTAGAGATTTTAGAATCCAACATACAACCACATTTTGCACCAGTTGTGCTGCCTCTGCAAAATGGCCACAATCGGCAAGTGCAATTAGCCGAACAAACGATTGTGGCCATTTTGCAGAGGCAGCACAACAAATTGTTCAACATATACGCTAGCGTGGCGCTTCCATTCCATTCACTTTGTCTGTAATTCATTTTCAGGTTGAAGAGATTAGAGAAAGTTTAAAGAATTATCCAACGACGGAGGACAAAACCAAGTTTTTAAAATATCAATAGTTTAGAAAACTTGGTTTTGTCTTCCGTCGCTGGAGTATTCAAACACCATCCCAATTTGTAAATGGAAATATGTAATATTAGTGGAATTATTTTAATTAAAAATATATTTAATTTTTTACATTTTATATACATTTTTTGTGGGCACAGTGGCTACTACAACTACTGCGCAACTATTCGATCAACCGAGTTAAGCTGCACAAACTTTGGTCAGGAGATAAATGGGTGACCGCTTAGAACATCGTATATAGATGCTGAAAAAGAATTAATCCAGCGAATTTGCATCGATATTCACACAAATATTTGTAAAATGAAGGGGATAATGTATTCTCAATCCACGGGTAACTTTTACACAAATTTTTATTCTTATTTTATGGATTTGTCAACAAAAACACTATCTGAATAAAGCATAAATGTAAAAATGTGATCATCATAAAACACATTTTTTGTATCATAAGGCTGTTAGATTTTTTTTACATCGATCTAGGTCGGATTATGCGTGCGAATTTCAAAAATCATAATATTATCAAGTTGAATAATTTTTTTTTTTACTTTTAATATCGTGATCCTCTGATTCCTCTGATTCATCTGAGCGCTCCTCCTCTGAGAAACAGTCTCTGCAAAAGATCTAAGCGAAAGTAAAATTACGCATCTTTGAATCACTTTGACACAAAAATAATAACATTTATTGATGAGCTACAAGATGAAACCGAAGAAAATATTAAAGAAAACGAGAAAAGACTTGAAGAATTAAAGGAACAAATTCAACTAGAAAATCTGTTTTCAGGCCGGAAACTGCAATTGTAAGTACGTACTGCAGAAATCAAAGGTATATATCCATTCCATGCTAGATACTTACCGATTTGATAATGAATATGCAAACTACCCTTCAATCTGATAGTGATTCGTTTAAACGAAAGTTGGCAGACATCGATGATCAAGAGCTTATGAAAAAAATCAAATATGATTCATTACTCCGAATTGATATAAATAAATGTATGAATAAATTTTTTTAAACTAATGATGATAGAAAAAAGCCTGTTTTTACGTCACATTGTGTCAAGTAAGAATGATTTTTATTGAAAATAACTGCTATAGCATTCAAATTGGTTGCGACTTATTAACAGTAAAATGAATTTCGTGCCTAAATATGTTTATATGGGAACATTGTTTATTGTAATACGAATCAATTGAACATGCGTCTCAAATACACCAGGAAAAATGTTTACTTTACAAATGAATCTAATACATTTTGGGATTTCATTTGCACTTTTTTTTGTATTTTTAAAATAAATTCAAAGTAATAAAAAAAGTGTTCAAATAAAATTTCACATAAAATTCAAGAAACATTTAGAATTCACATTTATTTTCATGTGTTTCATTAATTATCTAATCGGATTTTTTCTCTCTCTCTTTTTTATACGTCACATCACAGAATTCGATATCTATTTTAAGCTATAAACACAAAAGAAAAGAAAATCATAAAATTTTTCGGAATAATAATGAACATCAAATAAAAACATCAGCATGTTGTGTACAAGTACATTCAAATATTGTTTGGATATCCAATTCAGTTATCTTTTCTTTTCTCTTTTTCTTCTTCTTTTAATCACGACAGTACTTGAAACATTCATTATTTACAAAAAACGACAACATATAATAATAATATAACTGATAACAATCTCCTAAGTATTGATTAATAATAAAATTTATGCTTACTCTATTTAGGAAATTTCGATTTTATAATATAATTCTTGTGTTTGGCTTTGCACTAAATCGATTGGAATACCAAACGAGAAAAAAAAACTCGGTTCAATTCAAAAACTGATTTCTTTGGTCAAATAAAATTGACAAATTTAAAAAAAGGTCTTATGATTTGCAAGCGAATCACATTTGATAAGCGACTGTTGTTGATGCTCAGCAACGTTTCTTTTTATGTGCTTTATTAAGTTTTCGTTTTTTCAGAATCATGTCATATAATGCTTCTAATCCCTCTTGTAGACCATCGCCGGTGATGGCACACGCCGGTTGAATGTACCAGCCTTTGAATGATGACGCTGTATTCGATGTACTTGATGAGGATGTTGACGACGATATCGTTGACGAGACATGATGCGGCGATGTTGAGCTTGACGTTGATGTTGATGTGTGCGGCGGTGGTGTGCTTGAACAATTTGACGATACATCGGTGCATTTACTATCGAGACTATTCAATCGTGTATCGACTGGCTTATGGCCAGTACTTATGTTTGCCGATACGGGCAATGTTGATGAGGACTTTATCATTTGCGATGGAATCACTGAAAACGATAGCTCATGCAAACCTAGCAATTTTTCCAATTCTTTTGGTTCTTTGGCTCCTGGCAAGTCTTGCTTGTTTGCAAATATCAGAATCGGCACACCCTGCAACAGTATTCAGTTTTATTTAATCATTTATAGTTTTATGATATCGTAACGATAAAAAAATTCGACTTACATGATTCTCTGAACACTTTGCTGTGCGCATCAACTCCATTTTGGCTTCTTCCATACGTTCTACATCTACCGAATCGACTACGAAAACTATTCCATCAGTACATCTGCAAAGAACAATCAAAATGCAAATTCTTATTTGTTTGGACATTTTTTAATTTCTTTTTGGTTATTAAAGTTTTCCTTTTTCTAAATTTTCTTTTTGGTCTGTTTCTATTTTCTTCGCATTAAACCAACAAATAGTCATCGACTACTTACCTTGTGTAGCTTCGCCAAAGTGGACGAAGTTTTTCTTGTCCTCCAACATCCCAAACAAGAAATTGTACACCTTTTGCTTTACCCAATGCACCGCGTACCTATTTGTTGACACATTTACACAAAATTAAATAACCGCTCAATTGTGCATGGAGTTTCAGTTTAAACTTTTCTTTTTGATATACCTTTTCGCAATTAAATCCAATTGTTGTAACTGTATTCAAATATTGATCTAGTTTAAGGCGATATAATGCAGTTGTCTTTCCGGCTGAATCCAAACCAAGCATAGCTATGTGCAATGTTCCCTGAATTTTCCGAAACCAAATAGAAAAAAGCAAATTTTTTATTTTTAAAAGAAACAGAAAAAAAAAAATCAAAAACAAACAGATGTCATAAAACAAAATATAAACGTCGTCAAGTTCAATGGTTTTATTGGGTCTCATTCGACTATATTGTAAAATACTTACATGTGTTGATGGTAATGAGTCTAGGATGGTTCCATTTTTGCCCATTGTTGCGCCCATTTTTGCAATTAAAGTCTCTTTTAGTGTCGACGAATGTCGTTTCACAAAGTTTTAAATAAACTATCCAAATGCGGTTCTCAAACTCACAACTAATTAGCTCGAAAATGTCGAATAATTTAATCGGGTGTTGTATGTATCATTTTTCAATGGAGTAAAGACATATCTTTTGAGCAAAGTTGAATGGTATCTAGAAAATATCGAAAAGAATGAGATAGAAAGCAAGAAAAAATAAATAAATAAATTGGTTAATATTCATTCAACTAGATGTATATAGAAACGATTTTGATATAAAATTTGTTTCGAATAATACGATGCTATTTGATACAAACACACATATTAAATGTTATCTCGTGCTGCACATTTTAACTCCCACAAAAATTGAATAATTTAAACTCAACATTATATCGACTCGTACGGATCGCATTTGAAGCAAAATAAACGAATGAACGTAAACTACATTGAAAAGTGCCAATTACAAATGAAGTGAAATGGTATTGAAAAAGGGAAGGAAGGGAAAATTATGTGAAAACAAACAGAGAAAGAGAAGAGGCGACATGAAATGAATACATGAATAAATGCCAAAGTAAGTAATAGTAGCTGATCTCGTCGCTGTTGCTCTTCTGTGATGTATCCGCATATAACAGAATATCATCACAACGGAGCGTATAAATTCAGAGTCATATTTCGTTGTCTTGTTCATCATCATCATGATGATGAGAGCCGCATATAATAAAAACTTCAAGTTTATAGATTATTAAATGGAGAAAACCGCTAGAGAAAGCGAATCAATATTGAATAATAGCATGTATATGTCTTTTAATATTCTAGCCAACTAACTGTTTGATGCTCAGACCTGTATATCGGTCATTGCACGAGACAAGTTTCATCGCATTACTGACCAATTGTTCAATGATATCCATCTGCGTATCCTATGGATACTACTTTTAATGTATAAAAATGTATAAAAGAGCATATAATTGCCTCTTCCTTTACAAATACCCATCATCTTCGTTTATCCGCCTCTATCTCACTTTATCTCGCAATATTTATCTTTCTATCTTTCTATCCTTCAATATCTCTCTCTCTCTCTAACAATCTCTTTCTCTTCGGCATATAATGAGTTTTTGCAGCAATTCATACGTACATAGCATGTTAAATTACGATTGAGAGAAAAACGAAATGTATATATACACATTTTTTCTCTCTACTGAAACATACATTTCAAGTCGAATGATATTTTCACCAATGTGCCACTTATTGATATGACCGTCGACGAATATCACATTTTAATCAATGAGATGAAAGACATTGATAGAACATTTCAAACAAGATGACCGGTGAAGTTTGATAATTTATGGAAATGAATCAAAGCGTATAATTGAATTGTAGTGATGATAACAACATCACTAATCGTCGAAATGTGTATTGGGTTTTTCAATGATTCGACGAAATTCATCTTTGTCATGAACTTGTTTTCACTGCACCTTTTTTCCGTCTCTCTTTTCATTTTTTGGTGCTCTCTTTTTGCTCCTACGGTACACATCTTTATGTATGTAACATTTTGTGAACGAATCGAAGATTTTGTTTATATACTTATTCGTAGATTTTTTTTCTTCATCTCTTCGTATCTTTTTTTCTCTTCTTCTCAATTTTCACTGTGTCTTTTTCTTACCTGTCTCGTGATTGGCAGGCCAAAAGGGTATTCCTATCGCAGACTTTATTCGAATAAGGAATAAAAAAACAATCGATAATATTGCATCAAATAATCTGTGTTTCTTTTTCGTTTGATGGTTTCTGAGAATGTCTTCTTTCGTTCAGCACATCGAAAACTCAATAGCTAAACCACATTTATCAAAACACTTGAATTCTCTTTCGCATCGCTTTCAAGCAGAAAAACGTAAAACATTTTCGTCGCACAAAAATCATTTAATGTAGTTAAATTTGCCCTATTAGTGAATAACTCAACAATACAACTAAGCTTGCTTGAACTTCACCATTGCACACATTATTCAATCGAATGACAGTTTTGATTGTAAAATTATTTTTGATAATTTTCCCATCGAATATTTATAAAAATCTTCTTTTTGTTATTTGTCTCACACACAAAAAAATTGCACAATTTTTCAAATTCGGATTTGAAGAGTTCGTAAGACACCAGCAGTTTTAAAGTTCTCTTCTATGGAACAATTTTATTATTATTTTTTGTCACTGACGACGACGATATTCATTTTTCAATACAGATATTGAATAGTTACGTTAATAAACAACAACAACAATCAAAATAATAAAAGCCAAATGAATTTTATGTGTCGACTTGAATTAACAAATTGCTTCGTATGCGTTTCTACTTGGTCTGCTGCCACTGTTGAGTATATATGGTTTTTATTTTCATTTTTATGATGTTTATGTGGTTGGAACTGTATTTGAGTGTAGACAGTGGTGCACGTCACAGTGTTAGTGCACATTGATGTATGTGTATTGTGAGCGATATTTCGGATTTCTCATTTTGGCCCGATTTTTGTTCACTCAACTCTATTATTGTTGGCCGCACCGATTTTATTTCTCTTCACATCAACAACAACAATGACGACCGTACCAGCATCCATATAGACCTATATCGTTTAAATATGTATGGATTATGGTGGCACCTTCACACACATTCGAGCATTTGTGAATGAAAATGCGAATCATAAGAGAGGAAAGAAAAAAAAAACAATACCAATCGCTCGCAGCACATACAGACACATACTCTCGTTTATAAATTGAACGTTTGTGTGTTGGTGTTTTAGTATGTGAATCAAACCCTAAATGTTTTCTACTGTATTTTCGTTTAACGCATGCGTGATTTTATTTGTATTAAAGTATGGTTCAGTGCACGCATACATGTTCATTTCCTTTCGCATTCGTTTACTGGGATAGCGGTGCAACCGTTTTTTTCTCGAACGAATTTTCATTTATTCACATGATTTGCATTAAATTTTCGAACGAAAATCCATGTTATAAATCAATTTTAATAATATCATGTGTACATTTTTTTTCACGGACTTTTGTTTGCATGAGAAAAACACACCAAATATTATATGGCACAGAGATCATTCACGCAAACTCGCTATCTTAGAATCGTCAACCGTTCGTTGAATACCAAACATATACTCCCCTCTCTTTCAGTCAAAAGACATCGATGTTTTTGTGATATCCCGTTTGAAGTACTGTGCGTTAAAAAAACGATTTATTTTCTCTCTATATCTCTGTGATCTCATGAGCAAAACATTAACAATTTACACAAAAAAAAGCACGTAGCCCGTAATAATTTACTCGTTATTTAAGTTGTTCTAGATGCGTCACATCATGAAATATGAATTTTTCTTTATAACAATTATTACAATTACTCAATCCATTCCACTTGAATTCAACACATTATTTCATAAGATCATGTTGAGCAATTAACACTCTCTATCCAAATGGTCATTTTAAAATCATAACGGACGTGTGTGAACAAGTATTCGGACGATGTTCACTGTTATTACCGTTTCGTCTCTTTCATAGATGTCATTTCGAAAAATGAAAACACTCTAACCTCAAACATTTGACAGATATCAATGATTTACCTTGCACCAACGTTATTTGTTTTTCTATACACTACTCACTTTTTTTTATTATATATTTATGACGATTTTAAATATGGTTATCTGATAGATAATCGAAATATATTGACACTGATACACATAAAAAAACGATAGAATCTTGTTGGTGTAAAGTGTAGAAAAAAAAAGTCACACAACGAGACAGATAAGAAGAATATATTTGGTATTTAAAATAAAAAAAAAGAACGTCGAAATAGTTTTGCGAAATGCCTAAGCTAGAAGTACTTCAAGTGTTGGTTGGACATAAAGGCCGTGTATGGGGTGCTACATGGAATCCATTGAACACAGCGATAGCAACGTAAGTTTTAATTTATGAAAAAGATTATCTGTATGTATTGCATGTGCAAATCGCATTGCTAATCGCATGGTATCATTCATTTCAATATACTTAGATGTGGCGAAGACAAAACCATACGCATTTGGTCACAAGATAGCAATAACAAATGGGTAACAAAAACAATACTTTCGGATGGTCATACACGAACGATACGTAGTGTATCTTGGTCATGGAATGGTAATTTATTGGCGTCAGCCAGTTTTGATGCGACCACCGCCATTTGGGATAAGAAAACTGGCGAATTCGAATGCAGTGCCACATTAGAAGGTCATGAAAATGAAGTGAAAAGTGTTGCATGGTCACGATCGGGTAATTTATTGGCCACATGTAGTCGTGATAAATCGGTATGGATTTGGGAGGTGATTGGTGACGATGAATTCGAATGTGCCGCCGTTTTAAATGCACACACACAAGATGTTAAGAAAGTTGATTGGCATCCAGAATTGGATATTTTAGCATCGGCCAGTTATGATAATACAATTAAATTGTACGTTGAAGATCCAGCCGATAATGATTGGACATGTTTAGACACACTAAATGGCCACACATCGACCGTATGGAGTATATCATTTGATAAAAGTGGTAAACGTTAGGGGCAAATCACTTAAAAATTACTTATTAATTATTATAGATTGTTTTACGATTATTTTCCGATTACTTATCGATTATTTTAAATTTTATTCTTTTCTTTTGTGATTCTCCCCTTAGGTAAACGTTTAGCGTCTTGTAGTGATGATCGTACGGTACGCATATGGCAAGCATACGAACCGGGAAATGAAGAGGGAATCGCCACACCAGATAAAACAACCGTTTGGAAATGTGTTTGCACTTTGTCCGGATATCATACACGTAGCATATACGACATTAGCTGGTGTAAATTAACAGGTAATGAACACACATTCTTTCTTTAGTCACATCAATTATTCATTAATTCAATTTAAAACAAAATCCCAAACCAGGTTTGATTGCAACTGCAGGTGGAGACGATATGATTAGGATTTTCAAGGAAACAGACGATTCGAATAAAAACGAACCAAATTTTGAATTAGTTCTGGTTGGGCATCGAGCACATACACAAGATGTCAATACGGTTGCATGGTGTCCACATACAGCCGGCCTTTTACTCTCTACAAGTGATGATGGTGAAGTCAAAGTATGGAAATTCACCGAATAGCTTCCACAATGTTTATGAAATGTAAATGCAAATCGACTTAGGAATTTTTGAATGTAAAACCATTTCTGTTAATAATATTAGAAATGAATGAATAAACATATTTTTATGCAATGCTAAATGGTTTACGGTTTACAAAACGTTGACAAAATGAAACTAATTTTGGTTTTTTGTTTTATTTCATTGCGAAAATCTTGATCAAATGTGCATGTTTCAAACGCATTCCAATTAACATTTTTGCTATAAAATGTTCAACACTTCTGAAGCAGGTTTAACTACCGGAAATGCCAGAATATTGACATAGAAAAAAAACACATTGTTTTAAAGTAAAATGAGTGTACGCTGTACGTATATTCAGTTGCTCTAGTTTTGGTCTCCCTTTAAAATTGGCCTTATTTACTTGCAAATCCAACACATTGGGGTGTTTTCGAATATTCCAAATTGATGAATGCTATTTAAAAGTGTATTTATTTAAAATTTTCTCTTTTGTTTCGTCCTCTTTGCGTGTGTGTGTGCAACGTCTATAATGCATTAGCTAAAACGCAAATCGCATTTGGTTCCTATCAGTCAAATTGGGTCCTAATTATTGGAAGAAAAAAAAGGAAAATCTTAACGAGTGTGATATATTAACACATCAATAAAACACGATTAATCATAATAAAATGCATAGAAAAAGTAGCTTATCATTATCGAATACAAATTCGACTCTTTAATCGATAGAAATTTCGTTGCACAATTATGACCTTCCATGCGCCTGAATGAAACTGATTCCTTTGGCCAAATGAGAATATGCCATTTGATACATACGAAAGCGAAAAAAAAAATATTTCAGCTTGGAATACATTTCACGTGACACTCAATCAAACGGGAGGGTCTGTCCAAACAACAATTCACATGCTCAACAGTAAAGTACCGCGTTTATTATTCGGTATTATTGTAACACGCGATAAACTTTCGCATAGTTTTCACATTTCAATAGTATCCATTCTATTCCTTTCTATCTCTCACCTTGATCGAGCTTTTATACTTTACTTCGTTCGTTCTTTTCTCAACGGTATGTGCCTTAGTCAAAATTGGAGTGTCCACCAGCCAGGATTACTTTCTACAAAACTCGTTCGCACCCATTCGTTCAGTGGATATAACATTTTAACGAACATTTTTGAATAGTTTCAGCCAGTGCTAGTTACGTTTCTTGAGCGATTCATGCGAAAGAAAATGACAAAAAACGGAAAATTATAAAATGAACATTTTAATTATTCCATTTTAAAATTGATAGTCTCTCCTCTGATCCGGATTGTCTTCCGTAATACGAATTTATATTTCAAACTATGTGAGATCCATTTAATAACCGAATTTACAAAATAAAAAAAAAAAACGATTACGTTTTTATCAAAAAGTAAAACGGCCAAAGCGATAGAATCAACATCATCATGGATTGGATGCATTCAAGCAGTTTAAATAGGTAAATTTATTCTTATCTTAATTTTGAGTCTCTTCATGTCACATGTTTAAATTGCATTTTAATAATTGCATATGCACTATGAATTGGACACATTTTTTGTTGTTTTTTTTTTACCGAAATGTCGTGAATGCAACTGTGGATCAGAACATAAATTATTCAATAATGATGTGAATTTCGTTTAAAAATTGCATTTTAAAAGTATTCGACAATTTGTGAAGTGTGATGGTAAAGCGATTGGATTTATTGAATGTGAGAGCGTTTGAGGGTGGCCTCGGTCGTCAACGCTTTTTCATCAAGGTGAAATTTGTGTGTATATGACCTGTGGCACTTTTTCTTCTTCGCGTATATTGTAAATTAATTAGAAACTGTGTGGTTTCAAGGTTTTACTTTCGCCCTCTCTCTCTCTCTCTCACCCTGTTCCTGTATTCGATCAAATTATTCAGTTGTCGCTTTTACAGTTGTTTGCTGTGTCAGTTTAGTGGTGATGGTCAACAGTTGCGTGCATGTAATCTGGTTTTGATAGACTGGCTCCCTTTCGAGCACATATAATTTATCCACAAGAATCTATTAGTTCGATGATATTAAACTCAAATTCAATTAACACTATAGCCGTGTGTACCTGTTAGCTGGATGTTAATTTGAATTGACCAACAACAGCAGGTGACGAAAATGAATAAGAAGAAGAAAAAAATAGAAGACGGAGTGAACCACATGGAAAATATTATTTTCGGTCATTTACGTAAAAGTGGGTCAATGTTTCAGGTGCAACGGTTCAATAGTCTTGAGTGTTGTGCCTTATGCTCCTTAAGTCAAACCATAATTTCGGAATCATTTTCGTATTTGTTTTACGACTTTATACGTATAATTGCTTCTAATTTATTCACGCTTATATTAATTTTGTTTCCTTTTGTTTTGTTTTTGTCGTTAAAAAATGTTCGCAACGAGGGTCATCTGTGTGTGTGTGTCGATTTCGCGATGCTTTTCACATAAATATTTCTATAGGTGGTGTACCTCATGACACATCAAAAGTTTCATTTCAAATTCCGATGACTACATACTTTAACTCGAATATTTTCATGGTCATACCTATATAAACAGCATGTGTCTATGCAATGCAAACATATTTAGCGGAATTCAGTTTGAATATCGAATTTCAAATGCCTTTATCGTTTGGTCGGCAATGACACTGAGATTATTCTGAAATTTGAATTTTCGTCAATTGTCCAACATTTAAGATTGGTTTCGATAACACCTACAAATAAATTCATAAACCGAAAATTGACTACCGTTTTCGAATGGATTGTCGAAGAAATAAGAATCGACGAAATCAGCTTCGTTTTGAGTAAGTATAATTTTTTTTTTCGTTGCATAAATCTGTCCTTCAGAGGCGCGGGAAAATTGTTTCAACAAAGTTTTGTTGTTGAATAGCGAAAAAAAATCGACTAATAACAGACAATGTCCATTATGCTAATTTCCAATTTAACATTATTTCCATGAATATATGCGCAATTCAACTTTTCAAAGAACTTAGACAAGGAAATTGAATCTAGTAAATATACCAAACATCTTTTTAATACCGAAGTTAAGCAATGCAATATTTGGGATTGGCACTGTATGCAACGTACATTTTGACATAATTGATTTAATGGATTGGTTGTAAAAAGACGGTTAAATTTTGAACAAATAATAATAATAGCGTCGATTTCATTTTTCCGTTTTATGGAAACAAATATTTCATACAGGCATGCTTATTTTCAAGGTTCTAGCGGACAATTTAATTGAAACGATGCTCCAGTTTCACATTTTTTTTGAAAAGAGATATCAATTTTTTATTAGAAAAATGCTTCACTAAATTCACACACCATTTAAATATTGGCCCCAATATTGTCACCAACTGTTTGTCAGTGCGAATATCGTATAAATCGGTTTTATAATGTGACGTGATAGACTTGTGGATATAATAAACATTCATTGAATTATCGTGATTGCGCGTATACATCGCATTGTAGTTTTGAATTTTGGCGTGATAGTGATAATACAAAAGTTTGTAAATTATTCTCGTTAAATTACGTGAACAAATCGATTTCATGTTAAAAACAAAGTTTCAATTTCTCAAGTTCTCAAGTTGAAATTAGATTTATTTTTCACTGTGCATACTGTAGTAATACGACGAAAGGTTTCAAAGTGAAATAAAAAAAACGGCCAATTATTGTTCAAAACTACATTCGTGTTAATTATTAAAATTACGATTATTACATTCAACGGTAAAACAAACCGTCAGAACTGACGAATGAATTTATAGTAACTTTTCAAACTACAAATCACAACCAATTATATCACGTAGTTAGGTTGATAAAACAAATATGTGCGTTGCCAATGAAAATATAGCTTATTTATTATTTGTTTTCTTTTTCTTTTGTTTCATCAATTTTCGTTTTTTCAGAAAGAGACACCGAAAACGGTCACCTTTCGGATGTGGAAAATCCACATCGGAACCAAATCTTATCACAAGTAAGTTGCAATTTTCTTTGCTGATCAGGTGTTGTTTTATTTTTTTTTTAATTTTTATTTGATAGGCCATTTCACGCCAAGATTTCCGGATAATTTATCGCATCTCATTCATGAATATGTATCGGTTGATGAGTTGAAATTTTATCGCAAACGAAGACCACCAAATATTGACGATGGTAAATATACACACACACTCTCTCAATTGTTTTACAAATCCTGAATAGTTTAATTGATAAATTTTTGTTAAAAGAATTTCACAGTAAAGACAGTATATGTCTCTATGATAAAAGTCAGCCAATAATTCCATTTTCCGCCATAAAATCGGAATATACCAAAAAATTCGGAAAAATTTACAGCCCAAGAAGCAGATCGGTTCCAAATAAATTCGACCTGAATGCCACAACCAAAGAGCTATTAGATGCACTTCGTGACGATTCCAGTGATTTTACACCCGTCGACCGTCGTCGAAGGTAAATTTTGTATGACATTTTATGAGCAAACTTTAATATATATAAATGTATTAGAGCCAAAACAGCCAAGATATCTGGTGAAATTGAAATTGAAGGTGTCAACGGATTTCTTGAGAATGAATCAACAGAAGTGAGTGCAAAGATAGATAAAGAATCAAGTGCAATTGAACGTCAACAAGACACGCGACGCACATTCAAAGTTCAAGGTGAACTGTCTTATTCGTCTAGCGATAACAAGGGTGAATTCAAAGGACAAGCGATGGAACGTTCAGAATCAAATCCACAATTGAGTAATATTAAAATTTTGGGACGATTTCATGGTACACCTGAATATCATGACAGCTTTAAGGCCTATAATCATTTCACCAAAAGTGCACCGATCAAAGCAAATGATCATTTACGTGTGAGTCCAACCGTTTTGAATACAGCAATTGTTACGCCAAATATATCATCGTTGTCCGAATATACGGATCAATTCAAAGAGCTAAAACTTCATAGCGTCGCTCGAACAAAACATTCAAAATCAACGGGCAGCGTCACCGCACGTAATAATCTAATGATTGGACATTCTGATCAACATGTGTTCCCCGAGTATTTTGAAAACTATCAAAATCCACAAATTAAAAAACTGCCCGAACGGCCAAAGCCACGTTCGCCCATTCTTCAAATGAATGGTAGCATGGACTATAATCCCGAATATCGGTATGACAATTAACAACACAATTTGAAGAAATTCCTAAAAAAAAATATTTTTTTCTTTCTTTTAATTCTTGTTCAGCGTTAAATTCACCGAATTTCCACGTCAACGGCCGATCATACGAAAACCGGAATCGTATTTTGATTTTTTTGACCGGCCACGTAAATCGTCACCCATCCAACAAGCAATTATTACGCCAAAATTTAATCCAAATCCCCATATGGCCATTGTTGAACCATCACAAAATATACATCAACCGCCAACAATTGATAAAAATCCATTTTATTTATGTCAACCGGAAGTTCGAAAAGCACGACGAGAAATTTTGATTAAAAAACGACCAACATCACCGAGACAAACAATTTCAGCGGCGGTCAGAAGTACAGGTCGCATTTTAACCACAAATGAAGATGACGAAAATCGAAGCTACAACGAACGCAGTCGCATTGTTAAATCGCCGATTAAACCGCCAATACAAGTTACCATAGAAAATGTTGATGAACCAAGAGAAAAACCAACTATTATTAACATGGACAATAGAATTACATCGAAATATGGTAGACGATCATCGATGCATGTTACCGATGTCAACGGAAATTTACAGACAAAACGTAATGCTAGCAAAATAATTGAAGGCAACCATGAATATGCACCGAAAAAGAAAACTTCAATAACATCTACAACGACCACTGATGACGAATATGTTAACCGTGGCCGAAAGATGATGCACAGCCAAAGTTTGGAGCAACCATCATTTGTAATTCTTAATGATCCTATTAAACACAACAAATGGATGAAATCTTCCTGGTATCTGTAAATCATATCCTCGTGATGATAAAACTAATAATTATGTCGTTGAAATATTTGTCTATACATTAAAATTCAAAAACACATCAATGATTTACAGTTGAATTTTATTTAATTCAAAACATAAATATTTTTTATTTTATTGAGAGAATGAAACAACTGTGAAATGTCTTAATTTTTTCGTTATTTGTGTAAATACAAAAAAAAAGAATAAATGTTTGAATAGAATGGTAGTCGTTTGTAGCAAAATAAAAACTATTTTTTAGTACCTTCAATCATTAAGTTCAAAGTAATCCACAACTTGATTGAATATAATAGAATTTAGGTAAATTCACTGTTGCAGGCTTCATTTTGAGAAAATGTTCGTTTTTGTTACAATAATTAAAACAACATGTAAAATTACAAGAATCAAATATTCTGCAGGACACATCTGGGCCCATTGTAAGCATTTATTTCACTGTCGAGTCAATGTATTCAGTCAGTTGCTCACATGAACTCTGAGTCAAACTCACATTTGTTCCACCAAATGATATTGTATCTAAAATGAAATGATCATAAAATCACTAAATATTTAATGCATTTTAATAAGAATTATATACTTGTTTCCACTTACATTTCGAGACTAAAATCCACAAATACTTGCTTCGTTACGCTCACGGCTGTTGTATGTTCAGTTGATATATAGCTGTCGCAATTTGAACGGCATTGTTCAGTTTTTCATTTGTTGCCAAAGTTTCGTCTCTGATTATTTTATTGATTGAAAATCTCAGCAGATTTTTCACATGCACTTGTTTGTATATATTTTTTCCAATAACAAAAACCATTGTTGTTCCCCAGTCTCGTTTGGTGATAGTTATCTTTCGTTGCTTTTTCGTCAGTTGTTCATCGCGGATGATAATTGCCGGCCACCACTTATTCGATGTATATGTATAAACAATATCGCCATATCTGTTACTCGTGGCACATTGTTGACACTCTGATTTGTCACCATTGCAGTTCTTATGGAATGCGTTGGCACATTTTGTACATTTCACCAAATTTCTTGACCATTTCAAACAAAATGTGCACACTGACATTTTCTTCTCGATGATTTTGCGGTGTGTGCCACACACCAATTGTGATTTAGATAACAGCAATGCACCAATTGGTATATTTGTCGAATTATACACTGCTTGACACTCAACGCATTCAATACGATCTTCTCTGAATGGGGTGTCACACGTCGTTAAATTCGTACAATTATTGTTCATGTCAACCGGATTATTGTTCAACAATCGGCATTGTGGGCTTCTGCATACTTGTGTGGCGGTGCCATTTTTAATTGAACTGTGATGATTTGTTTTGGTTTGTTGCTCAATTCGCGTCCAATCGATGTTCCGTTCATGTTTTTTCATGCATTTTCGATGAAATGTTTTTTCACATGAACCACCGCACAAAAGCAATTCACCCGGTTCCAAGCAATGATCACAAACTCTAATACAATCGGGAATGGTGAGTTGAATTTTCATTGCAATTGACTGCATTTCGTCTATTGACATTTTAAATGAATCATATTGAAGTTGATAATATAAATTGTACATCGCCAATATGACATTTTTTTTGTTTTTTGATTCTTTTATTCGTTTCAATAGTCCATCATAGTTGCGATTTGTTCCCTCGTCTAAAATATGTTTCAACTCCTGGGAAACGAATTTTTGTCGTGAATTGGTGCATTCAATCGCATTCATAAGTTCTTCAATCGATTGTCGACAATTGTATTGCCGAATTAATGCGAGTGTTCCTATAGATGATAGTTTACACTTTTGTCTGGTTTCGACTAATGTACTACGGGTTTTTGACAAGTATTTTCCATTTATTGATATCACAGTTTCGTCGATCAAATTTTGTACTTCAGCTATGTCACCTGTAGATGTTCAATTTATTGGAAAAAAAAAATGATGAGCAACAACATAAACGCCATCGAAAATGACTTAAACTTACCATTTAAAATATTTTGCACAATAACAGGTGTATCCAAGGTATGATTATGTTTTATCCAAACAATATCGCCAATATAACATTTTTGCCCATTTTCCACTTGACTCGCATCAATAATGATATAGTTTTCAGCATTATTGTTTGAATCATCAGCGGGAGTAATACTGGATCGTCTTGTATTTACCTAAGGGGAGAATCACAAAAGAAAAGAATAAAATTTAAAATAATCGATAAGTAATCGGAAAATAATCGGAAAATAATCGTAAAACAATCAATAATAATTAATAAGTAATTTTTGTATTTACCATTTTGAACTCGTTTCCGCAAATTAATTTATAAATTTCGGAAAGAAAAATTAATGATAAAAAAAAATTAATATAAAACAATAAAATATAGATAAAACAATTGACAATGGATATTTTATGAAGTTCACTTTACAACGGGAAGAGAACGAATGAAAAAAGACAACGGAAATACCATATTTGCTTGTGTTTTAAGTAAAAGACATCGGAAATACCATATTTGCATATGTTTTAAGTATTCTATCAATACTTTCATAATTTAAGTATGCAATCATCTGTGCGAAAAATCAAATATTCATGTTGTATGCCTGTATGAACGGGGTCAATATGATGTATTGGTGTTATAGTACTGTTACTGGTGTGCACACCGATATGGGCCGATTTGAAATAAATCATGACAGTTTCTATCCAAATCATTTAAAATGAAAAACAAAAAAAAAAAACGCAACGCTTTGTGAGTAAGTATGTAAATTTATTGGATCCAAAATCGACGAACTATTGATATCTTGTTTATTAAAATTGAACATACATTTCTGGATAATTTTTTGCTTATCCAACAATACTAAAAAAAATCGTATTTGTACTTTATTCTTTTTATATAAAACACATGATTTAATCCGTTAAAATGTTAATTTTTCTGTTATAAGTAGAAAAAAACCTGATTTCATTCCCATTGGTTGTTGTAAGTATTAAAATGTCTGAATGATATTGTTCAATTATATCTGAAGACAATCTTTACAAATCAGAATGTCTTGTGATATAATGCAAAGAGCACAGATTGTGTGTTTGTATATGCTGTGGTTCAAATTGCTTTCCAATCATAATTTCGAATTAACAATTGAATTTGATCCAAACAAATGAATCATAGTCAAAATCAATACCCGGACTTTGAACTGTGTATTATAAATCAAGCTGCTGAATAAATCTACGTTTGATATCAATAATCAATATTTTCTTGTCAACTTCTTTGGGTCCAAACGGATACACTTCATACGAATAATCGACGATTTATCGTCGACGATGTCGAGTACGATCGCGAGAACAACTTCGTGATCTGCTTGAAACACTGCGAGATTTACTACTATGCGATCGATGTCTTCGTGGCGAACCATATCTTCGTGATGAATGTCCCGATGAATACGAACTGCTTTTGCTCGATGATTTGGAAGAATGTGATCGAGATCTGAAAACAATGATCAATCAGAGAATATGCGATTTACAACCGAATTTCTAGATAGATTCTTCTTACTTTGATCTGGACCTTCTGGTGGAACTTGACGAAGACGATTCAGATGTTGACTTGGATCTAGAGCGACGCTTTGATTTGTGTGTTTCGCCGCTTTTCTTTTGATTCGATGAATTTTTCTCGACATCAGATTCACTGTCGAACAGTCGATATTTCGATAGGTCACTATCAGAATCGTCTTCGTCATCATCACTTTCATTGTCGCTTTCTTTCTTATCGGATTCATCCTTTTTCGATCGTTTACTGCAAATCACAAATTATGTTTATTAATGCCAATTGATTAAAAAAAAAAACAATAATTTTTAGAACAAACCTTCGACTGCTACTTTCATTTCTGTCACTGCTTGAATCGTCTCGACGACCTGTTCGATTCTCTTCATCGCGTTTTCTTTTTCGTCGGCCAAATTCATCGAATTCATCATCTGAATCTTCTTTATGCTCTTTGTATTCTACTACACCGCGATCATTATAGCCACCACCATAGCCTATCAATGCACATTTTTTAAAAAAAATATTGTCATTAATCATCCTGCAATGCCACATAATGGTTTAACTTCACACCTTATCGGACTCACCAGTTCGTTCTTCCGTGTCTGATACTTTTGGTGCACTACAGACGTTGCAATTTTTTCGGCGCTGCCAATTAACATTGCTGCATCGATTACAAATCCAATCATCCGCACTGAAAAAAGAGCGAAACAATTTTGATTAAAATGTGATATCACGATACTTATTTGATCTTGACACAAAAATTGATTACAATGAGATGAAGAAGAAAAAAAAACTTACTTGAAAAGACCGCGACTTTTATCGGCGGCTACTTTTCCAAGTTCGACGCCATTCTTTTTTCGTCCAATTGAATCTTGTGCACGCTCTTTACTACATCGATTGCATTGTGTGCGACGGGCAAAGTTAAGATTTTTACAACTGAAGTCATATCGTTCGGTCGTTGATAACAAAATAGTCACAGTGAAAAGAATGTGAAAAATATAATTATTTCGAAGTGTTCAACAATCATAATATTTATTTGATTTTTGCTCAAATTAATTTTAACACAATTAATAACAATCGATTTTAATTCCGCACACGGAGCATCAATTTCCTTACTCGGGATTACTGCATATCCAATCACCGTCAACCATTTTTAGTGTACCTTTTACACTTTTGCTATCACCGTCTGAGTTGTACATTTTTTTATTTTGGATTATTATTTTCCTTTTGGGGTCACATTTGTTTCATTTATATTCGATAAAATAATTCTGTTGTCGTGACTGAATTCGAATTTTTCACTATTTGCATGCGTTGGTTTTAGATCAAAACTTTTTGAAAGTGAATTTTCTTTTGTAGTGATTATAAAATCAAGCAAACTATTCAAACATTAATTTCTATAGTGGAATACTTGTCGAAAAATGAGACTGGATTTTGTGAATGCGCTTTAAAAACACGAAGTTTTAACTTTGTTTGTGACAGCTTATACAAGCGAGGATGTCTTCAATAAATACCAATTTCATTGTAGACACACATTTCATACGGCAACACACACATGCAAATTTTAAATGATCTTTGAATTTGCAGAAATTGAAATTAATTCGGAGGCTGAAAGCACCCATCTTTTATCAAATAAACCGATGAAAAAATCTTCTTTTTTTTATTTTTGCGAAAATTAATTTTATCTGCAATCCAATTTTCCTTCCTATATTTCGATTTTATTGAGTTTTTTCATGTTTAATTTAAATATGGCCACACCAAACTTCTTTATTTTCAATTGAAAACTATATGCACTATGGCGAATACATTCTTATTCTTCAATGAATTGAAACATTTGAAAAAATAATTCAAATTCCACCGAAATGATGGTTTTATTCTGAAATAAAACGTTACGAATTGAGAATTAAACATTGCATTGGTTTCACATCAAACTAATTGATATTTTGACAACATTTTTAATGTCATCAATTCATTCAATTTTTTTGGCGCACTTTTCGAAGATGTGTCGTTTTTTAGAGTTTTCAAAGGAAACAATGGAATAGAATCATATTGAGTATTTATATCCAAAACGTATAGTGTTTGAGATGGCGGCAATTCATAAAAAGTTGATGAAAGTGTCGATTGGATTAAAAAGATGAAACATGTACAGAACGAAGCGATGCCATTTTTGCGAAATATTTTTCTAAAATAGCTGCAGCATACACTGTAAAAGGCAAAAACCACTGATAAAGCAGAATATAGTCATTACAATTTAATGTTAAGCGGGAGATATGCATCATTTGTTGTTTGTGCACATTTCTACACAGCTCAAACAATGATGCTCCATAATTTAAAATGAATCGATTGACATTCACCATACTGCGTTGATGCCCAGCAACAATGAAAATACAAAGTATGATGAAGAGGAGATATATATATATATATATCTGATTCTTTGTTAGAATGAGTATCGTACGTGCTAACCTATTTTACAATATTTGTTGTTTTTTTTTGTTTGTTTCTTCTAAATTTCACTTGCAAATGTGTATGTCAGTGTTTGTATGTGTGTTCGTACAATTTGTTCGTTGTTCATATGTGTGCATTTTCGTTTCGTTTATATTTCATATGAATTCAGTTGAATGTGCATGTACGATCTGCAATCAGCTTCGATTCTATCCATTTATACAATGACTCTTCCATGAAAAAAGAAAGCCATTTGAACAAAGCCAAACAATTTTAATGGATATTTTAAAACGAAAATTTGCAAATCAAATTATAAAACCATAATTTCTAAATAATTCTCAAATAGAGAAAAAAAAAAGAAGCAAAAATGACTGAATTCAATGATTTTCCGTACTGCGCGATTGAACGTATTCATTCGTAAATTTTATTGGGTGTTCACGTCTAGATTCACATACTTGTTTGACATTTGCATAGAAAACGGCCGACATTCACATTCAATGCCGTGCATGAGTGTGTGTGTGTGTTTGTTCATTGAACTCTCTATTACGAATCTTCGACCCAAACTGTACATGTAGCAGCAGTAGCAGCAGCTACTAAGCGTATAACATATTTAGTTATGTATGTGTGCGTTTCGAAGCAACAACAGCACAAAAAATAATGGCCGATTGTATGTCATGATGGAACAATAAGAAAGAGCCTATCAAACAACCATGCAAAATACACAGAATTCAATTTTTCCCGTCGACCACAAAAAAGTGAATAAAATTCGAATTATTTCAATCTAAAAAACACTGATTTTCCGATCGTTTTGTTGCTGTTTTTATGTAAGTTTTCATTTTTAAAATAGTGAATGTTTTGATAAAATAAATGCTATTGAAATCATAACACACATCGCCTCAAAAGTGAATTCGAACGAAGAAAAAAAAGATAGATGTTGTATATAAAGCTATACAACGAATAAATGAATTGAAGTGAAGTAACAAAGGAAACTGAATATCAAATGGTTTCGATTTGATTGAAAATTCGTTCTAATTTTATTGTGTGAACAAAGTTTTGCGAGAGTAGTGAACTTCATTTCATATGTACAATTAAAATGAAAAGTACAGCAAAAAAATTGTTGTGTACACATATATCGGCATGAAGTGTTGTTACGAATGCATACAGTAGATGAAAAGAAAAACATTCAAATTAAGCAACCAATCACTTTTTAGTGTCCGTATTCTTGTGGTTTTCGAAATTTTTGGCAGATCTATTGTCATACACACTCAATAAATAGAGTTGTTTATTCAAAATAGCTTCGAAACAAATGCAAAGAAAATTTAGAAAAAAAAAATCTATATATATAACTATATCATTTGAGGTTAATATCCAAGTGGTTTTGTCATATGTATGCGGTTCACCTTTCAGATTTGTCGATTTTTTTTTCGTTCGTTCGTTTACTGTTTGTATCATCGCCTGATGAAAGCGAAAAAATCGTTGTTGTTGAGTGTTGGTTGGAACATTGGCGGAAACACCGAAAACCAAATAGGCAAACTGACAGGGGACCCACTCTCCGAATCCGTTTATATAGCGCATACAAGCGTTTTCATTTGAAATGGGAAAAAAAGTGCGATCTGTTTTATATACAGTCATGGAATTAGTTTGTGTATTTGCTTGCGTCTTCGATGGTGCACATTTTTTCTTACATACTGTATCAAAAACAACAAAACTATAGTTTTTTTTCTTCATAATTGTTTGAATTCTCTTCAGTAGAAAAATAATACAGCACAATGATATGTGTATGTGTGCGTGCATTTATGCGTGTAAGTGTGTTCGTGTGTGTATGTAAATATTTTTGTCGGAGCATATGTGTGTAGAAGTCTCTATGACGGTGTCATGTCTATGTATGCGTACAAAATTGGTTTGGTAACACTATAACCGTTGAAAAATACACGATTGTTGCATATATGTGTTTTGAAAACAAAATGTGTCACTCTTAATAATAAACAACACTTAAATCAGACCCCGTAAAACATACATTTCGCAGGCACTGAAGCACATTTATTCATGAATAAACTTTCAATTCAATTATTATTGAAGCGAACAAAAATACACTTATTTGAAGAAGAAAAAGAATATGGAGACATTTTGAAATGGAAATGGAAATAGAAGATAAAAAAACAACCTTACAATTTATGGAAAGTGAACGTTTTTTTTTTCTTTTCTCTTCCATAATCTAATGAAATTCGTTTCGTCCTATCATGAAATGCAATTTTTTGCTCACACTTCAATCGTAAAAAAAGATCGATCGGCTCATTCATTGCAGCACAATTGACTATGCGTAAAAATCAAATAGTAAATAGTGCAACATAAGAACTTATCGGATAATGCTTTATCGGACTATCTATATTTTGGTGTCACATAATACCAATAAGTCAAACGTCACATCTAGTTTTGCTTTAGATATGAAAAAACAACGAATTCAACTGTCACCCAATTATGTTGTGGAAAACATTTTTTTTTGTTGAGATAGATGCGTCTTCAATTTGATCTCTCGACGATATGATCGTGCATGTCTGCGTTTAAAGTAATATTGCACTTATAGTTCGATTAGCATATGCACGATGCAAATAAAAAAAAAGTGTGTACGATGCACTCACACACTGGTAAACACTGGTGTTCAATGTTCAATGCGTTTTGTTTTCACGTAACTATGCAATTATTTTAGGCAAGACATTTTGAGCTAGTTTTGCTTATATTTAAATATCCCTTTTCAAAATTGCCAATATACGCATTATTATGTAATCAAATTGAATTGAAGCACCGAGAATAGTATGACAAACATAAACACAGAAACTGACACATATTCAATTGGTTATTTAAATAGACATACATTACATTAATAAAAATAAAATCCAAACTCATTTGATTTGATAAACAACAGCAAATATTAATAAATCTTCTTGAATTTTATCATAGATCGGTGAATTGTGTGAAAGTTGAGCAAAAGGAAAACAGAAATAAATAATGACGTTACTAATTACATTGGCGAATTTAGAGAGAAAAGCCGTTTGAATGTTTGTCCCGATATTATGGTATCGCCCTCAAAACCACATCATTCGAGAGTCGCCAGCCAAGAACATTTACGTGCGTATTTTTTGTGCACATTTCACGTGAAATGGTGTCATTTTATTTTTATTTTCAATTTATTTTCGATTTCAGATAAATGTAAATTAGTTAAGGGACCCAAACCATTGTTACATTTTAAATTTTATTTGGATATTGAAAAGCAACATATTGTGAATAAAATTGAAAAAACTATAAGAGAACTTGGCGGCGTAAGTAGACACCAATGCAGAGCGCAAATTTTTGAAATATTTTACATAATTTTACTAATATTGTTTTGTTCTGGCATTTTCAGTCGATCGAATTTTTTTTAGCGGAGAAAGTAACACACTTCGTCACCGACAAGCCAATCGATCGTGATGGAAAATTATTGAGCGTTTGCAATCATTATCTATCACCAAAATCATTGCTTTTATCACAAACAAAAACACCATCACCCGTTCCAAAAACCTCATGTTTACAATCGTTGAATGATTTAAATACTAGTGATGAAAAGCAGGCAGCCTGTTCAAGACCAAAAAATCGTGCGGATGCAATGGTACAAAGAGCACGTACAACAACGCAATCACTTGATAGTAAAAGCGTACAATGTGCCTCTTCGCAATCCCTCACACAGAATCCAATGCAATTAGCTTTAAATTGGAAAACAGTCATTTGGAACATTGAATATACGTTAAAATACTTGGAGAAGGTATCGCTTGCACTCAAATTTGAGAATCAATCGCGCACTACATCAAGTACAAAATCATCACATCATCATCATCATCATCAACATAAAACTGCAAATGTTAAACATTTAAACGGTCAATATATTAAAATTGAATCGTCCCAGAAAGTGAGTATCGGTCAGCCTAATGGACAGATTTTTCAGTATCGTTTTAATTTAAAAAAAAAATTTCAATTTAATCCATCACACACAGAATTATCGACCATATTATCAGGAGTTTAATAGTTGGCCAACGATCAACTTCGATTGTAGTTTGTGTCCGTTTCAAACTCATAGTGATAAAACTGTTCAAAAAAATAATAAACATTGTGAGACGACAACCGAAGAGAATAAATCAACTAAAGTGAAAGTGTTGAATTTGTCACCGTCAATTAGCAAAATAAAAACCGACGTGACCTCAACGAGTGTATCAATATCAGTTTTAGCTAAAAACAATATAGCAAGCATTATTGAGGGTACAATGACACGAAAAACACGAAATAAACCAGTGCGCGAAGCCGCCATCGATGCGTGTAGTATCAAAACAAATAACGATGATGTCAAACCAAATTCGGAAAAGTGTGGATATTGTGAAAAGTGTCGCGTTGAATACGATGTACTAGCGCAACATTTACAATCGAAAGAACATTTGAATTTTGTTAAAAACAATGACAATTACATAGCATTAGACAATTTAATAAATAGTGGCAGCAATGTTGAAAACTTTTTACGTCTCAATAGTGCTGAAGTGATTGACGAATCGGAAAGAAATGGCATGCATAGCCCAAAACGTGAATCATTGATTAGTACACGTGTTAATTACTTAAGTCACAGCAGCCTTGGCGGACTCAACAGTGATGTTGATAACGCCGTCACAACCAAATCTCATAAGCAAATGAACGGTATTAGAAATGATTTATCACCATCGAAAGTGAACAATGTCCGAGGAAAATTACCAAAGTACTCACCACCAATAACACGACGATCACAAACGAAAAACGCGATCCATGTTGTGTTGGACGATCAACAATCGCAGCACAATGAAACGAATTCAAAAGTTCGGCCTGATAAAACAACGTTCGGTAACTCAATCATTGTTGATTTTAAGGAAGATGAACTAAATTTCATTTCAAAAGCAGGTAACGTACTATATAGCAGTTATTCATTTGAATGAATCTCGCTTATTCAATAAAACTAATGCAAAATCATTCATCATTTAATTAGACAACGATATTCAAACAAAGTCTCCAAAACAAACAAAAATAACCATAAATGGCAAGAAAAAGTGCGACGAACCACCAGTAAATAGTATAATTGACGACTCTCCGGTACTGCCAAAACGTTTAGTCCGAGCATTTCCACGCTATAAAGTTGTGGATGGTGAAGGTAAACCAGGCAACGAACGAATTGCGGCTAAAAATATAAAATCAAATGCCAGCACAAAGGCGGCCGAATTGAGTGCGCGCAAAGAGTTAGCTGAAAATGAAAGGGGCATTAGGGATCCAGAAACTGGATTAATAGTTAAATTTAAACGTGTTCGTGAAACCGAATTGTCAAAACTCACCGTAGAAGCGGACAATTTTATGTTTCCCAAACGTGAAGAACAGCCAACCGATGAAGATCGTCAAAGTACATCAGAGCACGATGGTGAAGTTTCATCGGAAATTTTGTCAAGCGAAGTGAGCAGCATTCGAGACTCCTTCTCCACATCACAAAACAGCCGTTTAAATGTATCCACGACCAGTGATCAATTTACAAGTAGCGGACGAAGGAAAAAACGTCGCACACAATATGATGATAATTTCAAAAGTCCAGCCAAAACTAAACAGAAATTTCGAGCATCCCTCATTCAATCACGATTGAATTCCAATAAAAAAACAACAGCCATAAATGGATCTCAAACGCCGGCCAAACAATTGAGCCGGGGTGCGAAAATGTCAGCTGCTGTAAAGGTAACAGGACGCGGTCGTCGTGGCAAAAAGCAACGAAATTTGACTGCCGTCACTGTTGATGCACAAACTGATAATTCGCTCGATGATCGAATGGGGGAGAATTCTTATATTGGTGGCAAACTTTTATCAACCGATTACATAAAAAATTTGAAATTTTCATTTGAACGGGTCCCAAGTAATGAACCATGGTATTTGACATTTCAACGACAGGACGAGCATCGCGAACGAATGTTTGAGTACTGGGGAAATACAGGTAAATTTAAACAATTGTGGTGAATGATTTATACATAAATAACATTGAGGAATCAAACTAACACCAAACACATCCACCTATCCTATTTTCAGCCTATAGAAAACTTCCATATGAACTTGGACCACTGCCTCCTTTGGATACAGATTGTTGTCTTCTTAGTAAATTAACCGCGATGAAAACTACAAAACAAAAAAATAGACGCTCTACGAAGCCGGGTAAGTTAGTCGGTGTAGGATGAAGGTTTACGCTCAGAAGTTATTGATGTTTTAATACATTGGTTCGTTTGTTTTAGGCTTACAAACTCCTGGTTGCTCTGAAGTAATTAACACAAAACCGACTTCAACGACATCGGGCGAAAATACGGTCTCAAGTAGTAGTAGTGGTGGTAATAGCTGTTGTAATGCAAATACAAATGTTTCAACTCTTAAGTCAACTACAGTTTCCAAAACGTCTGATGAGAGTGACAATGAAAGGAGGGCCCACACAAGTACCTTGTCACAGTTACTTTTGGCTGATAGTTCATTAAATAGTATTTCATTACCGAATGCAATATCAAATAAGAAGAAAAATATGTTATTAGATGCATTTGGTCAACCGAGAAAGTCACCCAGAGAGCATGCCTCGACATTGGCGAGTCTAAGTTCATTGATTCAACAACGACGAAGCCGAATCAAAGAGATGAATGGCGGCATATCACCGGAAAAAATGCCAAGCTATAAAGCTGCTGTGGCCGCAGCCATGGCAGCTCAACAGAGTTCCGATGCAAGAGATAGTGCCGATGTCAGCGAAAGCGAAGAGCTCATCGACGAATGTGATGCTCGACTTCAAATTAAATCAACCATCGACACTGAATCGCGTCCAATGTCGAGTCGTAGACGATTGAATCAAACACCGTCGTTTGAATTAACCAAGACCACAGTCGAGGGGAGTAATCATCAATCTAGCGGTGGTTACAGTTCAGATAAAATAGTCCGTTTGCGGAAGGGAAAACGACGTCAAACGGAAAGCATAAGCAGCAATAACGAATCGATATCAGGCAAAAACGATAAATTAGATGAAACAACGCAGAAAAGTGGTGACAAAACGAAAGATGTCGACATACCGAAAATGCCAGTTATCGAATATGTTGATCCAAATAAAGTGGCCCGTGATCTCGACGATCTATTGTACAATTGTTATTTGGATGCTGACAGTGATTTAAATGATATACCCGTAGATTGTTCAGATCTCATTTTAGTAAATTCTTCAAAAGATTTTGTTGAAATTATTGAATCGGTTAAGGATGGCCCGCTTACTTATCGTAGCTTACAGAGAGGGAAAAAACGGCACATTAATAAAACTGGTTGGCCATCGTTACCACGTAAACGTCTGCCAAAACGCGAGAAAGTAGATGATGTGGAATCGGCTCTATCTGACGCGTATGTATACAATCATAATTCTTTTAATTTGTCATCTTTCTATGGGAAAATAATAAAGCAAACAAAATGTTTCAGGCAACATTGCGAAAGTAGCCATTCCGACACAGAAAATGATCTGAACGAAGTGACTATGGAACGTGAAAATGATAATTCCAATATTGCATTGGAAAGTGTGTCAAAAGATGCCGATAATGTTGTTGAATCACCAAAAAATAGTCCAATATCGTTCCGTAGTATGCCTCGTCGACGGCGTCAAAACACCAATAAAACCGGTAAGTAAATATCGTTTGTATAAACGGATTGTTTTGTCTTAGACAAGGACTTCTTATTTTAGAAGATGATAATGATGAAGAGAAGAGCCGAGCTTTACGTCATGATCGTCGCAAGATACGTACACCATTTTGTGATGACAATGCAGTACAATTTATCGTATCAACCAGTTCGAGTGATAAAGCCGAAAATTCGGATATATTCACTGTATCCTCTGATAGTTTCTTAGATACCGATGTGAATAATGATACACTTACAACGGCTAAATCAAGATTTTCAGCTGACTCACGTTTATCTGCTGACGACGACGATAGAACCATGTCAGACGAGATGACAGTCAACAATGAAAGCAACTGGCATTGCCGCTCTTCTCTACGTAGGACCATAACTCTCTAACATATTATATCATTTCACAAAACAACAACAAAAAAACGAATAATTCATTTTTGTCTCTCTCTTTTTTTTTTTTTTTTTTGATGATCCATTCTCATGAATAGCTTGTAACAGTATTGCGAACGAAGTGATAAAACAACAAAAAGGCTTTCCCTCAATCGAAGAATGTAAGCTGCTTTGATTTGAAAGCTATCATATAGTCTTTCAAACTAATATTTTCTCCCCGTTTCATCAATAGCCACCGCAACACCAACAATAACCACCAACACGACCAGTATTTTGGAACGAACTCTCATGTCAACGCGTTCAACATATATGCGATCGCCCAGTTTAGTCAAAGAGCCAGCATTCGATTTGAATTTACAACCATTAGTATGTGTACAAAAAATGTCCGAAAAAGATTTACCACAATCACATTGGATAAGTAATTTATCATCGGCAACCACAGCCCAAGAGTCTGATGTTGTAAAGCCCAATAATCGAGCCAATTCATCTCTGAAAACTAAAACATCGCCACGAAAATTGCGTAAACCGCGTGGCCGATGGTATCGTGAACGGTAAAGAGGAAGCGAAATTTATGAACGGACACAACTGCCTACTTACTATTTGACATTAAATTGCTGAAAACAAATCATCATCCTACAAAACGTTATTTCAATCTATTTTCCATTAAACAGTTGATAGAAAAAGGCACAGAGCTTGGTTACTCTGTTAAACTCTAAATTTTAATTCTTAGTATTTTAAAATTGAAATATTGACACGATTTGTATTATCATTTTAACTGTAACCACTATTTAAGAATGAAAATATGCCGTTAAAAATATTCTCTGGATTTAATAAAATAATTTCATAAATAACATTATAGTACATAGTTCGAGCGTCAGTGGAAATGATAAAATAATATATTTTGTATGCGAAACACTTAAATTAGTTCAAAATGAGAGGAAATAAATAAAATTTGTGTTGTAAGAAAAGAAAAGAAAACCTTCCATTTATTCCATTGTAGTGTGTATAGTTTTGACTGTTTGGTTTACATTGAACCCAGTTTAAATTTATAAAATGTCAAAAATATGACAATTAAAAAAAGGCGGGAAAATATTTGTTTAACTTTTTATTTTATTAATTTTGCAATATTTTTTTTTTAATGAGCCAGAAACATCGAGAATTTTTCCATGCGATGATAAGAAAGCAGTAATAACTAAATAATTATTGCGTCTCCCATTGAGAATATTTTTTACTTGTTCACAATTACAGTGATTGATCAATGCATCTGCTTCATGTTGTTTAAGAAAGAATTTGAGACCAATTGAGTCAATGAGAATAATGCAAAGAAATCATACTGTACAAATCGTATAATTCATGTGTCATGACTGCTTCTGTCTGTGTGATCTTGAAAAGATTCTTGAGAGATTCTGAACTCCCAACAAACAATGCCAAATATTTTATATAATTTTTTTTTATTATAAATATCTTGGTGCAAAATCTAAACATTTCTATCGTTGTGCAACATTCTTAATTTACTTTGTTGGCTGTTAAATAAAATCTTGAATATTTTAATTATTTATTTAAACTTGCTATTCAAGTAATTTTTCGTTGCTATATTTGTTTTTCTTTTTTTTTTTTTTTAATTGGAAACTAGGTCGCATAAAGCACATGTATATATTATAATGTGCTACTAATGATCGTGCTGGTGCGATTTGAATTTACATATCTGGAATTAGATTTTGTTTTTTGTTTTTTTTTTATTTTTTTTTTAATAAATAAAGAAAATAGAAGAACATTTAAGTGATTTATCTCTTCACCAGCTTAAGCAACACGACTACGACTTTTATTACTTCTTATGCTAATCTACCATCACATTTTATTGATATCAAATGATTGTGTTTGATGGATCAATCAAATGTGATGATAATGCGCACCCGATTTGAGTGTTTTAGTTGATTTTTTTTCATTTCATTTTGTTTTGTTCGGTTTTTGTTGTCGTCTACTTCTCTTTAAATAAAATAAAAACATAAATTTCTCGAAATAGAAAATAAAATAAAAAAAGGCTTGTATTTTTATATAAAATATTATAATCGGGAATGGTCAAAAAAATTGTTGTAGAATTATATGTTTTTCATTTCTTTTGTTCAGTTCACGAAGATGTATTCATTCTTGAAATTAACCATTTCAATTTGTCTCATCTTAAATGAAATTTAAAAATGATTTCAACAAATTTAGTTAAATTGTTCTGGCAAAACATATGAGATATCGTCCCACGGGTGTCGGTAAAGTCCTTGTTTAAGCCGTTTTTGATCCATGTAGTGACCAATGAAACCGATACTGCGACCCAATACGAACAACGAATTGATTGCGCCAATGTTAATGTACTCTTGAGCTTCCTCACTGTGTAAATGAATAAAACCGACAATTTTAGTTTAAATGATTGTCAATTGAAAAATTCGTATTATACACTGTTTTCGGTGTATGTGAATAAAATTGCACTTACCTAGTGAATGAACCGCAATTTCTTAGCATATCAACAAATGATGTCGCAATAACACCATCAACATTTAAAATAAGATTCGGTTTTTTGCTAGTTGTAATCTTTTCAACTTCTAATGCGTATTCAAGCAATGGCTTGGCTGGGAAGTTTTCCATAACAAATTCTTTGATGATTTTAACACGAACATCTGGATTATTGATTGATTTAACACGATGTCCAATGCCCATGATCAATTGTCCCTTCTTGCGCATTGTATTAACAAAGTCCATTGGATGTTGATTTGAATCGTATGCTTCGGAGAATTGTTTTGCTGCACCATCCAAGGCACCACCGAAACGATCACCAATTGTCAATAAACCGCTTACAACCGATGACACCAAATCTTTGCCAGCACGTGCACAAACAATTGTATTGTGGGCACCAGATACAGCTGGACCGTGATCGGCTGTAACCATCAAACACATTTCGAAGAATTTGCATACATATGGTGGCAATGCACGTTGGAACCACAACAATGAAATGACACCACCGATGCCAACATTTTTGTTGAGCACATCACTGATTGGCATACCGGCATACATGAGCTCTTGTCCACGTTCATCACAAATTGATGTCATGAATGAAGCTGGTTTACGAATTAAACCCAATTCACGTGCCCATGAGTAATCCATTGGGACGGTTGGTGGTGGCACTTCTTCGACTGGAACAATTTGACCAGTGTGAACCAATTCATTGTATACCGAACTGTTCGAAATGAAATTCAAAAGAAAATAAAATAAATTGTGCAATCAATGAATAAATTACACGGTAAAATAATCGAAAAAAAAATCCACTACTTACGCAATCAATTCACCAAGTGTATCGAAGGAGTCTGGTACGTATGCGCCAGCTTCACGTAATCCACGGTTTTTAGCTGTGGCAGTTTCGCGATCTGAATTGGCGCATGAACCAGCATGTCCGAATTGCACTTCCGATGTAAACATACTTGCGCATGTACCGATACACCATGCAACCATTGGTTTTGTGATTCGACCATCTTGAAGAGCGGCGCAGACTTCATATTCTTCGGTGCCACCAACCTCACCCAATAAAACAATCAATTTTGCATCTGGATCGTTTTGGTAGCGCATAATGTGATCCATAAATGTAGTGCCTGGATAACGATCACCACCAATTGCAACACCCTCAAATACACCATCGGTTGCCTTTGAAATAATGTTGTTCAATTCGTTTGACATTCCACCTGAACGTGAAACATAGGCAACGCTACCTGGACGATAAAGTTTTGAGTGTAGAATGTTGTCCAACATACCGCCGGTGTTTCCGATTTTGAAGCAACCTGGCTTCACACCACCAACGGTGGCTGGCCCAATAACGGCAACACCCTTTTGATTGGCTTTTACAATGATTTTACGGGTTAAATTCTCTGGAATACCCTCAGCAATAATAGCAATTGAACGAATTTGTTCAAAATCAAGCACTTCCATTGTACTATCGTATGCTGAACGCAATGATGCAAAGTTAACAACAACATCGACTTCTTTGTGTTTATTAATTGCGTCAGTCATCAATTTGTAAACTGGAATTAAAATTTCCTTGTGTCCCCAGTAGAATTTTTGTTTGTGATCACCAGTGAATGGATAGACCATTGCAACAACTGATGGCTCCGTACGGCTACAAAGGAACAAATATTCATTTAGAAAAATAGTTTAACACGGCGGCCATCCACTTAAGTCGTTCGAAATGTGTTAAACACACACACACCCACACACTTACCGGCAAATAAAATCGAAGTCAAGCATCGATTGAACGGCTCTGGTTTGCATTCCCCATACAATAGCTTTTGTGCTTTTGCTAAATAATTGTTGGTATTTCTTTGAATCGACGGTAGTTGTGGCTGTCGATTGACGACGAACAGCTCCTAAAGAAATATTTGTTGTCAATTTAGGAATCTTTGGACTAACAACACTTGTATCTGTTGCAATTGTATAATTTTTTTTGGTTTGTTTGTTGATTTTTTGTGTGCAGTGATTATTTTGATTTGATTTGATTTGATTGATGTTGGTCGAACAAACACAGAACAAATGGAAATGTTGTCAAATTCGAATGTCGGTATCGTGGAAATGTTTGTGGATGAGTGTAAATGTTTAATTTTCGTGATTCGATTTGGTTTTTTGTTTTGTTTTTGAAAATTTCGAATGTCGTTAAAACGGGACCATAGATGATTTGCATGTATATAAAACATATAAAAAAGGGAACAAAAACATAAAAAAAGAACACATTACAATTGTTTTTTTGATTAGAATACACAATGATGAAATGGAAAAATAAATAATGATGAATATGTTTGACATACAATCTAAAAAACAAATAGTTTTTAAAATGTAGGATGAAAATGATGATTAATTTATGTGTAACACATTTTATATGTTTCCAAAATCGGCATGTACTCAATCCGCAATTACAACACTTATTAATTAAGAAAGTGCAAAATTTCACATATACATGTATTATGCATTGCAAATGTTAGCAGTTAAAATCGAGTGGAATTATCAGAAGATTTATGGAGGACAAAAAAACACATTTAAATGAATATTTAAGCATCCTTCAAATGGTACCTAGTTTTTTCGGAGTGGATAAGATAGCATTAGCTGCGTTGGCCAAATTGCTGAATACACCACCAACGACTGCAGTAAGACCTATCGATTAAATAGATTAAATTACATGGAAAAGAGAAAATGCTTCAAATGTCATTGTTACATTAATATGACATTGCAAAGATCAGAACATCGACGAACGAAAATTAAATAAATTTGAAGAAAATAAAAATTAAGAATCAAATGTGCGATAAATAGTGCATAAATAAACGATAAAGAGTACAAACATATTTAGTATATTTTTTCAGTTTTGGAAATGAAGTTTTGTGTAATAAAATGTGCACGAACACAATATAGTCAATCATGATTTTCAAACATGGTGCATTTTACAAACACAATGATAAATGCTTGCATTCATTAAATGATTACAAAAGGTGTATATTTTATTGGTCGATTAATAGTTGATCACTTGTGTGTGTGTGTGTGTGTGTTGTTCATACCTGAATTTTCAGCGAGTGTTGTTTTTGCTGCACCTTGTTGTTGTTCACCACCTGGTAATAAGAAATTGGCGGTGGTAGTTTCACCACCGGTGGTTTGTGGAATTTGACGTTTTCCAAGTGCCATACCGCAAATGGCTGTCATATGGGTTTCTGGTCCAAAAACGTGCAATGGAATGCCCAATGTGCTACCGTATTCACGCATTTTGCGTAAACCTTCTTGGTAATTTGGACCAGCACGACGTACATAGATTGATACATTGTGCTCCTTTAATTTTGGTTGGAATTCACGGAGTGCAGTGATGATTCCTTTGAATGTTGCAGCAACATTGGTGAAATTGGCAATACCACCACCAGTAATCAATACCTTGCCCAATGGATGCTTTGGTGACGATGTCATCAATGTCAAAATGGTTTTTGCATACTCATATGTTTGTTGTTCAGATGGTGCGCCACTGTATTCACCATAGTTGGCCAATTCAGATGCGCCACCCAAATCACAAATTGTATCCGAATAGATAACACTAGCACCGCCACCGGCAACCATTGTCCAAATACGGCCGTTACGATTTAAAATTGTTAATTTCAATGATGCACCACTCTTTGCATCTAAATCGGCAATGTAAGCTTCTTCTGGATACGCATCACGTCCGAATGGTGGTGGATAATCAATATCACCCCATTTTGGTCGGCAAATAAAATCGGCAGTTGAGTCCAATTTTGCGGCCAAATCCAAAACATAAATTGAATCTTTTGTAACAACCAATGGATTGATTTCCAAATAGGTGAAATATAAATCAACATATGACTTGTACAAGGCATACACGAAGTTTGCAACGCGTTCCTATTTATTGCGTGGCAAGATAAAGAGAAAATAAATTTGAAATTGTTCGGATGCAAAGATGTGATTTGATTTTTTGCTATTTACTTTTTTATCAGCTGCCAAATGGGTGAGCAATTGCTTTTTAATATCGTCAGCGGTCACAGTTTTGTCAACTGGAACGTCCAATTTCAATGCTTTGGCATCAACATCACCGATATCAACACCACCTTGATGGTAGAACAAAATTGTGTCAGCATTTCTGTGCGAATAAATGCAAACATAGGCTTCTTCGTCCTGCAAACGGAAAATCAATACGAATTTCGATTAAAAATTGGTGAACATATGGTATTTTCGTTGACAATGTTACCTCTTTGTGCGGAACGAATGGTTCAATGATGAAGGTTCTTAGCTTGCCGACGGCGTTGCCAATTTTTTGATCTTTTCCCATGCGAGCATTGACCCATTCTTTGACTTCGGCAAATTTTTTATTTACAGCAATTAATCCAAGTTTACCTCTTCGTTTAATCAATTGGTCTGGCTTTACAACTAATGGCTACAAATGTTCAAAACAAACCATTATAAATCCAGTGTTAACAAGCACACAAGCACATGTGCCAATTAGCCAATTACCAAAATAAAAAAAGAAACAAGTCATGACAACGTGTTTCAACAATGAGTTAACATAGTTTGCAGCGCGCACATAATATATGTCTGTGTCACGATTCACGAATTGTGTCGTCAATTACTAAATAAATCATGTGTGGTGTTTTTTTCTTCTAAACCAAATAGAATCGTTTCCATCAAATCGAGAGGAATATTTATTCGCTGAGTGAAGGGAACGATGGCTAAATGATTAATATAAATTGACTTCTTGAAGTAGTTCAATGAAGTAATTGAATTGCTTTTACATTGCATTTATTGTTTATCGCGTGTGTAACAGTCCAACGGGAAATAAAATGACTTTTTAAATTATACATTTTCAATTAAATAGATTACCAGTCAGGTTAGTAATAATTTGTCGTGCGTATTCAAACTCAAGGTCATTGGAATAGTATAATAGTATAGCATCATGCGGTTTTATTGCACATTGTGTGTTTATATTTCAATTAATGACAATGCGCATGTCTTAACGATCAAGCACTTTGTTTTTACAACAATTGTAAATATGTCGCTTGAATCCACCACAACGAATGAGTGACTGTTTCTTTTTTACTTTCATTGGTAACGGCTATTTTCGTACAAAACTTCTGAATATTTTCAAAAGAAAAAAAAACCATTTCGAAAATTACTTACAGTAGTTTCTAACCATGGATGAGTTGTTCGCAAATGATCCCAGTTTGTCTCACTAGTTACAGTGGCAAATTGACATTTCGCCGCTCCGGAGCTGCTATCCAATAAACGATTGAGGATATCTTTTCCTGTGGCTTCACGAATAGCTTTGGCTGACATTTTGTCTCACTTTTTGTTTTTTCTTATCTTTCTATGATATGTTGTTTTTGTTCCTATTATGAATTAAAAATGAACCAAAATAAATAATACAGAAATTAAGAAAAAAGTTGCTTGGAATGAACTGAAACCGATCATCGATTACAATGAGCTATTAATCAAATGATTTGACTACGCTGAAGGTATAATGTGTTATGATGCATGTCGAGCCTCTTTGTCTCTCTTTCTATATCACTTTCTGATCGATTTTGGTTACTTTTTTTCTTTCCTCTTTCGAAATTCACTCTTAACACATACACGCATAATGCAGATAGTATTACGAAAACTTTCACTAAAATTCCTCGATAATGGGCAAAGTCGACTAACAAATAACGTACAAATGAACTTCAAACTCATATATGCACATATCGAATCAAAAAAGAAAAAGATTGAAAATATACCTAAATCACACATGCATACAAGCCAATACCCATTAATATTTTACTGATTTAATATCAGTGCAAAGTACAAGACAAATACTGAAAAACCAAAGTAGTTAACTGGCATGTGAAGTAAATTGTTACTTAATAATTTCCTTATTTCGCATGGAAACAACCATTGTTTTTTATTTTATTTTTTTTGTTTTCATTTCATCAATTTCATTTTCTTAACTACATATCAAGTTTTAGCATAATTAAATGCATTTACTAATTGCAACGAACGTTCAAGACAACGATAATGAATTTATTTTGGGTCGTGCATACCACATACCATTATTGAGGTAGCCGAAAAACGGGTGATCAATCCATGTTGAGAGTTTGGTAATATTTCTAATGAATGGGTTATCTAATGATGGAGAAAGTTTTCTCGAATTCAGAGAAAGTTCTTGATCAAAGGCCCTGAATGCGTGACGTTGACACATACAAATTTATTGAATACTTAATGTGACGCATTCGTTATTATACATATACACATGTGTGTTGGAAAAATAAAGTGTGCATATTAACTCATCTGATCATCTTCCCGATCATCATTTCATTCGGTGAAAGTATTGACATAGCACAACTCTCACTTTAAGGTCTATGAAATGATACAATGTAAATCGTACAGATTTCTTGGTGTGTCAATGAAATCGAATAATCCGTTTTATTTTTCTACACAACTCTACTGTTTTTATAACACTTTGCTCATTTTTTTTTCTTCTTCTTCTCAATTTCAACAGATTATGAGTTGTTGACGGAATGTTTTTTTTGCTTTGCCACTTTTGGTCGTAAAGTCACTTTGATGTGTATTTCAATGAGATAGCGATTATATTTATCAATTTCAGTTAACATACTCAATCAACCTGATCGATCGTGCCATGCACGCTCTTCAATTATTAAATTATGTAATGTTGCAAAAACAACAACAAAAATGCTTTCACGATTACATTTATTACAGGTCATTTGCGATCGCGTCCCACAATGTATAAACGAAGGGCAACAAAATGTTGTCGGAAATGAATTCGGATACAGTGCACGTGTAACGCAAAATCGTATAGATAAGATTGCAAAGCAAAAAAATGAAAACCTAAGAAACGAAATTATATGGGTGCACGCATAAAAAAATATGCGTGATCGACCCCAAATGAATGACTTGATAGATTTTTTATTTTCCATCAAATTTTGTTTACGTAATTTACAACTGATATGTGCGTAATGGATTCATAAACGTAATTAGCAATAACATATCATGTACTCAACTCCAAATTTTTTAAGTGTCAACCGAACAACTGACGAAGTTATTGTGTTTTTGTACATTTCCAAGTGACCAAAATAAACATTAAATAGATAATTGCCACAATCAATTTGTTGTTGAATATCATTTTACTATCTTTTCATGGATAAATTGATTAAATTTGTTTTAAAATGTTATGATCATTATGCAGAGAATTAAAAAAACCGGTTTTCTTTTCAAAAATATAAAAATAAAAAACAAACGAAAGTGTTTGCTCTAAGGTGAACATTTGGATTTTTTTTACTACTATAACCATAAAACGACTCAAAAATTTATGTATTTTCAGTTTGAAATATTACTTTCACTTCACCGAGAAAAAAAACGATACATAAGCAGAAACAAAAAGAACTCAAAACAACCAAATTGAATGGTCACAAGCGGCGGCTTCAATGCAACAATTCACAGCTTTTATGAAATCAAACAATTTTTTACAGATATTTTACGGGAACTTGAGCTTTCTTTTTATCAAACAAAATTTATGAGAATATTTTCACCATAAACTGGAATCCGTTGTAATTTTGTAAATTTGGTCACATTTAACAATTATCTATACAACTATTATTATATTCCAGAATCAATTAGAATATATCAACAATGCAATTTTCGAAATGTCTCACTCTTTTCGGTGTGTGTATGTGTGTTTTTTTTACTCTTGTTCGTTGAGATTTAACGTATCTTTATAATCACCACCAATAACAACAGTAACAGAATACAGTTTACTTCTTGCATCTATTGATCGTTAATTAGTTTTCTTAATGTATTTAATTCGAATTGCTTGCATGGCATCGAGACAACACATAGAAGTACAAACATTTTCACGAATAAATCAATTATGAATTTGAATTGAAAACAATGCGATTGGAGTCGAAAAAAAATAATTCAATTTAAAATTTACAATTTACAGTTGAATAAAAATGAAAGGGGAAGGTAAAACGAAAACGAAACAAAATAACAAGCAATATCAAATGTACGAAGAAAAAAAAAAGAAAGAAGAATTTAATAGTGGGTCCGAGTTTCTTACAGTGTAAAAATTGTATTTAAACAAGCGGGCTGACGACGGACAAACACCAAAGAAAAAAATTGAAAACTTCGAAACGGTCGAAGCAACAAACAAACAACAACTGAATTTATAATATTCCTAGCGCTGACCTATTCGGCTCGGTATCAACGTTCTTGAACATGAGTAAGCGATCGTTCGGCCGATCATACGATGATAACGTTGTACACGCATACACGTATTGGATAGCAAAACCATGCACCCATACACACGCATCATCGACGTGCAAATTTACAGTGCCAACAACAGATAGGCTGTGAATTGTTTAGCTGTCGTATGCAGAAGACAATCTTAAAGTGACATGCGCGCTAATTTCAATTCAGTTTCAGTTAAATTATGACTGACTGGTCATAATTATAGTACTACGATTTAACCCTCTAGTGCATAGCCCTGCCTTTAGGCATGGTGTATAAATTATTGTCTAAAATATATAATTAAAAAAAAAAGATTTTATTTATGAATTAAAATACATTCAGTAGGGTTCAGGCTTTCATTTTCCAGTCATTTGACAACTGGATGTAAATCGGTTGTTTAATTATAAACACGGTTGTACTCGAAAACAGAAATTTGACAAAAAAATTATCATTTTCTTTGTTTATAGCAGTTTTACTGCAGTTTAAACAATGGTTTTGATTGTTCTCGAATTTTGTCAATAGCATTTTTTGAGAAAACCATGCGATTTTTTTGAATTCGATTATTTTTTTAAGGAATTATAAACCAAAACAATCATGGAAAAATAAGTCTCTTGTCGAAAAGAATTAATGCATTAGAGGGTTAAAAAAAATAACAACACCACCATATAATGTTTAAAGGTTGTGATTCCATAAATTTGTGAAGTAGTATGCGCGAATTTGTGTGCATGTTTGAACATACACACACACGCATGCACATATTTGATTTGTACCGTCGTATATGTTATCACATGTCCATTTCTCTTGTAATGTTTAAATTATTATCTGAGAATAAACAACGCAAAGCGTGCGAATACGTAAAGGAATCTTTCCATTTGACATTTCACTCTTTTTCTTATGTTCTTTCAACTGATATATTCAATGACCGACACCGGTTTTTGTTGTTGTGCATACGTGTACTTGATGTGTACTGCGTGTGGTTCTCTTTATGCCTTTATTCTCCTTATTTCTCATTACAACCACTTAATTGGTTTGAATGGCTTTTGGTCAGGCAATTCAACTCTTGTGTATTTGTGTTCGTTTCAATTGTGTGCGGCTGATGTGATTTGCAGGGCCGCATGATACATGTGTGTGACATTGAAATGATGTGCTTGATTAAAAGAAACCCGATTTTTTAAGGAGAACAAACTGATCTGTATACATGATGACTTGATATGCAATATACAGTCAGGAAGAAAATGAAAGATATTTAATTGTTATCAAATGTTAAAACCATTCGAATTTGAGCACATTGAGTAAAAAGTTTTGAGAAAAGTGGAATAAACAATATTGGAAATGAGCTTGTCCAACACTCACTAAATTTTAATCTCAGGGAGAAAAATAATACCTCATCCATTATAAGATATCATCTAATTAACGATGAAGATTATATGTAATAATAGTAAACCATACTTAGATTTTCAAAATGATATCAGTTTACAATCAATAGCATACCAACAATTGAAGAATTCATTCCGTAATTAATTGAAATTGAAAGTTGAATTCTTTTTGATCTTTTTTATATCTCAAAAAAAATAAATCCCTTGAGTAAATTCAATACTCAATACATAATCTTAGTCCGAGAAATCGATCAAATAATTAAATGTATATCTTTGAAAAATCCGTACAGGATGCAAAGCTATTTACAAATAACCAATAATTTTCCGATAATATTTCGAGATTGATCTGTATAAAGTAAACCACAGTTATGTAAATGCAAAAAATTTGATTATATGATCAGTGATGATTTGATGATGGAATTTGTCTTTTTTGTCTTTGGTCAAGCGAATGCCCTTGTTAGAAGGAGACAACTTTTCCGTATTCTGTAACGGGTGTGTGTATTCAGTGATAACAAATTTACTGATTACCCATTGAACAAATTGACGTGTTTAATGACATAACAGCATGATGCGATTTTAAATGACTTTTATCAACCTTGTCATCAAAATGTTCTTGTGAGAGTCGTAAGATTAAATTCAGGTCAGTTTTTCGCAAAAGAATGGAATCAAATATTATCAATTATAAAAACGAATTAAATTTTCGTGACCAAAGTCACGGAGATTTATAGTTTTGCATTGTGTTATAGTTGCATTTCAATCGATATTGTCTGCCGTATGGCGTATATACACAACGTTATGAATTTTAATGCGTCAATGACCCCTTGCAGCACATGTAAACACACGCTTGCAGTCTTGTGCACCGATTTCGACACAATTAACAAAATGCCATATTTTAAGCACATTTCCGTTTCGATTTAATGTCGATATTTTTACGGTTCTATTTTCTTTTTAAATCAAAACCGTGTGTGTGTACCATGAATATCGGTCATCTTAGTCCAAAATAGTAGTAAAATGTAGGACAACTATTTTTAGTTTATTTGGACAAAATATTCAAATGAACTTTCATCCGTGTAGATAAATGCGATAAGATAATTCTCTTTAAATCTCCGAGAATAGACTTTAATGTATGCCGTAAACATTGAACAGTATATTCAGAACCGATCCATGTCGAATTTAATGATTCTCAGCTAAGTGCGGTTATCATTGGCTTGTAATAGACAATGGCCTTGCTGAACTTCGATCTAACAAAAGAATAGAATGTAAAATAAAAAGTACAACAATGTGTAGCGACTTTAAAGCCAAACCACTTAGATGTATATTCCACATAGTATACACTATTCAATTTTTTTTGTTCGTTCTGTTGTTTCATTTTGTATTTGTTTCCTTATTGTTTGGCATCGCGATGATGGTACAATGTTAGTAAGGCAATGGCATTTTAACCGATTTATTCTCGTTCTTATTCGCGTAAGTTTGCATTTAAATCCGAGTTTTTTTTTCGTTCGTTTCGTTTGTTTTCTTCGTACATTTATCGGATCAAGGATAAACACAATTGAATGTTGAATTTTCGATTAGAATCGAAGTATATATTCCATTGCGACAAATTGGCGTTGTTAATGAGGCTATTCGTCTTGAATACATATGGTATTTAGCTCAATACCATTGGGCTTCGATTTACTAATTAACAATATATTACATACATCGTTACTAGTTTAGCCCAAAAGGTTTCATTTACTTTGTTCCGTTTGGTCATTGTGGCTTCTTTGGTTGCATTAGAATAAATTTCAGCCGGTTTTCAATCATATACATACACACACACAAACACTCGCACAACACATTTGTATAACAAATGAACTTGATTAATTCGATGAAAAAAAGTCAATTCGATTGTAAGTCTTCGGCGCCAAAAAAAAAAAACATTTGATTCCATTAAGAATATTTCTATAGTCGAGTCAATTTCATTTTTTGTTTTACTTTCGGAAAATCAATCATTTTGGCTTGTTTTTCTTCGATGAACGAATGTTGGAGTCAAAATCGACAGAACAACACAGAATGACAAAAAAAAACTATAGTTTTTGTGACAGAATGACAAACAAAAATCTCTTTTACAACATAATTGTGTACATTGTGTATTTAATGACGTAAATGAGAGAAAAACCACACCAATATCATGAATAGCGTACACATAAGTTTGATTGTTTTCATTTTAACACCAATGGATTGGAGCCCAGAAGTGGTGCTTGCGTAATCTTTCTTTGAAGTGCTTGAGGCATTGATTTTTCGTCATCATTTTAGTAAAATCAAATCTATTCATTGTTTCATTTCCCGATGTTCCATTCGGAAAACTAAAACCAATTCGTTCCTAGGGCTTTATGTGTCCGTATGTTGCAATCGACTATGATTTATTCCAAATTCTATTTGACACATAATTTAGAGATTATTGTCAGCTTGCTGATTTAAAATGTTGGCATAAAAAGTTGATTCGTAATCAATTCGAGAAGAACAAAAATAAAAACAACACGCATGTTTGCGAATCAATAAAATCCATCAGAAAAAAACAAATGCGACGGAATATCAAAATACATTCAAAAGTGATCTCTGTGCCATCAACATGATTGTAAAAAAAGCCGAATGTTTTGGAAATGCAACAACAACAATAATTGTGTACACAAATGTACAAAATGTAATTGATGTAAAACGTAAAAAAACAAATCATATATTGTGCACAAAAATATTCACTCACTCTCACAGTCAAATTTCCTTTAAAAAAAAACCTATACACAATAAACTCGATTTGCTCTATTCACTTATGTCCACTTATTCTTTTTCGTCTGAAAAAAATCCTCAAAGATTATCATCACTCACGTTTGGTTGCTGTTGTTGTTGTTTTTAGTTATTGTTGTTGTGCTTTTTTATACCATCAACGTTCCCTTTTGTGAAATTTTCAACACGACGCAACGAATACGTGTGAATAACTATTTTACTGCATCATCGTTTGTATCGGTCTGACAGAACGATGGCAGCACAGCGTAACAACCGCTCTTTTTACCTAAGGTTCACACAATATATTAAACGGAAAGTACAATTGACATTCGGCAATGGAGAAACAAAAACTGCGAAAGCAGAAAAGAGAACGTAAAATACTTTATATCGGTTCTCACAAGATATACGAGGATCTCGTTCATTTTCAAGTGTACACAGACTCGAAAAATCACACATCGTTGATATGCATATTGATGTTTCTGGCATTTTCCAATTTTCAGCATCAATGCGGAAAATGGGCACCACTTTATACCACCTTTGTGCACCTCAACAACAAAAAAAACTAAGACATTTATTCATTATTTACTCTTTGGAATCAAAGATTGTGCAATTTTACATTCAATTCGCAAATAAATTATGTAAAAAATACAAAACATAATTGATAACAAAACTGAAAATTGGCAAGCGAAATTGTTTGAATTCCAAAGATTTTTTTTATGTTTTTCTATCACATAGATAGCAAATGACATCATCAAATCATTATATTTGACGAGATAAAAAAACTGAAATTTACTAATTTTAAAGTACGTACTTAGTGTTTGTTGTCAAAACAGAACATTACTTGCCACTATAATTTCAACACAACATTTTTTCTATAGGAAAAAAAAAACAATGCGCGCCAATTAAGTTGAACGCATTTAAACTAAAACTTATCAGCTGTTAACCAATAAAACTTTAATCGATTTTAATTGTCGAATTACGATCTAATACTCATTTTATTTGTCAAAGTTAAGTTTGCTTAATAAAATACCGGTTAAAAATCATTTTCTTTTTATTTGTGCGGTGAAATATGCATAATTTTCGTGTACCACCGTCACCAACATGGTATGTACCACCGGTTTGTTCACCAGAAAACGGATTATTGTACATTACCGGTAATCATACATCAATCGCTTATATTCCGCCTGTAAAAAACAATGATTCAACCAAATCCAAAGCGACGGATGCACAAAATGTTCAAAACATACAAATTATACAAACCCACAATCAGTTAGTATTATTTTTTATCTCGTAAAATTCAAATTTCGTTTCATTCTTTTTTTGAACATTTTTGTATAATAATTTAAATATTTCCGTTGCAGCTTTAAGTCAATTGACTGTGATCCAAATTGGTCGTCGAGTAAGTGGTTTGTAACAATGAATGAACAAAATTTGATTTGGGTTTGGGATGTGGAAACGAGTAAAGTGTGTCGTGGTCATAAAGCACATGTTGCCGATGGCATTGATCGTCGTGCAAATGCAGACTGTTATATTGGTGGTGCTATGTGCATTTCAAAGAATCGTCAAGTGTTATCGATTGATCACCATGCTTTTGTTCGATACTGTTTAATATCCAATACATATTCCATGTTTCCCGATAATTTTGTTATGAAACGCGGAACAGTCAGCATTCTTAAAACATCACCGTCCAATCAGGACATCATTGCTGTTGGCTACAAAAATGGTTTGATTGTCATTGTAAACTATGCCGGTAAGATATTTATTTCGATTAATTGCATTTCGATTATGACAATTAAACGGCTCAATTGGTAAAAATGTTGTTTTTTCATATAGAAACAACGACGTTGCAAAAGTTAAGAGGTCACGATTCTGAAATCGTTTCGCTACAATGGACCTTAATTAAGGCAAAACCACGAGATAAAATCAAAACGAATGAGATTGCATTTGAAACACCAGAAAAAGCATCTTATAAGAAAGCCGATGCAATGCCGTCTACGTCGAAACAGAAGTTCAATCAAAAAAAGACAGAATCGAAGCAAAAAAATCGCGAACCACCAAAGCCGATTGTAGATGCTGGTGATATGTTTGACATTCATTCCTATGATTATTTGGAAGAGGAATTTGGAACGATTTCAAGTAAAGTGTCGGGTAAAGTTGATGATGCCAATGAAAATCAAAAAGTGGCTAGCCCCAACAATGAACATTTCAATTTTGTCGAAGAATGTCAAACGCTACGTGAAAAAATTCGCGCTGGAAATGACTCCGATTCGGATGAATCGTCCGAATTTAATCGTATGAAAAATCAATCAGCCGTTAATATGTCTGATATACAAAAATTTATGGAAACAAAAGGTCCAAATAAAAATGATTCAATTACATTGTCAGACGATTCAGACGAAGCCGTTGGAATTGATGAACTTTCGAATCGCAGCACAATCGGCAGCAGCCACAATACAACTGAAATCGTTGAACTTGAAGAAGTTATCAAAGATTTGAATATCAACGATGATTGCAATGGAATCGTTTATTTGGTGTCTGGTGCACAGGAACAAAATGTTATTATTTGGAACATTGAAACGGGATCGATTTCCGATAAAATTCAATTGAAATGTGAAAAAGGACGCCCCAAAATTCCAAGTATGTTGAATAAACGATGGTCATTGACTATTGGGCTACAACGTAGAGTCATACACATTAACAATTTAAATTAAATTATTTCCAGAACCGAATTGTACAATTGCGTGGATCTCGCCGAATGCTTTTGTTGTAAATGGTCCCGATGGAAAAATTTCGTCATGGAAAACAACAGATGAAAGCAATGACAAGAAGTGAGTTCACAATAGATTTTTTTTCATCTTATTCATTCACTTAAAAGTCGAATGCATCGTTTCAGATTGAAATTTATTTTGAATCGTCACGACTTTCCGGATACGGCTGTGATTAATATTTGCTCAAATTTTGAGTACAAACCAGTTAAATCAACGGTATGGACATTTTCAACGCATTTGAATATCGTTGGTCATTGTTTTGTTGGCGCCGAAACGAGTGAGATTATAGCAAAGTATTCAACACTACCGATTGGTATGTTTTCGATGCGAATTAGTCCGCATGATCCAAACAAGTAAGCTAAATATGCAATGCAGTTTGAGACAATTTTTATTTTATTTCGGTTAAATATTTCCAAGGATTGCAATTGCTGGTAATAATAAACGCATCAATATTTTGGATTTATCAACACTAAAGCACAATAACATCGAAATACATTCGCTAACATCAAAAATACAAGGAAAGGTGATCGCTTTGAGTTGGCATCCAACAAATGAAAATCTATTAAGTTTCAGTACAATTGAAGGACGGGTAAGTATTCGTTAATGCTGCATAGGTGTTGAATGTTGCATTTAAATTGAATTTTGTCAATCAATAGGTTGGTATTTTCAATATAAGCAAGACTACGGCTGCGCCGGAATTGATGAAGAATTTTTGTGGACGAGAGTTGTACGCATTATCATACGATCCAATTGAATGCAACCTATTTGTAACCAACCACGAATCATTGATGATGTTCAACGAAAAGTCAACAAAAGATGACAATCACAATTCAGTTCGGTTTGGGGTTGCGGTTTCATCGGTTAGCGTTAGCCCAAATGGTGTATATGTTGCGACCGGGTTTTCCAATGGTACATTCAAAATTCTATTGAATGGCCAAGATGACAAAACGGTATAAAACAATAATAACTCCAAGACTTTCCATGGAATTCAATAAAATTCGTTAAAAATTCTCAATTTTAAAGGAGCGGTATTCGGAATCGATTTCGAAAAAGTATGTATCAGAATTGTCGTGGTCAACCATCGATCCGAACAAATTGGCTGTGTCAACGAACGATGGCAAAATTTTTATCTACAAAGAAGATGCTGATACATTTAAAAGAACAGGTGAATTGATGGGACATGAGGCCGGAGTCACGTTTGTTAGTTGGAGCGGTCAGTCCGAACACAAATTGGTTTCGGCCAGTTTCGATCATACCGTACGTGTTTGGGACACACAAAAATTGGAATGCATTGCTTGGTTTGAATATGAAAATAAAATGAACTGTGCCAACTTCTTACCAACAGGTAAGTTAATCCATTCGAAAAAAATCCGCTACCGTAGCTACTATATCTTTGTTTCGTTCATTATTTCAGATGAAAACTTTGTAGTATGTTCGGGCCAATCGGAAACAATGCACATTTTCGAAATTGGAAAGCGTCTCGTTGCAGACGTCGGTGCATATAATGGCAAAAAGAACAAGAAGAAACCATTTAATAACGAAGTCAAATGGGGAACCAAGTACCAGAATGAAGCTTCAAAATTGCAATCGCAAGAGAAAAAAAAGTTAAAACAATTAGAAAAGAAAGCATCGGAAAATGTGGAAAAAATCACTGACCAATTGAATGATGTACAATTGGCTCCGCCTACTCCGTCTACTACGTTGAAGGTTAGTCATTCCAATGCGAATACCACCAAACACACAATCAAGTTATTTATCTTTTACTTTAGTTGAATCACACCACCATTTTATATTTGACCAACAAAGAGATCAACAAGAATCCGCTTGATCAATTGCAAAGTTTACTGCAAAAATCAACGAGTTCCGGTGACACCAGTGAAAATGCACAAGAATGTCTTCATGAAAAATTGTTCGGCAATCGTGAAGACGTCATGAAACTTCTGAACGATGAATGTAGGTTTAATATCATCCGATGAAGTTATGAAACGACACTTGATTTTTTTTTTATTTTTAGTGAAAAATCATCGATTTTCAAAAACAAACTCCATTGGTAATTTGCTCATTCCACAAATTCAGTATGACCTGAAAGCCAATATCATCGAGAATATTGAAGGAAAATCTTTAACCGAACAACACGTTTCATTGGCACCGTCCATTTCATATGAGTAAGTGCACCGTGTAATAATAACTCAATGCCATTTCAAATTTGTATTTATTATTTCGATAGATTCTGGAAAAATTGCTCACTAGCATATGCCAATCAATGTGTTGAACAAGGATTCACTTTGCAAGCGATTCCACATCTTTTGGCCATACAACAAGTGAACGAAGCCATTGAAAAATTGTGCGATGCACATTTTTATCGTGAAGCATGGTGCATTGCCAAAATGAATAAAGAGTCGGAAGACAAGATTCTCGATACAATTACCACCAAATGGATTCAACATATGGAGCAATTGGGCAATCTCGAAGGTGCCGCTTTGATGTGTGTATACCATTATCATAGCTCTTAAATGTTCTTGACATCGTTTGTCCTAGATTTTAATTCATCCAATTGAATTTTTATTTCAGTTCATTTTTGTCGGGCAAACGGGAATCGGCATTCAACATACTGAATAAACGAAAATTCAAGACTGCACAGATCGAAGACATACTCGGCCATTTGTCACCAGCTACACCCAATTGATCGAACCAAATCGCCAACATTTTCAACTTTACTCTTGAAGAGCCTAACAATGAACTTACCAAAACGTGATTTAATCACTACTGCTGTCATTCAGTTCAATTTGTCTCATATGTGATTTGAAATCTCAGCTAAAGATAATAAAATAAGCAAAAAAATATCATTTTATCGGCCAAATAAAGTAGCTATTTTACGTAAATCCATTTGATGTGCGTTTTTCTATATTTGAAGAAGCACCTTTACTAGATTCATTCACTAGATTACACTAAAAATTCATCTCAAATGTGAAATGTCTCCATGAGCTGCATAGAGAAAAAAAATAAAAAGATGCAAATTTAACTTTTCACCACCTTTCATGATGTCGATACAAAAAAGAAAAACCATCCAAAATGTTGATTATCAAACGTTATTTATTTCAATCTATTTTAAAGGTGTGTCTTGATTTTTATTGAACAATATTAATATTTCATTGTGAAAATGTACGTAAATATTCGTATATTGTTCCCCTATATTAATCTATTCAGTCCATCGATGTGTACAGTTTGGATTTGTGCACACATAGTACAATCTCATTTCTTCTTCGGCTCGTCGTGTTTGTGCTTGGAAAAAGACAGCCTCTCTATGGCCACATTTTGGACAGGCATGATCTTCTGTACGGGGCAACGTTGGATCTGATATAACGTCTGGCACAATGTGTGTTAATTCACTAGAGAAAAATGCAACAACAAAAACAATCCATCACAATTAAATTCCACCAACTATATTTCACAATTGACAATTTTGTTCAACTTACTCGATTTCGTGCATAATTTTGTTCACATAAATACAATTTGAGTCAGCTTCTTGTTTATAGTCACAATTTCGGCACGCATACAATAGTATTTTATTCTCTTTGTCTTCTTTCGGATACAACATATTATTGCTGAAATGAAATGAAAATGAGTGTATTGTTCGGAAATTCGATGATATTTTGAATTTTGTACAAACCATTCCTGACAGAAACGAATGCCGACAAAACCGGGGCCATCGTCATGTGCATCGTAACCATGAGACATGTTTATTTCACGTTTTCCTTCCCAACGGATGTACAACGACTTAGTAAAACGTTATATTTTCTTTTGAATAAAGTATCAGAATTGCAGTTGCTTCTTTTAATGGGAAACTTAACTGTTTGTCAATTTATAATAATATAATAATAATTATTTATAATGTATAATTAATTTATAATGTATAATAGCTATACCGCATTTGGCTTCAAAACAAGCTGCCAAACAAATGTAATTTACATTGTGTCGGATGACATATGAGAAATTCACCAAACTTGATTCAACTTCACCTCAGTTTCGAAACTCACAGAGTGATGTTGATTGATTAGTTTGGTGAGAAAAAAAAAACATAGTAACACAATATAATGATTAAAATATATAAACAATAAAAAGTGTAAGTAATGGAATCTTCAATAATTGGCATTTGTGAAACTATGTGTCCGCTCAATGAAATTAAATTGTATGTACTGATTTTTGTTCTTCCAAATGAATTCTGGATACATTCCACATATTTGATTTGTCAACAGACGTACGCGAGAAGGGCTATTACATTTTTATGAACGTAAACCATCCAGAACCGGTGAATATATTGTCGATGAATCAAGAGTGGTCAAAGAATTTTCCCGATCGGCAGCCGGTGTTCAATCGCCCAAACCCAATAATTTGAGAACGAAACAATGTCTCAAACGCACTGTAGAATATTTATTGTGGGATATTATAACAGATGATCGGAAACCATTTCATGTTGCGTATGATTTTATTTTCGATCGATTGCGTGCCATTCGTCAAGAAATTGTTATACAAGATTTTGATGAAATAACAACCATTGAACTAATTGAACCAATGATCATGTTCTTGGCATACTCACTGTATAGGTGAATTTTTGAATTTCCGTGTCAAAATCAACAAAATAACACTCAATGATAAATGCTACTATTTGCAGACTAGTCGATGAGCCAATCGAACGATTCGATCCGAAAATATGCCGTCAACATTTGCAAGAGTGTTTGAAGAAGGTGCTAAAGTGTTATGATACATTGGATGAATCAAGTGAGAAGAATCATGGCGATGACGCTGATGTACAAAAGGCTGTAGCTCATAGGGAATTCATTGAATCACTATATTTATTGTTCAACTTGGGCAGTGGCGAATCATTGGCCAGAGCCCTACATACACCATCAAAGTTTAAGTAAATTACTACTGGTTTCTAGAGCTGTTTTTGGCACCGGTGAAATGCTTTCCATTTCCGAAAAAGAGCAGCATATATATTGATTTTCAACTTTTGTATTAAAAGGAATTGCTTTCGAAATCGTTTCAGGAATTCAACATTTAAATGTTCTTTCACCGTTGCTCTATCGTTTTGGACTCGGAATTTCTACAAGTGTCTTTCAAATATTATGAATTTGCCATACATATTGTGTGCAGTGGCTTCGCTGCATGTACAATCAATTAGAAGGTATATTATTATTATTTTTTTTGATCGAAAAGTATGACTTTGCTGACATTTGAATTCCTCTCTTCCAGGGAACTCGTGCAATCTTTCTCTGTCGCTTATCATAATAAATTACTGTCCGTGTCATTAGAATGGTTGAAGAATATTACATTTTTTCATTCAGTTCAAGAATTAATATTGGACTTACGATACTACGGATTGTCGGTTGACACACAAACAAAAACCGTTAACTTTCAACGTGATGCATTTCAAGCATCAAAACCAATTGTAAATGTTTACATTTTATATTTAACTTATGCCAGATTAACGTTTCAAATTTTTCAAATTCAATAGATAAAATCGAGGAGAGAACAATTCGTCGATGTTCAATTGAAATATTCCATTAAAGACATGTTGCTGCTGATCAAAATCTAATGTATATGAATCCACCGAAGACATCCCATCTTTGTTTTTATCAAGAAATAAAAAGCCTTTTGATAAATGAATGATTTTTTTATTGCTTGAAAATTGAAGAGAGTGAAAAAATGTGAAGTTTTTAAAAAACATAAAAATATTCACCACACATGAACACATGTGGTGCCACCTATTTGTGACTGGCACATTCAACACAAACATGCTATGGTTCTATGATTCATTGACATAAAACTAAACTTGAAGTTGTCAATGTTTTTTTTTTGTAAATAATTTCATTTCCAGACGTTTTTAGAAGATTGCGTTTTATTTTGTTTGATTTCGATGAAATTTCACTGAAATTGTGCTTTTTTTTGAATTTTTCAATCTTTTATTCATTCGTCTGCATCTTGATTTTCGTTATTTTCACACAATAAAAACGATACGCCGAAACGCAGAAAAAAAAAGAGATGAGCGGCGAAGACGAAAAAGGTAAGTAGAATATTGTGGTGGTGTGCAATGGGTAAATCAATTATGGCAATGTTATTCATTGCAGTGAGTGTGAATTCACCCAAAAAAGAGGAAAAGAATGCAGATGAAACGGTTCAATTGCAATTGGTCGTCGATTCCGAAGCGAATGCCGAAGCAAATACCGAGCCGAAAGATGGCCCAACAATTACAAAAATGGAAGATGTAATTACCATCGATCCTGAATGCGAAGTATTGGACTTGAATCATGCACGGATCGGAAAAATCGAGCATCTTGAACAAATGGTTAAATTGGAGCGATTATATTTGCGATGGAATTTATTGAAGAAAATCGAAAATTTGGATTCACTCAGTCGACTCGTTGAACTCGAACTGTATGATAATCAAATCACTCAAATTGAAAATTTGGATAATCTCGTCAATCTCGAGTAAGTCAATAAGATTGCATTCATCGCAATTGTATACAAATAAAAAAAAATTAAAATTTTCGGCAGGATATTGGATTTGAGCTTCAATCGAATTACGGAAATTAAAAACTTGGACAAATTGGTGAAACTTGAAAAGTTGTATCTGTGTGCTAACAAGTTATCGAAAATTGAAAATTTGGAAAAGTTGACGAAATTGACAATGCTTGAACTGGGCGATAACCGATTTCGTGTAAGTCAGACAAGAATTTTGAATCGTCCCGTAACATACAACCGCGCTTAAAAACATTTTTCTTTGTTCCATGCGCAACAACAAATGCAGTGAGAACAACATCGAAGTAGCCGCTGCTTCTCCGTTGTGTTAGTCTTGCATTCGATATTGCCAATGGCACAAAGAAGAATGTACGTTAGCGCAAGACTCTGTGTATATTCTTCCATAAGAAAAAAAAATGTTTACAGATTTACTTCAATAAGCGTAGGAATGAGCGCGGTTGAGTTTGTGCATTTATTTTACTCATCATGTGCGATTTGTTATAAAGGTGTATGTTTTTTTTCATCATTATAGGTGATTGAAAACTTGGATACTCTCACCAATTTGACGCAACTATATTTGGGCAAAAATAAAATTAAGAAAATCGAAAATTTGGATAAGTTAGTCAATTTGGAGCTGATATCGTTGCAAGCCAATCGTATTGTCAAACTCGAGAATTTGAATCAATTGGTGAACATGACCGAATTTTATATATCAGAAAATGGAATTGAGAAAATTGAAGGGCTTGAAGCAAACAAATCGTTGGAAACATTCGATATTGCAAAGAATCGTATCACTATCATTGAAAATGTCGATCATTTGGAGAACTTGGAGGAGTTTTGGGTGAGTGTGTTCGACTGATAAAAAATACCGTTTATTTCTAATTTGACTCATATTTTTTTACCATTCAAGGCCAATTCAAATCAAATTTCGGATTGGAAATGTGTGGACAATCTTCGAAACAACAAAAAACTAACAACCGTATACTTGGAACATAATCCAATCGCAAAGGACGTCCAGTACCGCACAAAACTCAAACTTACCTTGCCAAATCTCCGTAAAATTGATGCAACACTTTGCAAATAAATGGTTATCATCTACTGTATAAAATAAGAATAAAAATTTAAGATCATTGAACACCATTGGCGATTTTATTTTGATTTTGAACAATTCTAAAAGAATTGGAGAGAAACCAAATCAAATATCTTGAATGTGATTAATTAAATACTCAAGCCACAATTTTATTCCAGTAAAACATTGTTTTATTTTTTTATTTTATTTCAAAGAATGAGTACACTGAGTCTAATATTTTTGGTAGACAAAATTTAGCATGGCACACTCCACTCACACGCCATTCGTATATAAATCCTATGTCAATGGAGAGTTTCTCTGCTTACTTTGATTGTTATTTTGTCTATCAAAAAAATTAGATTCACTGTATTTTGTTCTTTTTGCATTTATATTAAAAGCTATGTCAACGTTGATGACCGCATTTGAAAGTATCAATCGTGCCTCATTATAAACGATGAGTTCGTTGTACTTCTGGAATGAATTTCCTTCATTCATCAGTCTCCCGGTTATCATTTCCACCCCATCAATGTATTTGATGGCTGGAAATCTGAATTCACTAACGCCATGTACCGATTGACAATCATCAGGAAGAATGTCTATAATATGTGGTTCATAGCAAGGATGAGAGTTACCTAGAGCCACTTCGCAAAGCAATATCAGTCCCATTTTATTGCATAGCAAAAATACATGCCAGTGTCGGCTCTGTCCATGCAAAGTCCTTCAGCCAAAATATTGGAAATTTCGTGATTCGATTCCCCAAAAAACTGAACCCCGCCTAAAGGCAGGGTATGCATTGACAATATGTTTTGTAACAATGAAACTCATTGTTTACAACAAAACATACAATTACCAAAATACATTTGGTACATTTGAATGTTGTGACGACAATAATTTGTGTCTTCAGCGTGTATCCGGAAATGTCAACAGACATATAAAATACTAAAAATTTCTATGAAATTTAGTTCAATGTTGTTTCTTTTTCGTTAATTTCATTTGATTTTTTTTTTTTAATTTCTAATGAAAACCATAAAACAATTCGAATTTGAGTCTATAGAAATCTAATTAATTTTAATAAAAAAACAAAAAGTGTTCTACAATTTGGACCAAATTATTTGGTTCTTATAAGGACATACGCATCCCCCCTGACAATTCAATGGTAGTTCCATTTATGTATGGATTTTGGACAATTGATTGTACAAGATGAGCAAATTCGTCTCCATTACCGTATCTATTTGGGACAGTGACACAATATAGGCCCAATGATTCTTCAAGATGTTTCGGGAAATAGTTATTCATTGGACTTCTTATGAAACCCGGTGAGATTGTGACAACACGAATGCCTGTACGAGCAAAGTCTTCTGCTAATGGCTTTGTCATACTGTGAATAGCTCCAGACGCGGCTGCAATTGATGTTTGGCCCATTATTCCATTGAATGCTTCCACACCTGAAGTATTGATGATGACACCGCGAAGACCGCCTTCATCTGGCTGATTGTTAGCAAACAATTGAGCAGTTAAGCGAATCACATTGATAGTTCCACCTACATTTGTCTTGAGAAAAACATCGAAATAATAAATTAAATTCATCTCTCGGAAATTGTATATCATTTTATCACTTATTCAACGTACCATTAAAACGTCTTCAAAGTCTTTCAACATTTTTGGTAGGTCAAGGTTGAAATTATATGTAAGATGGGCATCACTCACACCAGCACAATTCACCAGTACATCAAGTTTGCCATATTTTTTAGATATTTCATCTGCGAGATTTTCAATATCCCTTTCTGACATTACATCAGCCGGAATGAACTGTACATTTTCTCCAATTTCTTTAGCTACCTGTTCACCTTTTGATGTTGGCAAATCACAAATTATCACTTGTGAACCTTTCTTCACAAATCGATTAACTGTGGCACGGCCGAGACCGGACGCTCCACCAGTTACTAACGTTACAAGATTCTAGAAAAGAAAACAAAAAAATCGTTTATATATATTTAATATTTTTGATTAATTTTTATTTCTTCTGACATACCTTGAACATTTTTCAATCGAATGCCGTCAAATTATTCAATTTATTTTTGAAATATATTACGAAAAACTTGATCTTTTGGTGTAATCAAAACGATTTTAGGTTAGTTTCGGCATCACGCATTTGACATCTGTCAGCACATTGCTTATCGCTCAATTTCACTAAAGAAATGTTCAAATGTCACGAGAATGTCTATTTGAAAAAAATGTTGTTGGCAAAATTCTTAAAATAATAGAATACATAATACAGAAACCATTTTTGGTTGACTTTTATTCTTTATGCTTATATTAAAAAAGGAAAAACTGATATTAATGCTTACTAAATTATGCAATTAAATAAATCTTTTACTTAAAACAGATCTAAACGAAATCTAATTCATAGTCAAACCTCCGGAGCCGCATTCTGTGTGTATATTCAATGCGTAAAAATGATTTTAGTACAATACTTTATTCAAAAATGCGATAAGATTTTTTTTTTATGTTCTCTGTGTAGATTTTCAGTCAAGATTCTTCGAAAAATATTCTATTTTTATTATTTGTATCCAAATTTCAGTTCAATGAGTTAATTCTAGGAGGGAGACACGAATTTTTTACTATACAAAACCAGAGCATGCCAGAAGCTACTAAAAGAATATTTATGAAAAAATGTTCATGTCGATTCTTCTACCAATCAATACAAAATACATTGCCAATACTTTTCTTATGAATCGCATCATATCGGTACATTTTTGCAAACAAAATATTTGTGTTTATAGAGTATATTAAATGAAAGGTTCTACTAGTTTTATGTCTTTTAAAATAAAAACCATTCAGAAGTTCATTTAATTTATCAAAAAAAAAAAATCATATCACTGAAAATAGTATAAAAAAGACAAAAAAACGTTAATTTATCATCAAATATTTTTATTCAAATTTTAAAAATGTTAACTGGACAATTGAGATTTTCGACCATTTGCCTTTCAAAATTGCAAAAAAAAAATAATCATATTTATCTTCACTGGTGCATCGTCGACTTTACAATACAAAATAAATCTGCTCACCTTGGTATGTTGGTTGAAATCATGTTATCGACAGACGAACAATTGTTTTATTTATTTTCCAACATAAAATCATCAGTATTGTTATTGCTGAATTTTGTTGACTAAATCTTACGTTAAAAATAAAATAAAATCCATATCATTTGTATTTAAGTAAAAAGAAGTCATCAATTTATTTTGTAATAATGTAACAATCAAGCAAAATGAAACAATGATTTGTACAAATCAAAGCAAAATGAAACAATGATTTGTACAAATCAAAGCCAATTTAAACAAAAACCAATAGTTTAGAATGCAAATTAAATGTTTAAATTTGTAGTATGTTCGGCTTCAATAAACAAAGAATATCCATATTTTGTGATGTTTGTAAAATATGCTAGCAAATTTGATGACTAGGTATAAGTACGAATGCGTACGCTTGAGAACATTTTTCATCTAAACTAAAGCAACTTATATCAGTTTATTTTTACACTTTGAAACAAAACATTACAATGGACATAAATCACACAAAACATTCAACAGTATACAACTTTTCCAATGCGAAAAATAAAATAATTGGTAAATTTTGGTGAAGCGCATCAATTTGGAAATCGTTGTAGATATTATGTCCTGTTCATGATTTATGATATTGGAAAGATATTCAATGGTAATCAGGAAATGCTGAATATATTGCAAAACTGCATGGTAATGGAAGACCGAATCGTCTAGTATGAACTAAATTAAAATTATATCAATTGATTTCTGAGACAATCCAAAATGTAATCTAGTAGTTTTTCATTTTCGCTGAATATAAATCGAATCTTCACCATTATGTACAGATGTTATGTCATGCCCTATTTGTCATCCCATCCCAGACTTCCAAAGTCATTGTTTTCATAGCTGCCACTGTCAAGAGCACCATTATAAACACCACCAAAATCACCAATGCTGCCAAAATCTCCTCCTGTCCACCCTCCTAAGATCAATTTGAATGGTACATTCGTACGATTATTTAGTAATTCTATCGAAAATTATCGAAAAAAAGACAAACCAGCCAAATCGAGACCACCAGAGTAACCACCGCTCCATCCGTCATCATGGTCATCGTGATGATGGTGATGGTGATGATCGTGTCCGTGGTCAATGTGTTTGATGTGTTTGTAAATTGTGTGCGTATGATGATGGTGTTTTATGTGATATGGAACGTGAATGATTATATGCTTATGATGCGATCCACCGGCTGCACAAAACGACCCTAAGACCGTGAGAGCCAACAATGTCATTATCTAAATACGAAAGAAGAGGAAAAAAACGAATCAAAGAGAAGCGAAATGTATTACACATTGATGATGTTCTTTGATAACCACAGTAATTAAGTTCAAATCACTTAAATAAAAGAAAGCATTGAGATGATGTACCGATAAAATATTATCTTGACGTGTTTCATCACATTATCTAACAGATTATAATCTAAAAACAATGATTTCAATTTAATCTTCGATGGCCGTCAATCTTTCTTCTTTATATCGCAGCGCCTGCATTCTGTTTATACCATAATCATGTTGAACATGACATGAAATACAAAATGTACAATGAAATTTATTTAATTACTTTGCATAATTATATGTTGCATTTGATATGCAATCAATTATATTCAAATTTACGAAAAAAAAAAAACATTTTTGTGTGTGCCTAAATTATAAAGAGAGTCTGAGAAATGTGACTCGATTCATCTCATGGTAGATATTTTCTTCGCACATTTACAAAATTGTGGCACATCGTTCAGTTATTAAGATGCCAATTTAGTTTGAACCAAATTTTGATTGTTGTGGAATATGGTAAAACACAAAATCTTCCATTTCAATTGAATCCGTTACTTTTACTGACATTTCCATTTCAGTTATATGAATATCGAGGTGAACGAAGAAAAAACAGAACAATACATAACAATATTAATTACGCACTGTCGCATTTTATTTCTTTATCTTCTGTTTCTCAGTGATCCAAATGAGCAACGATTTCGTAACTTTTTTTTGGTGATTATATAATCGAAACCATCAGAAAAGAGAACACTTCGAATTCGAATGGATGCATTTTACGATTAATATACAATAAACTTACGTTATTTGCAATAATAAAAAAATCAAACCGAAACAACAATTACGACCATTATTTGAAAATGATGTAATTGAAAGTAATTCGAGATATAGTGACATTAATTGATATTGGATTCGAGCGGATGACCAAATATGAAAAAAGTGAATCTCACATGTGATCTACTTAAAATTCATTATTTTAACGACAACTATTGTATAACATATATGTTTGAAATGAAAAATCACATGCAAAATATATATCCGTTTTAAACAAATTCCTTGTGCTGCATGAAAAACGTTTTTCTTTTCTTTTGATTAAATATATTATATATATTATTATATATATTACAGGGGGAGGAAAAAATTTTAAGCCTGACATATAGACGGCACTAGATACAAATTGTTCTTGTGCTGTAATTGAAGTACGAACTGTCAATAGTATTGCAGAAAAAAATTGAGTTGATATCTGTCGTCGTTTGTTTTCAACAGCATTGCATACCAAGTAACCTCGATATTTTTGAAAAAATGGATAAAATCGAATATCGTGCGGTGATTAAGTTTCTCACAAAAGAAGGTGTGACACCAAAGGATATCAATGATCGCTTGCGTGCTGTTTATGGGGTCCTTGCCCCATCGTATGCCACAGTAAAACTATGGGCAAAACAATTCATTGGGGTAGAGAATCATTGTAAGATGATCCTCATACAGGTCGACCAATTGAAGCAACAGCTTCAGTTGTAGTGCAAAAATTTGAACATCACGTGCACGAAAATCCTCGAATGAGCAAGAAAGTGTTAGCAGCAATGTTTGACATCTCAGAGAAGAGTATTTACAACATACTTCATGAAAAATTGCACATGAGAAAGGTTTGCTCACGATGGATTCCAAGAACGTTGAACAAATCACAAAAAGAAGAACGAATTGCTGCTGCACACGAGTTTCTCGAGTTGTTGGAATGGAATGAAACGGACACATTTGAGCGAATAGTGCCTGGCGACGATTCCTGGATCCACTACTATGATCCAGAGCTCAAATCACAGACGATGGAATGGCACAAACGTGGTGAACCAGCATCGAAAGTGCCACGCAAACAAATTGCCACAAACACAGTAATGGCCTCTGTATTCTGGGATGCCAAAGGCATATTATTGGTTGAATTCCTTCCAAAGAATACCACAGTCACGGGCTATTATTATGCTCAACAAATGCATAGATTGCGTAAAGCGATCAGAGAAAAGCGTCCTGGTTTGCTCACTCGAAAAGTTCTTCTTTTGCATGACAATGCACCGCCTCACAAATCATTGCTTGCACAAGCTGCCATCAGGGAATGTGGGTTCGAACAACTCCACCATCCACCGTATTCTCCAGATCTGGCACCCAGCGACTATTTCCTGTTCCCAAACACCAAAAGATATCTAAAGGGGAAGCAATATGAGTCCGAAGAAGAGATATCGAACGATATTTTCAACGTATGGGAGGACAAAGATGCCGAGTGGTTTGAAGGAGGAATTGAAGCATTGAAGCATCGATATGAAAGTGTCATTCGTGTTCATGGAGACTACTTTGAATAATAAATATAGTCATTTAAAAATACAATGTGTGTTTCTATATCAGGCTTAAAATTTTTTCCTCCCCCTGTAGATATGTCTAAGTAATTCTATTATTTGCACGTTCAAGAATCTTTTCATTGAGGACAATTGTTATTTTTCCGATATTTGGACATGAAAAGACTATATATACTCATTTCTAATAAGAATATGAGTAGATCGATCAAAATTCTATCGAAAAAAATGTATAGAATTTTTCTACATATATTTGCTTGGGAATTGAAGATAAATGTCGAAAAAATCTACATTTTTTAAAAATTCCCATGGAAAAAGGTGGCAATTTCCAATAAAGTTAAAGCAAAAAAGTTCATTCGCATAGCTGTGTGATTCTGTTTTAATATCTGTTTTCATTTTAATTACTTCATATTGTTGATTTTTTTATTATGTATTATATTCATAATGCGAACTCCTTCGATATTAAGTATTTCTCATGCATTTCTCGTCTCTTTATCTCAAATGATGTGTGTATAATTTTGCAGTGTATCGATAATTTTGTTTTGGTACGTCTATTGTTATTTAGTTTCAATTCATTTAAAACAAATTATATTGAACGAAACGATGTTCAATACTACTTCATTCAATATTCTCATTCGCACATTACTATTGTAATTACTGATGCCGGTAGGAAAAACTGCCGATTGTTATTTCATTTAAATGTTAGCATATCAAACAAACGTCTTCATTTGTCGGTTAATGCATTTTCATACAGTAATTCAGTTGAAGTCTAATGAATGAATCTTAGTGCTTTAGATTATGATGTGAAATAGATAATAAACATCACATATGATTGAGAAAATCACAAGTACAATCACATGTACAATCACACACACGCACTGATGAACAGATAAATCAACTGCGCTCGAGATAATTAAAGGTGAAAGGAAGCTTTTAATATCGAATATAATTAATTTTTTTGAATTATCAAAGTTATTTTGGCCGACATTTTTTTTGGACAAACAATATCACAGCGACAAAAAAACGTGTGTACAAAATGGATTTATTCACTTAATTCACTATAACACGAAAAACCGTCCACAATGTTGAAAAATCAAATCCCATTGATTCAGTAGCTTGTTTAACGATCGAACACACTTACCACAAACTGTTGAGCCATTGTAATGTATTGAATTTATTTTTTATGACACGTTTTAGAAGACAACTGCGTTAAATATGCGTAAGATAAGATTGTTTTTTCTTTACACTGTTTTGTTTTGTTTTTCTCTGCAGCAAATAGGCCGATGTTAACCATCCAAACACTACTTCATTTATGATGACCGGGTTTATTTTACATCTTCTTTTATACCATTGCATGCAGCGGTGGCGGCGGTATCGGCCCTACAAATCAATTGGTATTAAATAACTCTTGTGTGCGCGTACTTCTTCAAAAACAGTGCAACGGATGAGAGAAAAACGAAGGAAAGAAAAATTGAGAGCGTTTTTTTTATTATTTTGAGTGAGACTATTACTTTTTTCTTCGTGTGCTTTTTTTTTAAATGTATTAACATGAGAATTATCATTTAAACATTACGTTTATTCACTTATTACAGTTATATTGTGCATATGGATTATGTTTCTTTGTCGCAGTTTGGTTTGATATGAAGAAACCAATCACCGAAAAAAGAAAAAATAATGAAAATATCACGAAGATGTGAATGGGACACGCTTTATTTTCGTTAAATGTTTTTGTTGTTCTTTTATTGCGAATCAATATGAAAAAGCATTCTCCCAGCGATTATTGGGAATGAAAATGCACGGGGAAGTTCAAGCTGTACCAATTTCATTATCGCTTTGCGGTTTTACATCTAAATAGTGTGGTTGTGTTTTTTTTTTGGTTAATCTTTTGATTACAAAACGTTTCAAGTGCAATTTGCCCAAAACGTAATTTTAATTCCGTGACATTTCACGTTTGTCCAATTTAATCGATTTGAATCGTGTAAGTTCTTCGCCCTCATCAAGTCATTTGGCGATAGTGTCTGGCAACATGAATGCATGCACAAATTCATTGCACTATTGATTAGAAACAACAACAACAAAAAACAAAACGATTTGTTTTTGTCTTCATTTTCTTTCCAATTACTGATTTGATCAGGTCACTGCAGATATTAATCCCGTATATTGTGTTTGATGTGAAGTTCCTTTCCATTTTCGTTTTCTCATTTCCAAACGAAAATTAGTCAAAAAAAATGTTCAATCCGTACAAGTGAGTTGACTCCAATTACGAATGTTTTGTCTTCCGCATTTAGCTTCCCATTTTTGTTGACGATAGATTTGTTGAGTCGCAATGTTGCCGGTACAAAATTGTCAAAACAAAGATCACAATTCATTATTCAACAATTCGTTCGTCTCGTTTCTTTCATTGCATTCTTTAATTTGATGTGCCAAAGCCAATTTTTGGTGTTTTTCTTTCTTCATTTGTCAATTCTGCGAACATTTGTCAGATGCCAACTTTTCGCTTCGGTGAATTTGAACTCTTTTTGCTTGACTAATTTATATGTAGATGTGTGTATGGTATCAATTTCATCAGTTCGTCTTGATGTTAATGTTATAGTGCGGGAGAGCGCCATGATATAATTACAATAGACAGCTTTTTTTGAACTCGAAACACCGTCGCTTATGTTACGTTGCATGTCGTTTTTATTCGCGAAGTAAATTCGTGCAGATAGAGATGTAATCGATCTTTCAGCGTAAAAAAGATTTATTGCACACACCATTAATGATGCTCACACTTCAATATAAATGATCGCATAAAGTGGAATATTTATGTGCAAATATATTCGACTGATGTGAATTTCGAATAATTTGATAGAATAATGCCGACAACATAAATAGCATGACGTCATTCATTATCATGATTTGCAGTAAGACGAAGTGGAAAAATATGCTAATTAAAAGACATTGTGATTGATCAATATGTCGATCGGACAAATGTGAACTATGAAGAACACTGTTGATTATGAGTGTTTTTTTTTTAAGATTCCTCCCATTCAATTTCGTGCGTTAAGGAGGAACAAACAAAAGAAAAAACAAATCAAGACGAACACCACATAGGAAATTATGCTTGTGTACTCGGTTTTTATTCGAAGTGTTTTAATACTAAAAATCGGAAACGATACGGCGAAAGTGTGGTGTTCATTGTTGTTGTTGTTTTTTTCTCCAGCATCACTACTCTTGAAGTGCAACGCACATTTTACGATAACTTATTTCATCGAAATAAAAACGAACACAACAAATAATAACATTCAAAACAATAGCTGTAGATTGCTCTAAAAATCGAACAAATATGTAATAAATGCATGTAATGATAATTTGAATAAATTAAGCTTCTGTTTCAATTTCATCGGCAAATATACTAAAATATATTACATATGGAATACGAAAGTGAATCTTTGTTTCGGTTTGTGTGCTTAAATTTTTGCTTTATCTGGAGCATGCATTATCCAGCAGTGCGTGCGTAGCATTTCAATCATAAAAAAATGTGCCAACAAAAACAGTACCATCAATAATGAAATTGTTTTGATTTTTTTTTGTTTCTTATTTTTCTTCTTCTTTGGCACAAAATGTGGTGCAAACATTACATGATAACTATATTGTAAGAGAGTGAATTGAAGAGAATTGAAAGAGTACAAGAGTGATGTACGGAACTAAATCAATTAATATAAACACACTCCCAAATGAATAATAAAGTAATTATGTCAATAAGTGACTTGTCGAATATCGGAAGTATTTGCTTGAACGATCCCACATCGTTGTCGCTTTGATGGGCTGCTACCAGGGAAATGAACATTTTACTTGAATCGTTTTCATTTCTTCATTATTCAGTTTTATTTTCTTCTCTTGGTTATGGTTTTTTGTCAATTCACCTAATTGTATTGAAGTATTTCACGACAATGGAATCATTATCAAAACAAACCGATTTCGTATTAAAAGACCATAACAACTGAACCGATAAATGTAAAAAAAATCGTTATACAATATACATGCTGTAGTTCAAATTTAGTTGGACATTTTTTTTTATTTTCGTTTTCTTCGGAAGTCACATACAATAGCAAAAACATTCGATTTCACTGTGGACAATAATTAGAATGTGCGTTGATAGGAAAGCACATTGATATGTATTGAAGAACATACACATTTTTCCGCGTCATTCAGCACTGAGAGAATACTACCGAATCGAATGAGTGTCATGGACTCTTTTTTGCAAGTTCAATGAAGAGACCGTTTTGTATGGATTTTGTAACAAAAATACTCTCTGCTTTTAATGCTTTAATACTTTTGTTTCTTGTTCTAAAAACAACGGATATCGTGACACTACGTTTACTGGTAATTTCTTAAGGGCAACCATTTTGATTTTTTCTTTGTTGGATTTCACTTCCAAAGTAAATACGAGAACATATTCGACATAACAATTTTTTTCTGATTTTGCTTCTCTTTAAAAACAAGGACATTTACAAGACTGCACCTTTTATAGACAAATTATAAAAATATTCAATTCACTTCGCTCGCTAACTTATTTCAGCATCTTTTCTCAATAAAGAAATTCTATTCTTATTTAAATGGTTGTAAAAATCACGAAAGTGGTTGTTTTTATAGACGGCGGCTCTTTTTTAACCGAATTCGACGTTTGGTGCTGGTTGTCTCATAAAACTACCCCGAATATTTTTGATTTTCGATCCTAAGCTTTCCGAGAAATTTCAAATTTTACACAAACTTCAACGGTTTCAAAAACCACTTCTGATTGATATATAATTTATACCCTCTGATCAAAAAGTTCTCGGAAATCGCGAATTAAATCGAGCGCGGTTCGCGTATGATCAAATTTATTTTTTTGTTAGGTTGGCAGTATCGACCTCGATATATGTGCAAAAATTGTAATTGTGCGCAATATGTTAGCTAGTATGTGTTTGACAGCGGTTTGTTTTGATCAATCCAAGTGCGTTTTTCGATTTTTTACAATGGATAAATTAACTGAACAAAGAGTGTGTTTGAAATTTTGTGTTTTGAATGAAATTTCTTGTGCGGATACATTAAAAATGATAAAAAAAGCCTTTGGGGATATTTCCATCAAGAAAACAACAGCATACGATTGGTACAAAGCATTCAAGGAGGGGCGAGAGACCTTTGAAGACAAGCCTCGTTCTGGTCGACCATCAACTTCTGTAACCGAGAAAAAAGTCGAAAAAGTGAAGAAAATCGTGCTATCAAACCGTCGTGTTGGCATTAGAGATATAGCTGAGGAGTTAAACATCTCCTATGGATCGGTTCAACACATTTTGGTTGATTTACTGAACATGACACGTGTGGCCGCACGGCTTGTTCCAAAAGAGCTGACTTTTCAAAAAAAAGACCGTCGAGTGGCAGTGGCAAAAGAGATGCTTGGCAACGTGTCTGAAGACCCAAACTTCAAAAAACGGATCATAACTGGTGACGAGACATGGATTTACGAGTATGACGTCGAAACCAGCCAAAAATTATCCGAATGGCGCGAAAAAAACGAGCCGAAACCCAAAAAACCACGTCAAAGTCGGTCCTGTTTGTGTGATAAGAAATGGGAATGTAAAGAACACATTTGAAAAAATGGTTGAAATATCTTAAACGCTGTACAATTCTTGCTCAAAATTCAAATTTAATAGCAGTCCTAATGAATGTCAGTGTGTTTATCGAAACTCAATATTTCCATGCTTTATTTCTTTTCTCTTTATTTAAATCATTCTCGAGAAATTGGAAAAAATTACAAAATTCTGATTGGGTAAGAACGGATACGTATATATCATCAATAACAAACATATAATAAACGAAAATTACTTGCAAAAAAAATGTAACGAATCTTATTCATATAAAATGACTATTTAAATATTTAGTGATAATAATTCCTGAGTGTTTTTCTTGTGTTATTTTTTGATCTGATGCATGCGATAATAAATGGATTTATGCCTTCTTTCGTTTTGTGGCAGTGTTTTTATCGGTTTTTTCTTCGGCGCCAAAGTTAAATTTGCGCTTCAATCGTTCTCGGATCAGCAGACCTTTGATCAATTTCTTCCAATTACCATATACACGAGCCTCAAATTTCTCGGTTTCCTTACGAATTTGCTCCTCTCGATCGATTTTCCATTGCATGATAACATCTTCAGCAAATTCTTCGCACACCACAAAACCATCGAATGTTGGATGTGAGCTGCCGCTATGAAAATCAAAACCAATAACGGCTTGAGCACAATCAATGCCCATTTTCTTGCAAATTCGATTCAAATTTGGCAATTGAATGTGACGCGTACCAATCGGCAACATTTCTGGTTTGAATAATTCCACATTTCCGTATGGATTTCGTGGTACAATGCCATTTTCGGCAACTGGTGGTTTGTATTTTTCAGTTTGCCAAAATCCAAAGATTTCCAACGGCTTTGCTTCTTCCATTTGATTCAAGACACGATTCCATTTTGGTCGTGCTTTTACAATTTTATATGGTTTCTCGCCAATTTTCACCGTCCGCGCTTGTTTCACCCAAATTTCACGGGAATGCAACGTATGAACACATTCCCGTGCATAAATTGGCTCTTTTCGTATGTAGCCCAATGTGAGCGCATTCCGTGGATAGATCGCTTCGAATTTCAATAAATGACGTTCTAACGCATACAATGGATGATTTTTAAATCTGAAAAAAAAAAAAAATGAATTGCAAATTAGACAACATTCAACGTAAATATAATCATCATCTTACTCATTGATTGATGTTGGCATTGGTGTGTCCATGTGTAATTTACTGAATTCCACATCTTCAATGATTGTGCGAGCATTTCGCTGCTCTAGCATCATTTCAAGTGCTTCATCAATCCATAATTGTTCGGCACGCTGTTTTCTTGTCGTTGTATGAAATTGTGAACAATAACGTGGCGTCACATCTCTGATTGTATTGTCGTTGTTCCAACCGAAAACATAGATTATTGGCTTCGACGCATGTTTCTGCAACAAATGCAATAAAACGAATTGAATTAATGAGGCTAAATGTTATGAAATCTTACACTTACTCGAGCGATATCAACACAATCGACTTTCTTTTTGATGGGATCAATAACAATCCATTTTTTCTCTTTTTCGGCATATGCTTCGACCCAAAAGTTCATACAATTTGTATTTACTTCAATTTCTTCGTCGGTTGAAAAAACACGTCGATCGATTTTCTTTGCATTGGTCAACAGTTTGTTTGCAGGTTTCACAGCTGCTTTCACAGCGGCTCGAACACGTTTTGGTGGCGAAGGTTCAAAATCACTGTCGCTGCATGATACATCCTCAGACTGTGACTTCTTGGCGTTGTTCTTCTTCTTTTCCTTGTCTTTTTGTTTAATATCATGTGCACCATCCAACTGTGGCAATTTAAGCTTTGATTTTATTTTTGCCGTGTCTACAGGCATAGCCTTTGCTGCAGCTTGTGCCCGAGTTTTTCGTGGTGAAAACGTGCTGGCAAGCATTTCTTTCGGTTTATTTTTCAATTTTGATAAATCAACGCTATTTTTTCGTTCGAATAATTTGGTTTTCGTTGGTGTTCCAATCAAATTTGATTTTGCTAATAAAGTTGAATTGCTTTTCGTATTGTTATCAGCTGAATATTGTTCGTCATCCAGCGACTTTTGATAGTGAAGTTTTCGGCCGACACGTGTCGATGGACGCCCCGTGAGATTCTTTGGCCGATCACGATTCAAATTGACCAATCGCTCAGAACCATCAACTTCGGATGCCTCCGGGTTCACTTCATCCAAACTGTCTTTATCACTTTTCTTGGAAGGTTGGGTGCGCTTAGCGCCAGGTAATAGAGCATTTACATTTATATCTAGGCGTGCGAGGTTTAGTTTTTTTGGTTGACGTGCAACATCTTTTTTAACATTCGAAACCGGATTGGAAAATGCATCGATTTTTTTCAAAAATTCAGACGATACCTTTTCATTTGTTTTTTCAGATGCGTTTGAAGTAGTTTTCTTTGAATTTTGTGATACTGCATTACCATCATCTTTTGATGTTTTCTTACCATTCACAGCTAAATTAACATTCGTACTATGTTGCATTTCTTGTTTTCGAGTATTTGTTTTATTGCTTCGATTATCACTTTCTGGTTTCTTTGATTTGCTTGTCGATGATTGCTTTTGAGAAGTTGATGAAATGCTTGATGATGCGGTCGGTTGTGCAGTATCTGAATCCAAGCGAGGCATTCGAGACAATTTCACCTAATGAAAATCAAATTTATTTCTTTTCTATCAAATGGATTCACTAATTTCGATTCCACTTACTTTTGCATCTTTAATTCGAGGAATTTCAGCGTTCGAATGTTCCAATTCGTTGTTAGAAATATTATGCTTTTTCGGTGATTTGTTTGATTTTGATTCAGATGATTTGTCATGATGTTTGCTACTACAACTACTGCTGCTTTTGGTTGACTTTTCCTTTGTCGATGCTTTCATCTTTTCGGCTGAACTCTAAATAAAAACAAAAACCAATGATTTGGAATAGAAAATAATGTCGTCATTGAACGAACCTTGATCTTTTTGGCCAATGTTTGTTTTGGCTCATCCTTGGTCGTCTTATTTGGATCTACATCTGTGGCATCTTTCACCTTAGATGAAACAACGAACAGATCCTTTTGCGGTGGTCGCAATGGCGGCACATTCAAGTTTATGACCAAACGACACTGGAGACCAAGTGAACGTAGCATGATTACAAAAAGCAACACAAAGTCACATTTGCTTATAACTTTTTTCGATTGAATTTGCAGGGCCAACGATAGTACTTTCGGCGGCAGTTTCTTTAGGTCACAATAAAGTTTCGTTGACTTCAAATCGAAGACACTGTTGAACCATTCAGTTAACATATGAAAATACTTGATGTCTGTGTCACCTTTTGGATATGCATTTTTCGATGGCAATAGCTTCAGGCACATTTCCATCAATTTCATATTGTTTAAACTTCGATTGATATAATTTCCATGTGCAATCCAACATAAAACGCTGGTCTTATGCAAATACACTTGTTTCTCTTTGATATCACGGTTTAGACGTCGCTTAAGACATGCCTCTAAATCAATGGCTTTCTTTTGTGCACGTGAAATGCCAGCCTTGGATTCATTTACCGTAATTTCAATATCTTTTATTTCAATCTGCCTGTCATCATCTACATACATTTGTAAATTGAAAACAAATGAACATGTTTAGTTTATTTTTTTAAATAAATTATTAGTATTATCGATTTAATGATTTATTTTTACAATTTTCATGGAATGTATGACATTAATTATTTATATTTGACACTTTTTCTTTACCTGAAACATTTTCCCATTCCGAGTCATCTGAATGTTGGCCGCTTTTGTGTTTTCGCTTTCGACTGGACGTAGATGGTCCTTCGCCCAACGACAACAACTTCGTAACATCAGATTCCTGCGTATTGGTTTTCTTTGTGTTCAATTCTTTATCTTTCAATTTGGCCAATTGTGCTTTTGCCGATTCGAGATTGTTGGCAAACGTTTGTAAATTGCTGAAATCATGCATTTGACTTGATGATTTTTTATTAATTTTCTCAACAATTGATTGCTTTTGTTCATCATCATTATTCGTTTCAGGTGGTACTTCGGCGAATTCCTCATTATCGGATGAATCGGACAATTTCATGCCAGCATTACAATCAAAAACGGGCTCATTGTTTTGTGATTGTTCATTTGCTTTGACATTGAAGAAGTCCGAATTAAAATCAATTTCATTTGGATTAACTAGACCGTCGTCTTCACTGCTTTCCGAATCACTTAAAACCGCTGTTGCTTTTGACATTTGTTTGCGTTGCTTATACTGTGAATTTGATAATATTTCAGCCACTGATGCTGGAATGGTGGTGCTGGGTGATCTTGATACAGTCTTCGGTAGTGGATTATATTTTCGAAATAACTTCGATCGAAGTGATGAAGACGATGATGATGTCGATCGTCGACTTGACGTCAATTTCGGTACTCTTTTAATGCTTTTCTTTGTTTTCTTTAGTTTTCTGCAATAGACCGAAAATTCACCGTTATTCATGCGAAACGAAACTACATTATTTCTGTACTTACTGTTGTTTACTTCTTTTTTTCTTGGGTTCGTCATCGTCGTCATCGTCGTCGTTGCTTGTATTATCAACATCGTCCTCTTCATCGGTAACACTATCATCTTTTCCTGGTTTCCATTCATCTTCACTCGCTGAAAAATCTTCTCCCGATTCACTTTCATCTTCAAAATCATCCGATTCTTCAAAAATTCCTTTGTGTGACATGACTGCCGTTGTAAATCTAAATGAATTCCGTTAGACAATATTTGCAATTAAATTGCCATAAAAATATAAAATGAAATCTATGATGATGAGATCATTTGATGAGCAGGTAAAAAACGACCCTTTTTTCGCATTTGCATAATATCATCATTCGTTTAACTGTCTCACTTTTTGGATCTCGGTTGTGTTACGGTAATTCACAATGTTGCGAAATATGGAGAATTTAGCGGGACCATATTAGCTTCTTTCGTTAGTCATGTTATTCTTTTTTTGCATGCGAATAATTCAAATAATTCTTCCAAAAATTTCATTTAAAAATTCTATGATAATTTTGAGCTTTACTCACCAGAATATATCAGAAGATTAAGTTCCGTAGTATGAAATGAAATTAATTTATGAACGACATTAAAACTTCATTTCGGTGTTCTCTGTTTGTTAAATCAAACAAATATCACATTATATATGTTTGCATGCAATGCACCGCACCGTTTTGATGTGAAGTTAGTTAAAGGTCATTCATTCAATCATTTATTTGACACATATTCGAAATTCGAAATTTTTTATGTTTGAAAAATTACGCGCCACAGACGTGTTTGAAAAACAATGTCGATTATCATATTTATTTCCAAAAACTGCATACATGTTTAATCACAAAATGAAACTTTTTCTTCAATTTTTTTTGGCATAGAAAATTGGATGAAAGAAAAGAACCGTATTTTTTCATGTTTACATTTTTTCACCTAATTCGAATTTGATATCAAGTATAGTAATGACATTTTGGTTGATGATTTCACAAATTTGTGGCAGAGAGCGCCACCTATTTTGCAAACGAAAATTCCATTGGACATGCAAAACACTGAAAATAATGTCAAATAAACAAATCAATTTCAATGATGTATATCTAAATAAATTGTGTATTTTAATGAGTGAACTTTGTTTCATCTTCATAAAATTTAGTTAATGAATTAGTTAAAAAGAATTCAATTTGTTTATTATTTTTAAATTGATGTAAATATGGTGAGATTATAGACGAATGACCATTCAAAAAAGGCAATACATTATGATGTGTTTTCTGTTTTCATTTCTCTCTCTCCCTCTCTCTTTATCTGTGATTTAATGAATGATCAGAGTGATAAAGATAAACCATGGACAGCGGATGATATTCGATTGAATGCCACCAATTGGTCATTGCAATGTGATGGAAAACTGTTGGAGTATATGCAGAATTTATCAAAGGTACAAAAAAAAAAACGATTAATTGACCCGAGAGTGAATTCAGATTAAAAATGACGATATTTCACATCTTCAGACCATTCAAGATCGAGGAAATCGTACAACATACAATTTACATACATCAATGTTGGAACTTGATCGCACCAAAATTACCTTAGAGAATGCAACGAATCAGCTGATGGCATTGCAACACAAACAGTTTATTGAGAATCGAGTTTATGATGATGATGAAACCATCGCAAGTATTGAGAATGTTCCCACCACCGATTCACAACATATTGATGAGGTAAACATAAAATAAATATAGATTTGCTATAAGATAGCTAAGTATACCGTTCATTTGTGTTTGAACAATAGCCAAAACCGTCTGTGATTGAAGCCCTACAAAATGCTATCGACACCGGAATGCAAATGGTTGATAAATATTTCGATAAGGTGACCTTTGAATTGAGCGATTCAGATGATGATGATGATGGAGAAGTACAAAACAGGTAAATCATTATATTTCAATAGATAACCCAGTGAAAACCAAGTAATATCAATTTTGTTTGCAAAATAGCATTGTTTTCCGACCAAAAAATCTCTATGAGCATCGACCCTTGCCTTATCTAATCGGATCGAAGGAATGGCACGAAAAATGGCATATCGGATTGATCGATGAGGAAAGTGACGGTTCGGATAATGAGAGTTCAGTTTCGCTATCGTCATCATCAGCTGAATCAATATCGAGTAATGTTCCAGTTTCACTGTCAGAAGCAGACAATCCGAACGTTGTTCCATCCAAAAAATTGGCCGATGTAAAATTATCAGGTAAAACACGTATGAAACTCATTTCATTCATTTCATAAAAGTAACCAAGCCCTTAATCCACCACCAGATAGTCAAGATTTGTTCCACAGTTCATCTGATGAAAATCTATCTCGATCGCTGCATGAATCAATTGAAAATAGCACAGCATATCACAAACAAAGTTTCGAAACATCGAAAATCGCACCAAATGTCAAACCGGCCGATTCAAATGAAATTAAAACGAATAATTCAATATTTATGCCACAAAAACCGATCGCAACCAGCCATACCATTCCAACGTTGATCGATTCGGATCCACCTGAACTCGACGATGTGCCCACGATTAAAAATGTTCAAAAGCCAGCAAATCTATTTTTAGACGATGAAAATGATGTGGATGACTATAATATTTTCAATGATAAAAATGCCAAGGGTGCCACGCAAAAAGAAATTAATCAAAAAGCTGTAACTACTCCAGGCCAAACAAAATCGATAAATTTATTTGCGGACGATGATGACGGTGAGAATTTTGATAGTTTTTTGCCAACCAAAACAACGAACAGCATCTCGGCCACGCCACAAAAAATGCCAACAAAGTTAACAAATCTGTTCGAAGACGATGATGATTTTGACGATGAACTATTTTTACAGCCGCCAGAGCAAAAAAACGCACAAAAACCACCCACATCAATCTTATCGAATACACCGAAAAATAGCGTATTTTTATGCAATCTGTTCAGCGATGAACCGCCGGAAGATGATTTTGATGTAATAGCAACATCAGCACCAAAACCATCCACTTCCAAAGATGCTGACCAAAAACCGAAAATTGTTACAAGCCCCGAAAAGTCCACAAAAGTTTCAAGTGCCGTTGAACCACAACCAAAGAAATCAACCGATCTATTTAGTAACAAAATTAATTTGTTCGACGACGAGGAAGAGGAAGATCCATTTGAGAAACTGATTGCGAACAGTAAAAATGATAATACATCTGATCAGAAAAAATCAAGCAAAATTCTTTTTGATTCAAAAACCGATAAAATTGATCGAAGTGAAAACGAAGAGGAAGCGACCACCACAATTCAATCAAGCAAAAAATCGGATATATTTAGTCCAGTTAATTTGTTTAACGACGACACTCTTGATGATGATGACCTTTTTGCAAATATCACATCGCCAAAAGATGGATCTAAAGAAAAAACTGGCGATATTTCGAAGCAAAACACGGGAGAATTCTATAATGACTTTTCCGACACAGTTACGATACCAAAATTGTCAAAAGAAAACGAAGAAAATACACAACATTCCGAAAAAAAATTAACCAGTCCAAGTGAACCAAAGAAGGCTGCAATTAGTGAAATTGATGGATCGACCAGTGGCAAAGTATCGTCGGGATTGTTGAAAAAAATCGACGTATTTTCCAATTCGGTTTCGAATGTTAAAAAGGAAGAAACTACAACCGCTGCACGTCAACCGAAAAAACTGAACATCACGCACATGGATATAAATGTAAATGCTTTATTACCTGGCGCCAAGCGCACTCAACCTTCCAAGAAAAGTGATGACTTGAATAAGGAGGATGCGAACACTGATGTCTCCGACACAACTATAACCAGTCCAGTTAACAAAGTCGTGAATGAGGATAATATTGATGGTTCGGGGCGTTTGGTCAATTTAAATCGAAATCGACCAAAGAATCTCTCAAGGCGCCCATCGACACGGGCCGGCCGAAAGCAACAATATCAAAAGTCGCTGGAAGACGAGAATCATTCACATAAATCAACTGAGTCTACCGATTATGTCGACAACATACCCGAAATTAAAGATAGCATTCCAGTAGCACAAAATCCTATTCGAATGATTGCAGATGGTTCAAGGTCAAGAACCGCTTCGGTTGAAGACGAACTATTTGAAACTAATTTAATGCCGGAAGATAATGTAGTTGCACCAAATGAACAAAGTGCATTGAATGAATCAGATTTTATCGAAAAGAAACTCGTCGAACACGTGGAACCCGTCGAGCAATCAATGGCTCCAGAAAATGAGAACTCATTCTCGTTTCTCGATGAAGAAGAAAACGATGATTTCTTGGACTTTCAGTCACCGGTTTCGCCCAAACTTATCAATGAGAACAATGCTCCATTTGTCAAAGCCACACCAGCATATATTGATGAATTACCACCCGATCTTGATTTCGCTGAAGAAACGTCGCAAAACAATAAAAGCAACAATGCAACATCATACCTATCGGAGAATGCACTCAGTTTGTTCGATGATGATGACGAAGATGATTATAATGATGGAATTTTCAGTACGGAGACTCCAAAACAAACTCCATCTGGTATGGGATTAAAGATTCCTGATAATTTTCTTTGTCTCATATTTATCTTATATCATTTCAGATGCAGCAACAAAATTGAAAGATGACTGGTCACCCGATCTACCGAATTCCAATGTTCCAACACCATCGAATGTGAAAAAGTTGGCCGATAATGACGACAGTTTAGTCGAAGATGATCTTTTTGATAGTCCAATTACTACGGTGATAAAAAACGAATCGAACAAAAAACAACAACCAACCAAAACACTGTCATCAAGTTCGGTGACAAAGCAAAATCTTTTCGGCGACAATGATGACGATGATGATCTATTTGGTGGTCCACCTGCAATCATCGAACAGGTGAAAAAAGTTCAATCGAAAAAACCGGCGTCAAAAATATTTAGCGATGATTCTTCCGATGATGATTTATTCGGTGGTAAAATTATCAAGAAAAGTCAGTCAAAACCACCGACCGTCACCGCGACAACATCAATGAAAACTCCCAAAAATAACAAAGGTAACGAAAAATTGTTCAGTGATTCAGAAGACGATGATGATGATTTGTTTGGCACAAAGGTTAAACCAAAAGGTATAGCCACGTTTTTCGGTTTTTTAATTTTCTCTATCGAATCTATCTAAAATGAAACTGTTTTTGTCGCATTTATTTATTCAGATAAAAGTAAAAAAATGCAACCATCCGCCTCATCGAAACCAGTAAAGGAGGACACACAAAAACCGGTAAAACTATTAACGACCAGCACCGTTGAGAATGATCCGTTGGCCGATTTGTTGAAGTAAATTTTTAATGTCAGTTTATTCAATTATAGAGTGTTATTGTGCACTTTAAACGCAATGTGCCTTTTAACCCACAATGAAAATCCTTGTGAAATTCAATAAAGAAATAAAATACCAGCATTTTTATAAATCTTTGTTCTTTTATTTATATACAATTATTAGTATTATGTTCAATGAAAAAACAAGAACCCTCAACGAACAAAAGAATAGCTTAACGTTTTTGGTCTGCTTTTATTGTCGAAATAAACGAAAAGAAGACGTAAAATAGCTGGGGACTGTTTAGATCTTTGAGTAAAAATATTTATAAATTATTTAATGAAAAGTCATTAGTTTTCTAATGTAAGTATAATAATTTCAACTGAAAAAAATGAAAAAAAAACATCAAAAAAATATATTAATATCTATAATAATTGATTGCGCGTAGAGACTAGTTTCTTTTAATCTAATTTCGTGTTTAAGCTTGAAAATTGTGTATTCTATGCGAATTATTGTGATGTTGCTGTGCTGCAGAAAGTCTCTGACAGTAGAATTTCTGACTAACGATTTTCATTTGATTTGTCGCATTTTTTCACTAGCTTTTTTTCTAAATTAAATTTTCTATTTGGTAAGAAATTTATTCGTATTAGTATATAACATTTACGAACTAACAAAAATATCTCTCGTTTTTTTAAAGGTACAAAATATTTGGAATGGTTTTAAGTTTTACATTTTAACATTTTAACATTTGACGGCATTGAATAACATTTGTTGTTCGCTATAAATATGAAGCTTATTGCATTTCATCATAATATGTGAATGTTGTTTATAAAGCAACATCACGATACTTGCGATAATCGTCGGATTCGTTTCCAATTGATTGTCGACTGTTCGTATTGCTTAAATTTGAATATGGATTTGGATTTGCGTAACCGCCATAGTTGGTGAACGGCATTCGATAATTTTGATGAAAATATGATGCTTGTGGCGGTGGTTGCATTATATGCGATGGAGGCGGTGGTTGCATTGGAGGAAACGGTGAACCTAACATGTAATGCATTGGATGTGGTTTGTGATGATTGAAATAATGCGGAACATTATAGCCAGTTGGTGTTGGTGGAAATGCTGGTAGCACATAATATGGTGATGATGGTTGTCCATGATTTTGTAGTAAATTATTTCCATATGAATTTAAGTCATTTTTTATGGTCAATGTGCGTAAATTTTCCAATGATATACAATTTCGTCCCAATTTGGCCCCTTTCTCCGATGATATTGTCTGATAAATTGGATCGCCGACAATTGAATGCTTTTCCTCATCGTGTTGACTAGTGTTCAAATTTTTATTACGAACATTTGGTATCGATATTTTTCGATTACTTTCCGATCGTACATTATTGCTATTGTGCTGATTTTGATTGTGTGTATTATTCAATGGTCCATCGGTTGCATCAAGATCAGTTACCGGTGTTTTTGATCGTGTTGACGATGGCGGTGCCATCGTTAATTGTGTCGGTATAATGTGTCGAAAATCAAGCAGTGATTGAGTTCGTTTGGCCGCTAATTTAATGAACAAACATTTATATTGTAAATATGTTAATTGTGGATTTAATTTTTAAAAAAAGAGAAACAATTTTACCGAATGTATCATGTTATTAAAAAAAAAATTATTATGTTTTTACCTTGTATTGTTGGCATTGGTCCAATTATTTGTGATGGATCGAGTCCAAATATACTTGCATTGAATTCATTTTGTGATGGATACATTCCATACATATACGGAAATATTGGCAATGTTATTTGTGGCTGATGATGTTTTCCATCGTTACCATTTGATTGATTGATAATTGGAACAAATCCATGATTATCGTAGCCAGATTGTGATAGACGTCGTTTTCGTGCACTTGATCGTCGTTGCATTGAATCATTGATGCGGGTTAGTGCAGCCGAAGCTGCAGCTGGCGATAAAGCTGGAATATCGGGAGATGTCATATGCAAGCGAGATGCTAAATTCTCCAATTGATTCATGATTTGTCGTTCTCGTCGCCATCGCAATGCGGTCGGAATGACACATAACAATGCCATACTATTTATCACCAACCGAATTAAGTATGTTATAATCTCCGTCAAACCGTGAATGGATTGAAGACCCTGTAGAATTTTATTTGATTTTGATATGTTAACAATGTGAAAACGATGTGATATAACAATTTTACCCAGAATTGTGTTGTCATCGTCATAACGAATATCAATTCAGGGACTGACAAAACACCAACCACGATTGACCAACTGAATAGACCCCAAGATAAGCCCTTTAAATATTTATATTGCACAAAATGTAAGCAATTAAATTCCATAAATGACATTGAATGCAAATTTTTGAATCTCTTACTGTGGCCAAACCGTGTATCAAAATAGTTGATGCGATGAACATGATAAAGTAGCCAGAACACAATAAGTACGCATATATTGGTAGATCGCCATGCGCTTCTAAAATCCATGATACCTCACACGAAAATGCACCTAAATATGTAACCTATGCAATCGCATCGTTTTAATCATCATTTAATGTTTGTGTAAAATTATTGTACAATCTACTGAAATCTTATCCAAATAATAATGATCATATTTTGCTAAAATCAAATAAATCCATAGACATGTCTTTTCCCTCTTTAATTTCTCAAACACCAACAACATCATAATAATGATGTGGTGTAACATTTGGGTATTTATTTCATATCACATTATTATTGTTTACATTGCAATGCATAAAAGATCTGAAATTTCATTTTCTCATTTTCACAAAGCAAAAAGTCTCAGAAACTATGCGCGCATTGTTGAAATGTCGACTTTTTTTTCTAACGACGTTGACATACACATTTTTTTTTCATCCAATTTCCATTGCAAAAATCGGCTTCCGTTTTAAATCAAACTCTGGGCTGGTTTTTTTTCTTTATGTGCTCATTGTTAATGTAATTGTTTCAATGAGACGGAAACCATAGTATTTCGTTTATATAATGGAGATCCGTAGGCAAACGAAAAAACAAACAAGCAAATTACTTTCTCTCCATAGTTTTGCTGAGAATCAAATCGAGCAATTCTGATTCATTGAATTTACCCATTTTTTCAATTAAAAACTTATCTTCATGCAACAGAAAATCATAAAATCGAAAAATTGCATTTACATTAAGTGTTAAACAACGAGCAATTGATTTTCTGAGTGCAATAATCAGTTTGCGTGCTCGAGTTCTCATAAGATTTCTCTTTAGATTTTGTTGATCAATTCGAATCAATTATTTCTATGGCTCTGCGGCAATACTATTCCGATTCACATGCAATTGGCATTGATGATGATTAGAAAATGAGAAGAAAAGGAAAGTAAAAGAAAACCGTACTTTTAATGATATTAAATTTTAGTTTCGTTTGATGTTGGTATGAAATCGTCGATGGCTATTCATAAAATCAATCGATCAATAAAAAAAATCGGCTTCAGTTTCACTGAAACTGTTTCAGTATTTCGCAAAGTAATCTCGTTCTGAAATTTATCGATTCTAAGCTGTAAACACCATTTTTCTTCAAACTTCAAACAACTTTTCTGATTCCAAAAGAGAAAGTAATTCATTTTTTTTTTTCATGCTAATGGTGAAATGTTGTTCAATGATAATGATGCTGATGCACTGATTCAATCTGCATAAAAAAAACTGGTTATCTTCTTCTTTTCTGTAATAAGTAAAATTGAACACTTTTACTGTTTTACGCATTTATTAAAGGTGTTTATGTGCGATGCGAAAATTTCAATTTTGATATTTGATGTAGAAGAAAAAATGGCAAAATCCATAATGAAGAGAAATTGTTCTCAAAATACGATTGCAATGTAACGAGCATTTACACGATTCGTATACAGTGCTGCTCGATTGGAGAATGATATCTAACAATACACACAAATACATTCATATCATCAATTCATGTGAATATGTGTGGAAACAAAAAGTGAGGTTAGTTTTATGTTCGTCTGCTGTCAGTTTTTCTATAAAATGCAAGAGTAACAATTACATAATGCGACTTACTGATTTTTCGCTATGCAAAAAGCAAAGAAAATCTCATAATTATTAAATAAAAATAAGCAATGGTACGTGTTATCTGATTATCACGGATATTTGCTGCATATATTTTTATGAAAATCGGTTCATCATTCTTTTCTTTATTGACTGAATAGAAGAAAACACAAAAAAAAAAAATGATTGAAATGAATTGCGTTAACGTCAGTCGTATATAAACTAAATAAAATCGATTTTATTTTCACTCTATCGATTACAGCACTCAAATTTTATTATTCATTCTATCAATTTCAAGTAAATGGCTGTGGTTTTCTTTTAATTTCCATGATAGAGACGATGATGGTTACTATATTCGGTAGTAGTTTGTTATGATTATTCTTCATCATCTGGTGGGATTCCCAATTCTTCGTCTGTCCATTTCGATGTATCGGGATATTCAAATTCACCAACGATGTGACCCCAGTCCCAGTACAGATGCCATAAAATCCACCACCACATAACTATAATTGAAAAGAAATTGATTTTGGCCAATTGATGATTTCTGATCGAACAGTGTGTTTAGTTCAGCACTTACATCCTCCAGCAAATTGTACCATAGCTCGTTTATAGAGTGGATGATGTATATGGCCAGTACGATATGTCCAATCACCGCTAAATCGAATTGGCATTAATCGAACTGGCTTTTTATTTTTAACAGCACCTAATAATTTGCCATTTGTAGCTGCTTGAGCTACGGCTCGAGATAAAACTCGGGCGGCCAACATTTTTTTTCTCTACTTTTTGGTTGATCCGCGTGCAAAACTAAAGACGATCGATAAATAAGTCTATGTTATTGCACAAAATAACAAAGACATAAAATAATTCGAATACCCGATCGCAAAAAAGTGGAATTGTTTTTTTTTTTCGTTGACAAATTATGTGAGAAAAACACAATTAGAATAATATTTTTGTTTCTCTATGTCTGACACGAATGACAGCACATAGTACACTGAGCCACCAATATTTGACATTTCTTTGCCAATGGTTGTGAGTGTGTGTATGTTAATACACGGATGTGTACGTGTGTATTTGTATAAGACTCTAATATAGGCGGTTTCAATTATTTTTCTACCTTGAGCAACTACGTGAATTGAATAATACAGTGTATGTATAATGCAAACCGTTACAAAAAATATCTTTTTCCATTCATGTTTTGGAATAAAAAAATTTTTATGGAATGCCACTGTTTAAACACATAATAATTATTAGGGTTAGACCATAAAGATAGCGAAAGTAAAATATACATAATTTTCGCAGAATTTAAAAAAAAATCGTTTTTCATTTTTCAAGTGAAACATTAAATTTTGCGAGAAACTAGGCGAGAACTCATAAACCCACTCATATTTGTCGCTTAATACCTTTGTTCAAAAGCACATACAGTGTACCTCTGAATCAAGTGATGACAAACACGCCGCAATGGTTAAAATGAAATAAATGGGTTTCTCACAGCGCTCGCTTTTTTTTCAACATTTATTTGTAATCTTGAAAGAAAAATACCTATATTCAATTTTCTGCACGAATTGTTTATATTTTACTTCCGAACTTGTAACCAGTATATTACATTCCAGCGTGGGTTTTTTTACGCTTGCAAATATGATCATTATATGGCTTTTGTTTTCTATGTAAAATAGTAGTTAAATGTATTCATACCAGCGATAAAAAGGCTCCAATGCAACACAGTGCAAATAAATTGGTTTTGGCAAAAAGATTCCACACGTGCGTACTCATTTCATTGATGATTGACTTCTTTGTTGTAGACGATGAGTCCATAGTTTCAACTTTTGTTGGATCCATCTGACTTTTTATTTTATGGTGATTTTTGTTTTAATGTCAGGTACAATGATTGCCAAACGTAACGATGAAAAATGATTTGATATTTCTCTCTCTCTCTCTTTTTCTCGTTTGTATATTCGTATTATTTTTCACAATTCTTCACATTGACTAAATGACAAGCCATCGATGCCTTTTGCTTCATAGTTATATTTCGATAAAACAATATTGTTCCCTTCAGTTTATTTAAATTCTCACACTGTATTCGTTGTCGTTGGATGGTGTGCGTTGATGTCTATGTTTTTTTTTTGTCTTTTGATGCAATGGAATGTATACAAATTTAAATAATTACATAACTGATTTTATTCAATGATTTTTGGCGATATTTATTTTGGCTTTATGGTATTAATGTTATATGTTTTTTCTTCGTTGTCAGTTCATATATGTTCTTTTTCGTTGTTGATTTTTTTTCTCACCGCATAACAGAATAAATAATTAGCATTTTTTTAATTGTAAATGTAACACCGATTTTATTGTCTTTCATTCCCATACACATTTGGGGGGCGTTTGAATAATCGAACAATGAACAGGTGTAACAGCCGGTAGTTTAACTAGAGTATGAGAATATTGGATTATTATTGTTTTTCTTCTTCTTCTTCTTCTTCTTTTCGTGGTGGTCGTTGTTGTTTTGTTTGATTCGTCTCTTTGTTGTGAATATTCAGCTGATTGTGTAAAAGAAGCGCGAACACCTGTAATGGTTATAACACAATATTCAAAAAACAAATTACCAACATATATATAAAGTACATATCATGCATATTGTGATTGAATTAAACTTTCGCAAAATGCGAAAACCGAATGCAGTATGCGCTGCAAATGTTTTGCACAATCAATAAATTGTGATCAGTAGTGTCACTATCAATTCTCAATGATCACCCGAGTGATTGCGGCTGAAATAGGTTTTTTTTTAGATTGTTAGTGTGTCTCAGCAAAGTGTCGAACTTTCTCTGCTCTTTAATCGTCTCCCGTCGATTGGCTCATTTGTTTTAAACGAAGGTAAAACCAAAAGCTTGAACCAAGAATGATTATAGATGGAAGACAATTTATTCAACATACGAGCACAAATCATTTTCTATTCACTGATTTTATATATACAATGTTTATAGATCTCGGATAAAAAAACCGTTTTTCATCATACTTTCCAGCATTTAGCTGTACATCCGACAAGAATGCTGAAACAAGTTTTCATATTTGTCTCGTTCACTTTTTTTATTCAAATGTGTGATAGAGACATCATCGTCAACATCAAAAATAACAACAGCCAACAAAATATGATTTGCTGAGACAGCTCTTTTTTTATTATTGTTCAATCTATTCAAGAAATGAGTCGGAAATAAAATTTGGTACAAAAGGTCTAACAACGACACGCATATCATATAATTAGCTATGTTACTTATCGATGGTACGTCTCCGGTTTTTTTTGTTTGACATTCAAAAAAAAAACATAATCTCGTAAGAAATGTATAGAAGTGAAAATCACGCATATTTCAAGCGAACAAAAAAAAACAGAATCCATTTCCTTTTATCATTTCACATATTTTAAAAGAATACTTTGATTTTTATCTGAATTTTAATATCGAAGCAATGTGAATTCAATCGAACCGCGCGCTTTCTTCCATCAACGAACGAAGAAAAGACGGCGCAACACAAAAATATACCACATGTGCGCACGGGCTGAAAATCGTATACAAATCTTTATGAAGCGCCGTAAATGAAATGAAACGAAATGGGAATAATATACTATATACAGACATCGTAAAATTCGCAATCAACTACAAATCAGACGAAAAATATAAAATGAAATTGAAATTTGATTTTTTTTTTTGTTTATTTTCACTTTTTCCAGCAATCATATGCATAATCATTCGGTTGTTGTTCACCCCATAAGAAAATATTTGTTCGATTTTTTTGTTGTTGTTTCTTTGTTTTGGTGGTGTTTATATTTGTTTTATTATCTTCTTTTTTTCTACTTGTTATTGAATTATTCATGAGTTAAGCGAACATCAAAAATTATACTCAATCAACGCGATCGATCTATTGACTACCTTAAACTTGATAATTGGTGAAAATTGTTTGATGAGCATTTTTCGCGCGCAAAAAGAAGAAGAAGAAGAAACAACTGGCAGCTAGTAAAATTAAATATGAACACCGAATTGTTTATGGTGAATGAGTTTTTGTTTGGTATCGTGTTAAATATTATGCGAATTCCATATTGGCCGAAACAATTTTTAATCGATTTGAGAACGAAAAAAGATAAATAAATAAATGATATTTTAAAAGATTTCATGAGCAATCATCGTTGGCATAAATTTCACACAAATAAATCTAAATCAATGCAGTATGCACCATGAAATGCATTTGGCACATTTTTAACCATATTTTCTGGTTGACTGTGTGATCGATTTGCTTAATAAGCGATATAATAACTGTGAAGATGACACAAAATCCCGATTAAATCCCAGCATGCAATTTTCCATTGTCTCAATTTCGTCGAAATGATGCCATGCATAGTAATGCATTATTAGCCTAGTGAATATAATTCATTTTTTCCGATATGCAATTTTCTGAAATTGCAAACAAGTTTTTCAAATAGAACACAGAGCAAAATAGCTCACCCCGTATAGAGCAAGATCGACAGTTATATGTGCGCACTCACTCTTTTCTTCATGCAACAACATTTAGTCTAGATTTGATTATGTTTAGGTGTGTGGCTGCATGTTACATAGTTGCATACAGTTAGTTGGACACATACGGCTGGAATAAATGAATAAATGAGATGAGCAAAGCAATCTCAATAAATAAGTATGCTAATCGGGTGTCATCATGTGCGTATAGTGTTTTTTTTTTTTTTGGTTTCGTTTTTAAGTGGGGAGAAAAACAGGTGTAAAATGTACCGTTTAAAACTTGAATAGTAGAACTTGCTCCTGGTGGGTTTATCTGAGCAATTTATGCACTATCAGTCGACTTCTATTTTGAGTGCACCGCCAATAGACGGATCCGACAATAATTACGTTGCAATTATGTGTTTAATTTGTTGAATCCGGTAACAGTGTCAGTTTTGATCCTATTTAGATTTGAACTAGTGAGCTATATCGTTAGAAATGAGTGCTCACGAAAAGCGAAAGTCGTTCGTGAAACGAAACCAGATTTATGCGGTTTTTACACACCAAATAATCGTATGTATATGTTCGTGCAAAGAGTTCGAACGTTTTGTTGGTTGGTCGTGAAAGCTACAAAAAAATACAAGCATTTTCGATTTGCAGAATAATAACATAAATAGAATTTGTGATAGTTGGTAAACATACGAAACATGAATCATATCCAACGTACAAGATGACAATATTCAAAATAAAAGATTGAATATGAATGAAACCCAAACACAAAAAAGCATCACAAAATCATCATCAACACATTATAAACGTATGTTGATTGATCATAATTTAAGAAGTTTAATCAACAAATATTATGGTTAATTTAAGTTTTTTTTAGATCGATTCGCCAAATTGAGAGACTTGACGTTGGGTTTCTTTTTCTTCAAATCATCTAAATTTAAATTTATTATGATGTCATTCGATGGAAATTAAATTTTGTAAGTATGTGTCATAAGAGATTATTGTCACAAAGATGGTAACATTGCTGTGTAACATAATAAGTATGAGCTGCAGAAAAAAAAATGTGCGAACCGATTTGTTAAAATAAGAATTCATTGGTTGTAACGGTAAAATCGATGCAATTGAATTGTTAACTGAAGAAAATGACGAGGGCGAGTCTTCTTGACGTGGGCAAATTGTACTAAAGCCGTATATAATAATTACTCATTTCTATTATGATGAATTATTCAAGTGTTGTACAGAGACTATTTGGCGTATAGTGAATATGACACACGCATAAAACTCATTTAAAATCGAATAGCGTCGCTGGAACGGAAACGAGCATACAAAATTGTTGAAATAATTGATGGATGTGACGACGCAAAGAAAAAGAAACTTAGCAAATAAAAATAATCAGTCCATCAGATATTCGATTTAGTAGCTCCAAATAGAATTCCATCCGTAAAATAATTATCGGTAATTAATTTGTCTCTTTTTGGATGATTGCAAGTCGTTTATTTTGACGTGAATTGAGTACATTTTATTGTCATAAGAGGAGAAAAGAGCATAATAATGTAATATTTGTTTGGATTTAACCAGGTTCCGCAATGAATGGGCAAATTTTCAAAGTACAAGTGCTCTACACATTTTCGAGGTCAAGAAATGACACAAAATGATATTCAAGCACTCATTATAAACATTCTTGCTTACATGTGAATAAATGGGCGCGATCTTATGGTCTATGTTGATGAAACATTTTTTTTCTCTTTCGTTTCTTCGATGCATTTAAAATTATGTCAAATAACATTGATATTCTACAGAGATAGAGATTTTATTGCCAAATGTTTCAAATCAATTATAAATCGTTTTAAACCACGTGCAGTTAACAACGCCTATATTCAAGAAACCACGAACAAAAAAAACATGTTGCACGCAATTTATAAATATCGAATACCAGTGTATAAACACCCGATCTGTATATATACAAATTTTGAAGCAATTCGACGTGTGCATCTGTATTTTTCGGCATTTATCATCATGACATCTTAACTTTGTTTTTGCAATTTTTTTTTTTTTCAATGTAAAACTTAATCATTTGACCACTCAATTTATTTAGAACAAAAAATGTGTTTGTTGTATTATTTTGAATAGTGAGATGCTATTTATTATTGTACAAATATGGTTATTGTATATACATGTGTATTTATTTCGTTGATGTGGGTGCCGTGGCAAAAATTGTGTATATTTTTGTGCCGTGACAGTAACATGAAGCTATGATTGCAATTAATATATATATACGTTTTTTGTGTCGCATGAATTGTCTTTTTGAAATGAACACACAACATTGAAAAAGAAAAAGTAGAGAAATGTCTCGTATATTTGTTTGTATGAAGCGCTTAACCTGTTGCGCACATTTGAGAAAAGATGTTTACATGTTTACCATCGAAGTAAATGAGTTTTATAAATTGCACGACTGATCACTATCATAAACAAATTGCTATTTAAAACTGACTTTATGAACTGTCGTCTATGAGGTAGACTTTAAGCGACGAACCAATTATATAGTCCATTCTCCTGTAGATGTTAATAATTTAAAAACAAAACAAAGCCTCTAATTTCGGTGTGTGCATTATTCCTTTATATTTACTATGATTTTCACTAAAACAGAAAACTAAATAACATTTTTTTTATTAATACACATAATTCACCCAATTAAAACCACTGCTATTGCTTACATGGTAATCACATATTTTCCAAATGAAATTTTGTGCGAAATGAATTTTTTTTCTTTCGTGTTGATCGTTAATCTTTGATCGTTTCCTTGTTTTTTTACAATGAATTTTTGGTATATTTGATTAAATATTTGGACACTAAGGCCAAATCGGTATTGATTTGCTTCTTGGATTAAATAAACATTTGACGAGAGGAGATGAAACACGATATAGAAATGAACTATTAAAAAAACATAATATACTGGCTTACTTGCTATAAATACAATCCATACAGTTGAACGATCAACGTGAAACTAACCATTTTCGTATGTTTGATTTTTGCTCAAATGATGTGAATGTTAAAAAGCCGTCTGCATGAATCATATGAATGTTTGTTTGGTATGAACGCAGAGTGTGTGCGTTTGTGTGTTGTGTATATTAGTTTATACTTGTATAGCAATGATCATTCTTTGAATACCAAAGCACAACCAAATGAGACAATAAAACGGTGAAACGAGAAAAAAATGGTTAAATACAATGAAAAAACAAAGACCGATAATGCAACGAAGAAAATATGGAAATGTATATGTATGTAAGCGCATAGGTCCACCATTGAATGTTTCTCTTTTTTTCACTCATCATTTAAGTCGAACATTTCTATCTCATTTTTTTTGTTGTTTATTTTTTCTTCGCGCTTGTTCTTCTGCGTAGCACTCATTGTTACGGTTTTATGCAATCAAGCTGAGTGATTTTTTTTTTAAATTGAAGGAAATTTTTTAATTTACTTTAAAACACAGTGCGAGCGCATGTGCGTTCACTTTAAGTAATGTGCATCCGTGATTTTTTAAATAATGGGCTTTGTTCAACGTGTTTTCGTATCATTGTAATCGCATGAAATCAATAAACAGACGGATAGTCAATTATTGACCGTTATCACCTCTGAATCAAAAGCTTCATTTATTTTACAAATTGAGGGAGAAAATCGTTACATTTTTTATATTTATTTTACAAATGAGTTCCAACAGATGTGTGACGTCGACCAAGAATTGACTTTCCTTCCGCTTCTCTTTTTCTATTTAATTAAAAGATTCTTATGTCGATCCACTATTATTTAAAATCTACAGACATTTCATTTTAAATAGATCAACATTCGTCAAATATTTTATAAGTAACGTGTATATAACTTATCAACTGATTTTAACACTTTTTCCATTTTTACTATTTTTTCATCATTAAATCCACCCGATAATAATTTATCAAATAAAATTCATAGGTTGCGTCTGAATTAACAAATTCGATTTTACCATTCTACCAAATTGTTTATTTCAAGCCCATAAAAAATGACTTGCTGGAGAGTGTACGTCCCTTAATCAGATCATGTGGTGAATTTGTAAACATTATTACTGCGTTTGATTAAAAATCCCTGAACATTAAGTGTATCAAGCATCTGATTGAAGAAAATTTCGAATCCGAGCGAGGCTGCCAATTCCTTTAATTCCGTAACGGTAAACATATTTTTGCATTGTCCCTGTATCAATTGTAAGAATCGTTTTACTTTGGTGGTATGACTAAGGCCCGAACCATTGATGCTTCGTTTCATTTCCAATGTATTTTGATCATTACTAAGAACATCAACCATTGTGTATCGAAGAATGGCCAACACATCTCTGGCATGATGAATAGTTGCTTCGGCGGCCAATTCAAGTCGGGCCCGTGCTTGCGTCAAACGAATTAATGCCTCGAGTTGTCGCGTTGTTACCGGCACTGAATCGATCCCTTGTCGCGTTGTTCGCATTTCAATGTAGAATTTTCGTAGCTCTTCACTGGCTTCGGCACTTATTGTTGGAAAACAAAATTTACGTGCATATAAAATGTACTTTCGCATAATGTCCATTCGCAACGGTTGAAAATCAGTCGTTTCATTCATTTTCATTCGTTCGTGAAGTGGAGCATCGCTGAGATCCGGTGTCAAGTGAGTGTTGGTCATTGAAAATTGGGTTGGTTGTTCAGAGAAACCGGATCGCGTACGTTCCACAGGTTTATTGTATTGATTTGCTTTCAATGCTTGAATATGATTTGTGAGTAAATTGTCAAGATGGGCATCAGCCTTGTCTAATAGTATAAACACCAAATCGAAACGAGACAATAGTGTTGGCCAAATTTTTAAGTTCTCTGACACCGTTTTCGATTTGTCGTAGTGACCGCCTGACGGGTTGGCTGCAGCAATAATTGATGTTCGGGCTGGCAGTGAACACAACACACCAGCTTTGGCCACACTTACTGATTGTTGTTCCATAACTTGTAACAAAGACTAGATAAAAAAAAACAATGATTATTAGTTTTTGATGTCTCTTTCTCAGAACTGTTATAGGCACCATAGAGGTACGGACACTTTTCTTATAAATGCTGCTCTTTCTTGTAGTTCCAAATACGGCCGTTGAAAAATTATATGGAATATGAAAGTGGCCGCATTTCTTTGGTGCCATTAAAAGCTCTGTGCTCTCTCTCTCTCCCTCCACGATGTAAAAATGTATATTGAAAATATTTACCTGATAATTTGATGACATTTTATCAAATTCGTCCAAACAACAAACGCCTTGATCGGCCAATACAAGAGCACCGGCTTCAAGACTTCCATCGGAACCTTTATCGTGTCGAACAGATACGGTTAAGCCTGCATTTGTTGTACTGAAACATGGCCATTCGTTAATATGAAAATAAAAAAAGTATAAAAATTTAATAATATGCTCACCTATGGCCGCAAACGAAAATTCCACGCGGTGATATATTTGAACAGGCCTGTATAAGAATTGATTTTCCCAATCCAGGATCGCCGACAACAAGAACATGAATTTCAGATCGTTTACCAAAACCCGGCGTTTGATCTGAATTTGAACCATTTCCGGATGCTCCAAATAGTGACAAGAGCAGGCCCGCTTTAACCATCTCATGGCCAAAGATTCGAGGACAAAGCGAATGAACTAGAATTTTAAATATATTTGGCTCTCTGGCCACCATCTTAATCACATCAACATCATGTTCTTTAAATTCTAGTTTTCGAAGTGCAACTATATTTTTGTTGCTCATAATCGACACAGCATGAATATAATATGTATGAAGTCCAGCTTCGCTGCCCTGTTTATTAGCTTGGGTGCGCACCCGCATAATGCCCGTCACTGTGATATCATCACCTATAATTGAATATAAATTTTAGTTTCTCCACATCCACTTGCTGTAGTATGGTATTTAAACAAAAGAAAGTGTCGTACATACCCGGTGATACCGAATCGACCAAATCGTAATCCAAATCAATCTCAATTGTTTTTGGTATTTGACCCTTTCCCGATAGTACCGATTCTTGCAGACGTATCGTTTGATATGGTTCCGTTCGTGTGAATGGCGACGTTTGCAACATATGAAAATTGCTGCGATTACGACAGCTGCCACCTTTGCATGATATCGGCATGTTGGTTCGACCCAAATTCAATTGCCGAACCGCTTGTTCCGTTTTACATTGCGCACATCGAAAGGCGACCCATGAACATTTCAAACTGGGAGGATTTACCCGAACAACAGTTCCTCGCACCGAAAATAAGCAATTGTAAATGTCTTGCTTTAATGCACTCAAATTAACAATTGGCGAATGGTCTTTGATGCGCGCACGAATCGTTAACATCGATAGTCTCATACTAGTTTCATTTTTCTCTGACTCTTGGCTCGGAATTGGCGGTAGTTCGGTTTGAATGAGTTGATGAGCTGCCAATCCCGCACACATCAATATTTCCATCGACGAAAAATTTAAATCCGATTGAAAGTTCGGTACAGCCTGACAAAATTCCTCATCGTTTTGAAGCGATTGTACGGACATTATAAACCACATATTCTGTCGAATATCATTGAGCTTGTAAAAGTATGGCCGCTTTTTGATATGCTGCTCAAATGCCTTTATCTTCCGCACTATCGGTAAATCATCTTTGTATTCTAAAATGAAGCAAAACCAGAAATTGAGCAGCTATTGTATAACAAACAAAACAAACAATTTTTCATAAATAAATTCAACGTACCGACTTCAGGGAAATACAGTTTCCAGCCAGTGTACGGCGATTTCTTTCCGCCAATTTGAAATGAATTTTGTTCAATTGAAGAAGAATTCGATCCATAACCAGATGATGGCGAATTCAGTGGTATAGGAATTGATATCGTGTTTTGACGTGGCCCAGTGTCACGTTTATTTTGACGATTTCGCAAACGAAAGAAACTGTTGTTTGATTTCTTTTGATTGTTGGTCGGCGCATTATTACTCGATGGATTGTTTTCGGCCATCTTGTTCTGAAGCTCAAATCACTGTCATCAATGAAAAAAAAAAACAACATTGAAATGACGATGCAAAGAGAATGAAATCGTTTCACATACCATACAAAGTGTCCAAAATTACTTACATTCAGTGTTTATTCGCGGTGCTGATGTTTTATTGGAACATCTTTTTTAATAACGTAAATCGAAACTTCCGATCGATATTATTTTGAATTGAACAATGAAATTGTGCCGTTGAACATTGATTGCGAAAAACAACTGTTTTTGCGTTGTTCGTTGAATGTGGGCATCGAAATAGCGCTAAAAATTCGTTCAAACAATAGTTTGACATTTCGTTGTATATGATTCATTCACAATTGTGCAATAAATGACAGCACCTGTCAAGCAAATCAAATGAAAAAAAATTCATTTCAAAACACCGCTCGCAAGAGCTGAAAAAATCCATAATATTCAATTGATTGTTTATCACAATAAATTTATTTGCTCCATTAATTGTGTGAAATTGACATTTTCATAAGATTTCTGTTGAATTTTTGTTTCAACTTGATTCTGTTTTTGGGTGCAAGTTAAATAAAAACAAAGTTAACCTCAAAATGGGTCTTTTCGATTCATTGAAAAGTAAAGGGATGATATTCACGAGTGCATTTTGCACGGCCGGTTTCTTGACTGGGTTTTTAAAGTAAATCCAATGGCAGAATGGATGTTGTTCGACGTAACTCAACAATTATCAATCAATGCTTGAATTCTATTGCAGGGATCAGATGCAAGGTGCAAAATTTAAGAATGAAATAAAAGCGACCGATAAACGAGTCATAATTACGGGCACAACGAGTGGAATTGGCTTGGAAACAGCCCGAGAATTGGCAAAACGTGAGGCTCATGTGTATATGGCATGCCGTGATATGAAAACATGTGAAACAGTTCGCGACGATATCATATTGGATGCCAAAAATAGGAATGTCCATTGTCTTGAATGTGATCTTAGTTCAATGGAATCAATTCGAAACTTTGTCAAAAAGTTGGTAAACCGATTCAATCATTTAAAAAAGACGCAACACAATGACACTGCTCTAATATTTTAAACATTTTAGATATAAAGAGAAAGAGAATCGATTAGATATTTTGATAAATAATGCTGGCGTAATGAGATGTCCACATTCATTGACCAAAGATGGATTCGAAATGCAATTGGGAGGTGAGTTGAGCATCTATTATTATATTTTACACAAAGATATATTTCAAAGTATCATTTCTCAACTCGGTTTTAGTAAATCACATGGGACACTTTCTATTGACGAATTTATTACTTGATCTAATCAAAGTGAGTAATTTCAATTCATTTATCGCCGTTCAAATCAATGATAAAGCCATTGTTTTCGACAGAAATCATCTCCAAGTCGAATAATAAATGTGTCGAGTTCGGCTCATCTTAAAGGCGAAATTAAGACATCCGATTTGAATAGTGAAAAGAGTTACGATGCCGGTGATGCATATAATCAAAGCAAATTGGCGAATATATTGTTTACGCGAGAATTGGCACGAAAATTGAGCGGAACCGGTGTGACTGTGAATGCAGTAAATCCTGGTTTGGTTGATACAAAAATAACACGTCATATGGGAGTTTTTAAGAGTTTTTCTGGGTATTAAATGATAAAAAAACAGACATTTTAATTTAAATACTAATCAGCTGTTGAAATTGCAGTGTAATATTTAAGCCATTGACATGGCCATTCTTGAAAACATCCAGATCAGGTGCTCAAACAACGTTAATGGTTGCACTAGATCCAAAATTTGACTCAATATCCGGACTGTACTACAGGTAAGGAGAATTGAAAAAAAAAAAAAACAAATTGAATTTGCATTGAGGGTGCTTTTGTTTTACAGTAATTGCGAAAAGGCACAAGTGTCAGAAGCAGCCAAAAATAAGACTGTTGGCGAATGGCTATGGAAAGTAAGTGAAAAATGGACAAATTTGGATGAAAATAAGAAATAAACAACTTTTCGATAAAATGGAAATCCGTTAAATTTATGAAATAAATGTTGAGTAATATATATATATATAAATGAACAATTTTTGTTTCTCTCGACTTAATAACGATGAAAATGATTATTTTAGAAGAATTTCTTCCAAAGATAAAAGCAACGTTTATTGAATGTGAATCGTGTGTGCTTGTGTTGGAATGAATGTTTGGAACAGTAAGCAAACAGGTACACAGCAACGATACATATGTATGCATACAAGTGTCAAAACGATCGTCATGTGCTTCGTGTATCGGTGTGTATCCATACACAGACCTAATCAAACAACAATTTTGTTAACTCAAATGCCTTCGATTGTATTTCAATACGATAAAATATCCATTTCTCTGTCTCACACACGCAACCCAACCATACCATAGCCGATATACATACGTTACTCGTTTGTTCATTTTAGAGTGCTACAATTACTATTCCAATAGAAATACCGATTTCATTCGCTTGTCAACTATTCAATATGGCGGATGTTTAAGCGAACAACACAAAATTCAATAGAAGATAGCAATAAAAAGAAGTTTTTTTTTTGTTTATTGTTATTAGTATTAAACTGTCGGTTTAACGAAATTTTTGCAATTTTTTGATTTTTAAAATTGTTCGGCTTCGCTCAAGTTAATAAATTTATTTTTTGTTAAAAAAAAGGTAAAACAAATTTATCGGCTATAGAAAAGAATTTCACAGTTCAAGAATTTGAGCGATGCGTGTGTATGTATGTGTATCTGTGTGTGATGTTATTTTATCCATCAAAGAGATTTCTTGTTTTCAATCATTTAAACAAATGGAAAAAATCTGTGATTCAAAACAAAAATATCGACGTGGTTCAATAATCGGATTATTGTAGCTATTTTTCGTTGCTCTCTATAACGATTTAATATTTTAAAGCAGTGCATTCCTTAAATAGTTCCAATCTCACGTAAATAAATAACAAGTGTATATTAAATGACTAAGTCAATGTTGTTTTCTCTAGAATCGATCACGAAGTGCTGCATAGAATAATTTACGAACATTTCAAATGAAAGATCAAAGTTAAAAAAGAATTGGCCCGAATTTTATTTTCGGTTGCATTTGTTTTTCGTATTTTGTTCATAGATAGATTTTTATGATCATTTGTGAAGTTTGAAAGTGTTCACTCAGCTGACTTAAGTTAGCCGCCGCATTCGGTGCATGCTCACACATAATATCTCGATCGAAGCTAAAAATGAAATGAAGTAACACGAAAACAAAATAAAAACGGAAAAAATAGGCGAAAAAAGAGTATTAAAACATGACGGTGCATATTAAAAAGCATTTTGCAATGATCACACATATCGGTTGGCTGCGTTCAATCGACGTTTGTGTTTTTTTTTTTCGCACCGTGCATATCGGATGATTATTCGATCTGGAATTCCGTTTATTTGCTATCTTTCTGCTTTATTAGTTCAGCATTGAATTTGATTGCATGGATTCTTCCACAGTTACTACTTACGTATATATGTTTTGTACATATTGCCACGATCGAGTTGGATGAGTGTTAAGTGATTAAGACAAATCATCATGAATATCATTGCAATTTTTGTTTCGTACATATTTCTCTTGCCCTTTTTTTTCTCTTTGCTTCACCAGTAAATTAAATCTTTCGTAAATTTGGCTGACAGTCGCAATATCGGTGTCTGTGTGCAAATTACGTTTTCGTGCAAATTTGTTGTTGCTGTTTTGTTATCTAGCTCTTGTCGCTGTACCTTCGTACATACAAACCATTCATAAGACGTGATACATTATTTAAAATTGGCTACACGATAATCTATTTCACGTTAGTTGTGCGTTACTTTGTATTCGTTTTTTTTGTCTCTTTTTCGCAATGCGCTCATTTGTTAGCTACTGAATGTGTGTCTTTCATATTGCGTGAGTGTGAGAAAGTGGAATCTGACGTTACCACATTTTTCGAGTTTAGACTTTTTTTACCGTTTCTTCACGTTGCTGATGTTGTTGTTAGTTTTGCTGCCGTTGGCAATTTTATGCATGTCAGAAGAGTATTTTGATGCAGTTTTACGCACATCTAACCAAAAAAAAAGAGAAAAAAAATAACAACAAAAATTGCACTGCCAATGCACAATTCTGATGAAGGAAAAGAAAAATAATCCAAAATATGCGCAAAAAATGTGTCGAATCGTAACAAAATATTGCCTTGTGTTGAAGTGCAAAAAGAAATGAGCACGATTGACGTGTATGCGATGCATCCAAATTAAAATTATATACTTTATTTACTGCAGATTAATTGATGACAATTTTCATATGACTTCACACATGTGTGGATTTTTCATGTTGCTTCTGTGTTTTTTTTCTCTTCTTATTGTTGTTTTACGTTTAGTAAAATGCATTTTCTTTCGACAAACCAATTGCCAACATCAACAACATAACGTGTTTGCGCTTTCTTTTCTATTTCGTTCATTCGCATTGCGATCATATTCCACTGTAACAAAAAATATTTGTTTTATTGCTTCTTGATCTTTTTAAATTGAATGTATTGAACTGATTTTCTATCATCCAATATAAAGTGTGTACGCTTCTTTTACGAAAATAAAATACACACATTGAAGAGAGTGAAGAGAAGGATAAAAAACAACAAACATCGGATAAACGCACACATTGCTTTCTGTAGAAACTCAATATCGAAGACGAACAAATTTGCAAATAGTAATTAAGTAGTAATTTCAACAGAATAAGAGCAATAAATTACAGCATACATTCATACCGTTTCAAACAGTATGCAATTCAAAATCGTAAAAAAAAAAAAATGTTCGATAACCCATTTTTTTGCACAGCGATGTGTGAACATCTCAAATTGTATCAATCAAATGAAGATGCATTTGAAAAACACTCAATAGAACCAATAGAGCGAATGCGACGAAACGAACCGAGTTGAATAAATCGGCACGCACAAAGACCAATCAAGAGTTATCGAAAGAGAGCGAGAGAGCAACAGAAATAAAATATTGAAAAAAATCAAATGCAATCAAAAGCAGAATAGCACAATATTGAATACATGTAAAGTCAACGAACACTCAAACTAAGATAAACGCTATAATGCCTACAAAATTTTGATCGAACGCGTAACATCATTAGTATCTAGATCAAATGCGTATTATCGACATATACAGTTTCTCCAGTTTCTCGCCGATCTAGAATTTTGCCAATGCTTTCCAGCAGAGAGCGACGCAAAAACTGTTCCTTTATCTCAAGTGTGGTGAAACTTTTTGATATTCAAAATATGAATATTGACAAGAGTCAACCGGCTATGATTTCATAATCTTACCATTCCACATATTCGGAACATATTGTGCGATCATTACATGTGGAACGAAAAAAAGAAACACATATTCGATGTCGTCATATCGTTAGCCATTTATTCTAGTTCGACTTTTGTTCATTGGCTATTTTTTTTTCTGTGCGTTCACCTGTTTGTCTTCGTATTCGATTCGAAATTCTGATTGAATGTGTGAGCGAGAAGAAGAAAGAGAGACGACCGTTTCACAGCATCACTTCTTTTAACTTCATTTGTTACAACATGAGTGTCTTTCAGTCGAAGTTTGTGTTCGTATTGTGCTTATTGTGACTGTTCTGTTTTGCTGGATTTTCAACTGCTTTTGGTTGCGCGCGTGTATATTCACGTGCATGTGTGTGTGTGAGAGAGTAAGATTGTGTATGCATCCAAAAACATAACCAAATATCGTATCTTACAATCAGAATTCTTGTCAATCCACAGAATCAAAACACAGTTTACGTGTGGTTGTCATCGTGTTTACATCATTTTTTTTGCATTCGCCAAAAAAGAGGGGTCAAAACGTATTTTATGCCAGGTTGTGATTTGAATTCTTTCCGTGGGAAAAATCAAGTGAATGAAATTGAGTGTTGTTCACCGATATTAATTTTCAAGCACATTTGCTTTTGTTGTTTTTTTTTTTTAAATAATACTGAACTAAAAAGAAAATTGATCATCGAACAAGTGAAATTGAGCGAAAAGAAAACACGAAAATATCGAACAACAGAACACAGCGTGGTTGATTGTTCAGTTTTGTTTGTTTGATTGAAATCGGTTTGCATCATGGAGACAATGGAGTATGAAACTGCCCGGAATTTAACGTTGCTTTTTTTCTTGGAACGTTTAATGGAACGCGGCGAACCTCGAACCTTACATGATCTGTCGTGTCAATTTGGTTCAAAGGGATTTACAAAAGAAATGCGCCAAATCGCTGGCGGCAGTCAATCCGGTAAGTATTTTCAATATTAAACACTTTCAAGTCAATAAGTAATTGGTTGCCATAGTTACTTCTTCAACAAAATAATTCCAACATCGTAGCAAGTTGAAAGAACATAATGACCTAAGTGAAAAAAAACTTTTTCGATAAGCGCTGCATTTGTGTTTCCATTGTATAAAGTTCGTTTTTTTTTCTTCGTTGTTTGTTCGCCAACCATGAAACTGCATTTGTTATCATTCTTGTATTACATTCAACTGTTATTTAGAGAGAGCCTCATTCGAGAAAAAAAAATCATTTTATTATATCTAAACAATTTACTTTTTTTCTTCTTAAATCCAAAACACAATACCAGAATAACTTGAACTTTGAAAATAACTATGAATACCGAAATGACAACGAACAAAGTACAATAACAATAATAAGCTACCAAACACACACACACACACACAAACACACACAGAGGCCAGAAGTTTGAAAACCAAAAACATAAGTAAATGTCGTAAACGTAATTTTTTCGGTGGGCATTTGAAATAAAATTTAAATAAATTATGAACATTCAGATGTTAATAAAAAATGCTTTCCATCCATAAATTCCTTTCGGTAAAATTGGTCTCTTTCTTTTCGGCGAACGAGTCCACCATTCTAATGATGGAAAATCGTCAAACAATTGTATATAAATAGATGTATAATAATAAAAACACGCAGGTATATTTATGAATTCCAGAGAGGAAAATAGACATTTTCGTTTCGTGAATGTGGCTTCGATTTTTTTCGCTTTTGAAGGTAATATATTGTACAAATGCTCCAAAGCACTGTTATGAAAAATAAAGCCATTATGTTATGTTTGACATTGAAATTGCCTTTTCCACGACAACAAATCAATGCACCAAAAACACAATGCTCTATGATGATTATTATTTATCAATTCTCAACCTCTTTACATTGTTTTCGTGTATGGGACATCGACCAACACACAAAATACCGAAACTAACTGACATTCTACATAGTTCAACATATTTGATAGCGCAATCAATATACTCTAATGCACAAATAAATTCTCAGTCTTTGATTTATAATGTCGTGCAAATATATGAAAATAAAATCAATCAACGTCTGTCGACACGATAAACAAATCAGGAAAATACGCATGCTTTTGTTTCGCAATGACGTCAGAATATAAATAAATATCGGCGAAATGTTAGATTCCCATGTTAAACATTATTCCAATTGTTTTTTATTCGATTACGATTCAAATACAATGAGTTTTATTCGAACCGTAAGAATGGCCAAAAGTGTTTTAGTTTGTGTGATAATTGATATTTATACAAAATTGATATGTATGATTTGGTAAACCATAAACGGTAGACCATTTATCATGATAGAACGACCGAACCGAGTCTATTGTCTTTACTACTCATGTCATTCTTATCAATGTTATGCATATCATTTTATTTGAACAGTATGTTTTTATATCGAATAACGGTGCAATCATGCGAAACTAATAACAATTGATAGAGCAGAAATTTAATATAATACATTTGAATAACACACACACACTTTGAAATATATCAATTTGGTGTGATTGTGATGTTTTCATATTATGTTTTGGCCGTCAGTCGAACACCGATACCATAGAAAACCACCTATAAATTCCATGCACTTTGTTTTTTTTTTCCTTTTTAAAGAGATAAACTTCAAAAGTTCAAGTATGTCGAAATCAAAAATTCTATCCAAATGTATTTGGATGGAGTGTGTGTATTTTAGTGTCGACAGGGGTTCATTTTCTTCGTCTATACGAGGAAGTGGTATGCAATGGCAAAATCGTAACGGTATCGAAATCGTGTTGTTTTCAGTTTTTCTTCTTCGTGAGACAGTGTGTGTGTGTGTTTCCCATCGTTACCTTTGGATAAAATTGTGTCGGGTCTTTTCTTGGTCTTCACATCTAACCGCAACTCCTTCTCACGTTCACTTTTCCACATTTGAACGTACATTTTCACCAAAAAAAAAAAATTCTATTCATACAGTATTCGTGGCGCGGTTCGCAAAATAAAAATTACGACACCATAAGCAAGGGATATTTATTTATTTATTTATTTTATGTCTATTTCGTAAATATACTGAGAGAAAAGATATAGGTTTTATGTGTTCACTTTGAGTTAGTTGTTGCCGAATTCTCTCTCTCTCTCTCTCTCTCTTTCTCTCTCTCCCGCTCTCTGATAGTGTTACGTTTTGTGTATCATTGCGACTTTTGGTAGTATTTTCCATACCATGTAACGGACATACACGTGTATCATGCAGACTACCTACTATTAGTGTTGCTGTTTTTGGATTTTTTTTCTCTCTCTCTCTCTCTCTCTCCATTTGATGATTTTTTATATGTACACAGTATTTATGTGGAATGTCGTTTTTGCATTTCGGTTCACCAATATAAACATTTAGCAATTGAACGTGCACATTTCACATGCTATTCGGAAATAGAAAGAGATGGGGGTTGTTACTGTAGCATTTACTATAACTCTTTTTCTTCATCTTTTCTTGGTCTTCTCTTAAGACTTGAATTACTTGGCAATGCTGGAGTGTTTTTGTTTACCACTTACATTATTCGTGGACGATAAGTGAATATTACACATAGAAATAAAGTTTTGCATATTATATATTCATATGTAATCTGTTTTTGAATTACCTTAAAAGCATCATTTCCATTCAAGACAATTTCGTGCATTTTACTCGTCACAATTAACATTCCCTTGGATTCACTTAAACAAAATCGTTTTACCATTGTTTCTCGTTTTAATCGGCGAAAAATCAAAAAAATCGTCATAATAAATAATTTTGGTAGCTCCGACTCTATCATGCAATGAAACCAAACAAAAAGAAAAATCTAGAAAAACTCACGAGAACGGTCCATAAGTTGATAGCGTGGCACACAGTAATACAATACTCTCATGTGAATAGCGACTGTACACAGGGACACTTCAATAAAATTATTTTTATACACCTGACATCGAAAGTAAACAACGTCAGTCTTTGGAAATGAAATTTATCTGTGTGGAATGGAACATTTGGAAGAGAAAGACATAGAGATAGAGAGAGAGAGCGACTACATCTGAATTTCTCTGAATGTAAATAAAAATTCACATAAAATAAATATACGTTTTCAACGTTCGAATGTGTTTCTGGCTAAAGTCAACGACAGAAAAAAAACACGGAAAAATGAATATCCAACTTGATTGATTTTTATCCAAACCACTATAGATCTTTCTGTAAAATATTTTACATTGTAGAACAAAATGGACGAAAATTCAAAATGAGCAAAATTCATTAAATTTGTCGATTGATGACTCAAACATGCCGTGCATTGAAGGGGAAAAAAAACCTATGCAAAATCCTATACAAATATTATATCCAAATATTTTGGCCTGTACTGGTCTGTTGCCGTATCATTAACGAAATGATGGTTCAGATGACAGTAAACATGCTTCTAAACAACATCTTTGCACGCATCATATCCTACTGAATTATGTAGAGAAATGAATAAATATAATTTTTGGCGTTTATGTGAAGTTTGCCTTTTTAGTTAAGTCAGACTTCGGATCGTAGTAACATCCATTAAGCCCGTTTTCAGGCGATAATAATTTTGTTCGAAAATGAAATATAAGATATGCATACTCACAGTTTTTCGATAAAACACGTGCCCAAACTAAATCTCTTGATCTAATCGAACACAGTGTCACATGCCTACCCATTGATTAAAAACTTTCGCCAAAATTGTCTCCCCCTTTTTTCTCCTCCTCTTTCCAATTTACAAGGTTTCGCAAAGAAAGAAGAGCCGAAAAAACACCATAAATATATAAGTATTGAACAGAATATAACATCTCTATTTGGTATTCAATGATATTTATTCCGTTCAAATAAGGAAACAAAATGAAAGCAAAAGTAAGACTCATATGAATCAATTGGCGACCGAATGAACGAATGAATTTTTCAACGTTTTGCTACCACGAGAATCGATGAACATTTTTCGTTGCAATAAAGTTGTTCACGCGATTTTAGGGGATTTTTCTCTGCAAAAGACACAAACAACCATCCGCGACTCTCTTTTATGTGAAATTGAATCGGCATATGGCATTCATACAATTTATCTCTGTGAATGCGACATTGAAAAATGGTTGCCCGTTTTACTGAAGCCTCACATAAGGTGGGGGGAGAGAGAGAGAGGAAAGTGCACCATGAATCCCATTGAGATAACCATAAAGCGTCCAATCTTACTAAAAGTTTCTCTCGTCTTTACTCATCGATATTATGGGCACCCGTTGCAAGTTCTGGTTTCACATAATAATCACACTTCGCAATGCAATTACTTGGAATTACAAATGGACTTAATAAGCTGATTGAGTTTTTGTAATATCATGCCCAGGATCGAGGGTTCGAGAATTTGCGATGGACTTTGGATGCGATTCTTCAATATTTTTATATTATTATTACTTTTCGGTCGAGACAATTTTTAGTGCCAATCTCACTTTTCGTATCGAACACAATCAAAATCGTCTGAAAATGGCATTGCATTCAATTCGAATCAGCTTAAAAGTTTTATTTGTATTTGGAAAACTAATTAACAGTTGCACGGCACGATACAATCTATGGAATAAGCACTTCAACACACACTTTTACCGAAATCATTTTAAAGGATTTCATTTATTTGCAAAGTTTTATCGATTAAATACAATTTTGAGTGGTGGTTGCAGAATAGAAGTGGAATGCATCGTTAATTGATTGGTAGCCAAAATGGGTAAAATGCTCATGTTTTTATTTTGTATTTGGTATATTTACCGAAGAAAATCTTTTTATAATTAAATCAACATTTATTTTGTTCCATTACGAGTCTATGTGATTCAATTCATGTATATATTCCATGTGATAAAAAGATGATGCAAGATTTTGTATAAAACTCCCCTCGAATGGAATGAATTCGTAAGTTTTGCCGGAATATCATTCGATGACTTTAATAAAATTGATTATTTTGTAAACCAATTATTATCATGAAGTGCGTTAACAATAGAAAGTGAGCAACAGTGAACGATATATAATTTCAGTTGTGACAATTGAGCCTATTTACCCAAGAGTACTAAATACAAATTTCATGAAGTGGTATTTTTTTCCGTTGCTTCCGACTCAATGCAATAAATTCAGAAAGCAAATGTTGAATAATTCAATATTACTGGCGTGCATGTTGTTCACCCTTTTGTTTTTTTTTTCTTCTTTTTTCGGTTTTTGTGTTGTTCGTGCTTAAGACAATCATTCATATGGCACATGGCTGTAATAAGAGAAAGAAATAGAACCCCGTTTGGATGGTGTATTAACGTTAAATAAGAAAGGGGGAAAAAGATTCATCTAAATCAGTTTGTGGTGTACGAACACGGTGTTCGCTTCCGAAGATCCCACCATGAATTCAAAACCGGTCTCATGTGTACAATTTTGTCAATAGATTTATGATGTTTGCCAATAATATTTGACACTGCTATTACCGATATTATATTGGTCTGAATGGTAAGCTGTTGAATGTGCGTTCATCAGATAATAAAGTAAATATGTTTATATGTATTAGAATCATTTTCAATGTTTTGGCACGAAACACTTGACTCGTTTCTCTTTTTCTATGTTACACAATGGAAAAATAAATATCAATTATGCGGTTTCATTTTCATGCAACAGAGATAACGCATGATCAATTCAGAATGAAATGGACGGGAATTGTAAATGATTAATTGGTCTTATGTCATTTGGTTTTGTTTTTCGCATACAGGTTTGAAGAAGTTTCTTGCTCAATATCCGGCTATATTCGTTATCGATGGTGATCATGTGCTAGTTAATTCATATGAGAAATCAGCTTCAAATGATGTGCTGGGCGGTGGTACTCGTGATTATATCCAAGAGTCGAAAGATTATTTTAAGCATAAATTGCTTCAGTACGGCATCGGCACCGAAGTTCCAATTAAAAGTCTTCTCGGCCATCGTAGCCAAGCATCACCACAAATTCGACACATTTCAGGTATGTATTCAGCATCCAATAGCGTTAAACATTTTTTCGATTGCACTTTATTTTTTAATTTTATTCCTCCGTTATCAATTGACAGGTCAACATATCAAAGAGTTTACAGAATTTTTGAGCAAACACACCGACACATTTCAAATAATCGATGAATGTGTTGTATTGGTTGGCTGTGATGATTTACAAGATCTTCCATTATCGGAGCGTCTTCATTTGCCACAACCATCGATCGATACGGTGGCCACACAACAAATGTTAGATTTCTTCGCATCGTACATTGAATCAAAAGGTCCAATTGTCGTAGATCAACTATTTCATTTAGTCACCGCAACGTTTCCGCAAGAACAATGGTTTTCAATGTTTAAAACTCCAAATGATTTGAGCACATTTTTGAAATTATTCTCCAATTGTTTTTACATTCAATCAAATCTAGTCACATTGCTGCAAAAACCGGTATTATCGGATTTGCATATTCAACAACAAACGGCAAAAGCAAAAGATTGTATTAACAATAATTATGCGTCAACCACAATAAATCGCACACAATCGCCGATATCACGAGCTGCAACCGTCGGCGATTTTAAACTAAATGAACCCGTTTCGAATGTCAAAGTTACGGTGAATAATTGTTTGAATAACAATGCAACAAGTAATAATAATAATAATAACAACAACAATAACAATAATAACAATAACAAGAGTGAACCGAATAGTGGATTCGATAGCTACATTCCGGACTTTGATATCAAAATGGAAAATCTATGCGAAAATAATTGCCCAAAAACCGGCAACACATTCTCAACATCCGAACCAAATTCATTAACACAGATTTCCGATACATCGTCACCCATGTCGAATCGAAGTCCAGCAATGTCACCAACACCACCATCCACTACTTCCACACCAAACGAACGAACCAATTATGCTGGCAATAAAAATCAATCACTCAAACAACGTATCAACAATTTGGTTATTAAAACACTAGCCGAAAATGAAAAAGACAAATCAAATGTTCCAATAAGTATACATCAGACAAATAATCAAACAAGCAACACAAATTCACCAGTTTCGACAGCAAATACAACGACCAGTAGTTCGTTGTTGGCATCGAATCTTCCAAAGAGTGGTGGCGGTGATAGTGGTGCAAATAATATGTTTGTGGGTGATACATGGAAAATTAAGGTGCTGCAAAATACTCGAGTCATTGCCACCGTTAATGAGAGTCAATTTGTAACCGAAGCAATTGCAAAATCAGCTACAAAAGATGAACCGGTTGTGATTTCAGTGGATTGTGAAGGCATTAATTTAGGACTTAAGGGCGAATTAACACTGGTTGAAATTGGCACCGTACGTGGTGAAGCCTTTATTTTTGATGTCTTTCAATGTCCAAATATTATGGCAGAGGGTGGCCTAAAGGCATTGCTTGAAAATGAAAATGTTATTAAAATCATTCACGATTGTCGTAATGATTCGGTCAATCTATTTGTGCAATTCAAAGTGTTGCTACGAAATGTGTTCGATACTCAAGTAAGCTCTAGATTTGATTCGGTCTATTTGATTATTTGATTAACTTATATCGTTTTCATTTTTACATTCACTCAGTCGGCTCATGCGTTGCTGCAGTATCAAGAACAAAATAAGCAGGTGTATAAAGTAAAAAATGTTTCATTGAATACATTGTGCGAAATTTATAATGCGCCAAAGAATCCAATGAAAGATCAGCTAAAGAATATTTATCGACGTGATCAAAAATACTGGTCGCGACGGCCATTATCCAGAGATATGCTCCTTTATGCTGCAGTCGATGTACTGGTTCTGATTAATGAGCAACTTTACGCCAAAATGTCAGAGTAAGTAAATAATAACATTAAATTTTTCACATTTTCCATTTCATTCAATCGCATTTCCTTCATTTTCAATGGCACAATTTAGAGCTATTAAACCAGAATTTAAAGGCTTACTGTCCGAACTGTGTACTGAACAAATTCTAATGCTCATCAAACCGAATGAGGTACGATCACGAAAAAAACAACGTAAACTTGGTACTGAGGTGGCTGACTTGAAGCAGAAATTATGTCAATCGAACAAAAATATTGTGTTGAGCAATCGCGAGATTCGTCTTTTACGGTAAATAGTTGATTTTTTTTCTTCTTTTTCAATTTTTCTGTGAACAAAATAACATCATGCAATTCATTTAATCAGGTACTTGGATTTGACGGAAGAAGAAAAGGAGAAACTGCGAGGTTCACACAAAGTGGCTAGAAAATTAGAGAAACTAGAAAGTATCGGTCAAGATCGGTAAGTGTAAAAAAGAACCATTTGATATCGTACAAGAATGGAATGAATTGTGTGTTAAAAAAAATTGCAGATCAAACAGTGATTCAGAAGACGACATTGAACCGGACACAGTTGATCAAGAATATCCAAGTTTGGATAGTGTACCATCCGATAATTCGTTACCTGGTCCAACCACATTCTCACCACGTAATTCGGAACCACCCAGTTTAACGGAATCGATGCAATTAATGGATGAAATCTTATCCGACAAAACAATGGATCGCATCGAGAGAATCGACAAATTAGAAGCAATCTTGTCGGCAGCAACATTGTTGCCAAGTGATCCGGTACTTAACCATACTCATAATTCATATTTATTGATGAAATAACGTACGTTTTTTCTCTGCATATGTTACACAGGTTATCACAACTCTTTCGAATTCAATGGACACACAATCCAACTCAAGCAGTTCCTACGAAAGTTTTCAACTCACTAAAATTGAACCGAAGCGGTAAGATTAATTTTATTCAACTCGAATCAAGGAAAAAAATTTTATTTAATTTATCCGTGTGTATTATTCTGAATAGATGCTGCCCGTGTAATTGTCAAGGCAATAAAGTCTATATGAACAATCAACGCAACATTAATCTCAATGACAGTAACAATTACTCTCCACTGGTAACTATTTAATCGCACTATTTTGCTCATTTGGTTCAGTAATTTCAAGAGAAAAGAAACACAAAACTAAATTGATTCTATTTTTCTTTAGGGTTCAAACAACAAATCGAACGCCGGTTGTCAAACATTGAGCACTGGTGACATTGTCATCATGAAGGTTTACTTTAAAGAGGATCAAGAAAAAGGCACCGAACGCGTCATCGTTTCATCACCAAAGCGAAATGCTCAATGAAAATATTTTCTTCCAATATATTTATATACTGATTTATCTTAGTTGATATTCGCCTACAATTAAGATGCCATATTATATTTTAGTTAGCAAAAATTGATCAATTCTATTACAACATTTGTATAGACCGATAATAGAAGAAACGAAAAATATTAAATGAAATGATAATTTCATGTTGCTTAAAGACAAAGAATACAAAATTTATAGCTTCAAGTCAAACGAAACTGCTCAAAATATTATATACATATATTTGAAAAGAGAGATAAAAAAAGAACACATCAACAAAATTTCCAGATTGGTCAACTGACATCACATATCATTGATGCATATTTCTGTTTTTTTTTAAATGGATACACTGTTATTTTCTTTGAATTTTTTGTAAGAAAAATGGGTAAAAATTGAATAAATTATTATATTTTGTTAATTTCGTTTTCGTTTCATTTTTGTCTGTCAACGGTTTCTTCTCTCAGTGTATTTTAATTTTTATTTTCGTGATACAGAGATTCAATGCGGTATAAATTAGTAAAATGCAATTTTATTCGATGCAAAGTAACCAATAAATTTGAAATGTGACAGATGGCGCTATTACTGCCGAAATTGACAAGCATTGCGTTTGACATTTCAACCGCATGTTAAGCCCATTGTGAATGGATTGGTGAATTCTGACATTTCGTTCCGTCCATCTTTCTTTTTTTTCTGAGTCGTCTTCACTGTGAGGTGTGCATTCCAATTTTTACAAATTTTAATCATAAATCATCCAGTAATTTTAATAGAATTTCCCTACAATTTTGAATGCAATCGATGCACAAATATGTGATAAATATGATCCACATAATATTTCATCGATTAATAAATGGGTTTTTGTGAAAATCAGTGATTTTTATGGCAATCCCCGACAAAGTCAAGACATAGCCAAAGTCTAGTGTCAAAGCCGAATAGTGTTTAATATTGTTGACTGGTTCGTGGCATCAAAGAAAACATTCACTTAGTTTCGTGCTGCGAAATATTTAATCGTTCCGAAAATTGTGCTCTAAATGAGAGATTGCATTCAAATTTGTCGCGAAAATATTCGATCGAATTTTTAAATTGCGATAGATAAACAAAACTACACGCGCTACAATAATTCGTTTTTTTCTTTCTTTCTACAATTGTGTATTCATTTACAGGTTAGTTCGACTAATTCAATTGCCCAAAATTAAAAATGGCCAAACCAAAGGTTGAAAAGAGAAACAAATCGGCAATCAATGAAGTTGTGACCCGTGAATGCACAATTCATTTGTCGAAACGCGTACATAATATCGGTTTCAAGAAGCGTGCACCACGCGCCATCAAAGAAATCCGTAAATTTGCCGAAAAGGAAATGCGCACCAAGGATGTTCGTATTGACACCCGTTTGAACAAGCACATTTGGTCAAAGGGTATTCGGTGAGTGAATTTAATAATAACACATATATACATAAATCAAGTTCGATTGAATTAGAATTCACGATTCGCATTTTTTTTTTGCGTTACGCTTACAGGAGCACACCATTCCGTGTACGTGTTCGTTTGGCCCGCCGACGAAATGACGATGAAGACTCAGCCAACAAATTGTACACATTGGTAACATACGTTCCAGCTGAAACATTCAAAGGCTTACAAACAGAAAATGTTGAATCAAACGATGAATAGATGCGAGGCACATTTCAAACACCACCAACTATACATAGCCGAAAATCCAATCGAATGTTGTTTCTTTTGATTTTTAATTTTATACAATCAACAACATATCTGTATGTTATGGCGATGAGATTTTAAATAAAAAGAAACAAATCAACCAAGCAAAATAGTTCTTCACGCTTATTTAACCGTTTGAAAATTGTAGATGATCTTGAATAAAAGGTAATTGTGTTGCAACGGTTGTACGACGAATTCTTCACTAACAATTTTTATGAGAATAGGAAAGCACCAAAAATGGAATTAAAATTAAAGGTAAGTAGCGGTTGGCCAGAGCCGTATTGAAAATGGGTACATTTTCTCTATCTGTATCGTTTTGCAACTCTTGAATTATAACAGTGTTGAGATCATGAGAAATGCTTGAAACGAATTGATTGAGAAAATAATGTTTATTTATTTATATATTTTAATCTAAGTTACTTAAATATATTGAGTCGAATTTTATAAGAATAATTAGAAAAAAAAATTGCGAATGTACAAGTGAATGAGTTTTGTTTGATCATATTAAAATTGGCTGGAATGAGGTTATGTCCATGAGATTGGTAATAATATTTCATTTTAGACATTAAGTATTTTGAGCGGATTTTTAAACGAAAACTTGCGGCTTTCAACATTATTTATAGCCACTGTCTGAAGATGTCTGTGTTTCAACCGAATCGGCTCTTGGTTTTGGATTTTCGGTTTGTTTTAACACGAAATATTCAATGTATTGTTCAACTTGGCTATCCGATAAATTTGCTGGATTGAGACCGCAAGCGTTGAAAAATTTTAAAACCGCATCTGCAACATCAGAGGCATCCAGATCATCGGATCCAATACCAGAAGTCGATTGGTCCGAATTATTATCGGATGTGTCCAATTTTGATTCGTTTGCCAGTTGAATAGCCTCATCTAAGAGTGTTTGCGGTATGACCATCGGTCGTAGTTTGGTCACTAACTCATCATCGCCATCACTGTCCGATTGCGCATTCAACTCCGAATCAATGGCACAATCAGCTTCGGATTCCGAATCACATGAATTTTGGTCGTCGGTGCTTTCATCCGAATCTAAAACAATAATAGTACACATGCCTTAATACACATTCAATTAATTTAAATACGTCGATTTCACGATTACCAATCAATATTGAATGCAAGACTGGGCTTGATTTACTGGGAGCAATTTCCTGTGGTTTATTCAAAAGATCTTTTAAAACACCGGTATCGCTTAATGTGGATATGTAGTTTTTGCCAATTTTCTCGATAATATTTTGTAAGGCCTCATTATAATACACCTGGATTCGTTTAACCCAATACACAGACCAATCTTTTGTAAAGTCATGTGATCGTGGATCAATGTTATCTATAATTTGTACATCGCTAGTTAACAACACAAAAAATAAACGGAATGCATGCAAATATTAAAACAACAAGGTAGACGCATATATTTACTGGCCAAAATTTCACTCAAACGTCGCAAGTAGAAAATATGCCATTCTTTGGCGTACATTGGATGTAGGGCTGGATTGTTGCGATATAGTTCATATTCACATTTCAATTCGGCCATTTCTTCGTCCAATTTCATTTTTGACGACTGCACTGCCGCCTTACACACCATTTCTGTTGTTGATTCAGATAATTTGATGGTCGGCATTTTTCTAACGGATCGAATTGAAAAGAATATATTGAACCACATGAAATGATGACTTTTCAAATTTAACGCATTCATTTATACTTGTCGAGTGTCAATTTGGATAGCATATCTTCGATTTGTTTTTCCATTTCAGCCTGGTGGTTAAAACTTTTATTGTGCTCCAGCAGTGATTTTTCGCCCAAAAGTTTTATTTTACAAAAATTACATTTGTACAGATTTGCTTGAGCAAACAGCGATTGTTCATCTTTATCCTTTTCATAAATTGTTTTGAAATGCTCATGATCGAATGGGTACGGTGCGTTCAATAAACTATTGACCGTTTTTGAAATGTCACACTGGTTGTTCAGCAAAATAAATGGAAAAATAAAAAAAAATATATTCAAAAATTGTTGAAATAAAAAGAAAATGTTTGAAAATTAAAAAAAAAAAATCACTTACACTTGACTTTGACATTGCGTATTGTTCTGGTGTAACGACAAATATGTAACAATCTATTAATACGGCTAAATTGAATGACTTATTGATTCTCGTGCTCTTGATGTAATATGCATCGGCAGCTATGTGTCAGGGTTTGGTTATGCACAGCAACCAAATGCTTGGAGTGAAGCTCAAACTGTGTAACAACCATAAGAGAGAATGAAAACAACCGTCTACTAAGACATATACATATCAAGTGTATGTAACAAACTCGGTTAACTGCTGTTTATTTTTGTCTCCTTTTCGTGATATTTTCGTATTTTTTAAAACGGTGCTATACTTTTTTTTTTATTTGCTTTGCGTTATTATTGCTTTGTTATTGACATCAGCACTTAATCAAGCATTTGATTTTATAATTTCGAACGTGAGATTGCTTGGTTCGCTCAAATCGGATTGTGTTTCGTCGGTTTGTTTTTGATTTAATTTTTCTGTTTTAATTTGAAATGTATGTTTAGAACTGTTTGAGTCAATGCTCTTTGGTATAATATTTGTAACACTCTGAAGTTGTCTTGACTGTCGTCTGGATATTTCTGGTCCGTTCGATTCGTTTGAAATGTCAAACATATGTTCCTCTTCGTCATTTGTACTTTGACCTTTTGTAATTGTATTGTCTGATGGCATTGTTTTCGACTGTAAAGAGAGTTTATGTAAGAGTAATTCCATGTCCTTGAATTGATCGTTTTCAACGATCGAGCTTCGTACTGCCATAAAGAATAAATCGTCAATACGATTTAAAATGGATTTTATGCCGTCGGCTGTAATTGTCTCTTGTGTTTTAACATTATAACATTCTTGTGAATTGAACATTGTGTCATATTTGGTGTGTGCATCGTCTTCATTCGGCGGATCGAAGGTGCTCACATTATCGACACCATTGCACCACAAAAACATGCTCGAATGAATCAAATCGCCGAATATGGCGCATGCAATTAGATCTTTGGTTGGATGATAACTTAATGATGTGACCGTATATGTTTTTGTGATTAATGAAATTGGCAAACGAAACTGCCCAACGTGCTCTTCATTTGATATGCGAATACATTTGATTTGATTTTCATATGGACTTTTCATAAAAATCAATGATCCACATGGTGATATCGTGAATGTGTCATGTATCTCTGGCTCGATGTGATCATCGCTCAACAATTTTATCGTTCTTACAACAACCGCAGACGTTGTTTCGATTACATAAATCAACGGATCACATTGAACAAACAAACGATTACTTTTTACATGCATTTCAATTCGGAATATTCCTTTCGGGAATATTTTGATTTTCCTACAATGAAAACCGAAATTATATTGACAAGTCGATATTTGTAAAAAAAAATCATTCTACCTGCTCATTTGATATAATGGTCCATCATCATTTTCTTTGTGGTTTTTTGTTTGGCACCATTCAAGCAACACACCATTCCAATCAGCTGAATATAAATGCAATGATTTGCCTGCAATTGCCAATGAGGTAATGTAATTGTCATGTTGAATCAATTCATCGTACAATTCAATATCAGCGTCAATGTTCATATTGATTTTCCACACTCGTAAAATACAATCACGACCACCTGTTACTGCATATGCATGATCCGCATCACATTCAGATAGTTTGCTTAACCATTTGGTTACATAGACAAATGAAGGATGTGGAATCAATACCTTTATTTTAAAATTCTCGTCACTAAGAAACCAAACGATGGCTGTTCGATCAGATGCAACGGAAATGAGAATTCTCTCATTTAGCCAATCAATGTCATATATAAGGCTCAAATGCCCAGTCAAAACATGCGATACTTGCAGACTATTCACTTTCATAACGATAATTTCATGATTACTTCTCGTATAAGTTGTATGATGGAATGCAAGTTGTGAACCATTTGGGCTAAAATTTAAATAATTTTCAAAATTATTATGAATAAAAATGTTTTGAACACAAATGCGTCCGTACCTGAATTTCACAATCATTGTACCATATTGAGATGGATTTGTATGACCACGAATGTGATTTGAGATTTCGTGCTTGTAAACCAATCGATTTGGACATTTGCATTGCTATTTTGAATGAGAAAATCATTTTATCCGTGGCGAAGAGGAAATTATGAGTTTCGTTATTACCTGTCCAGGCAATCTAGTCTTCAGATTTAACATTTTTGATTCAAGTCGATCTGGATTGTGTGTCAACTTTTCAGCCCGTTGATTTGTTTTTGATTTTTCTTCTGGGTATGATTGTTCGCTCAATTTTTCATCGTCAGTGGCAAAAGTATAAATATCCTCGGTTCTTTCTTCTTCCAACACACTCATTGGCCGTGTCAATGACACACTTTGCGATGATTTATGTTGGTACGATGCAACAGTCACCGATAAATTGGCTGGATATTTGCTTAAAAAAAGAAAAATTGTTTGTCAATAATCATCTTGGAGACATTCTGTTCGCTTACATTTTCTTCTGTGATTTCCATTCGTTGAGGATATTATTCTTGGCACGTTGATAGTAATATAGTTGAAGATCACACCGAACATTAAGGTTTGAAAATGTTTTGTCATTTCCTGGCCGCAAAAAAGCCCAACAAATCGGATACCAACCATCCGAAACTATTTGAAGCAACCAATAAATATGTTAATTCCATTAAACAGTGAATTTTCGGTGAGAATTTCTTTTACAAACAATATTTTCCTATTGAAGGTGGTGGAAAATGTATTTTTCGTACCTAGAATATCCACAATTTCAAAGAAAATAATGACATGATCTCTCTGGATATGTCGTATATCCTCATTTATAAGTAAAACTTCATCGCCCCAATCGCATTCGATTTCACTAGACAAAAACAGAAATAATAAGTCTTTTTAAATAAAAATTCATGGTTAAATTGAATTAATTTGTTTGATACCTTGACACTTTGAATTTACATCTATTGCTCAAAATCGGTTGGATGAATGTAACATTGGTTGGTTCATAGTTTGAAACGGCATTCCGAAGTGGATTACTTTTGTTCAGCAATTCACCATCGTTTAGGTCAAAAAATGATACCCTAACTCGTGGTTGCCTTATCAATGGATCAAATCGTAAAGCGGAACTTTGATGTATCCAAACGCCTAACAAACGGTAAAAAGTGCATAATTATATTTTCGAAACCACAAAAAATGTTAATAACATCATTACCGATAAGTCTTTTAAAATCGTATGTTTCTTGTGTTTCGTGTTTTTTATTCGTGCCCTTACTGTCTTTGTCCCTTTTTTCAATACTGTGACGGGAACGTTTTAATTTTTTCGATTTCGATTTAATTTTTTTCTTTTTTGACTCAATTTTTGAAATTTTTACATTCACTTCACTCTCATCAGGAGTTTTAGTTATTGATACATTATCGTCGGAATCAACAAACGCCTCATTTCTTCGTCCACTTATTTTGTCATCCGAAATTTTTTTAACATTTGTAGACGAACGATTTGACTGATTATGCTCCGAATTGTCTTCTTTTTCATGTTTCTCTTCATATGAGATGAACGATGTGGTCTCTTCATTCGCTTGAATTGACGAAAAACGTTTTTTCGATTTTTTCTCTTTTCCGAACGAAGACAATTCAATGCAATTTTGTCTTCCTGATTTTTGACGCTTTTCCACATTAGAATCAACATCTAAATTGTGTTTATGTACCGTATTTTGTTCATTGACAATTTGAATGGTGTCGTCGCTTGGAAGAGATTGTTTCCATACCAATTGATTACAGTCTTCCTTCAACTCCTTGCTATTTTTACTATTTCTCTTACTTGCAATCGGGGCCAAACTTAATTTCCGTACCGCTGGAATTGGACGATCCAATGATTTCAATTCGGCACTATCGATTTCAGAATTTTCGACCATAAATTTTTTTTTCACTTTTTTACGATTTTCATCATTTTGAATTTCAGTATTAAACTGATTGGAATGAGATGCTTTCAAATTTTCAAGTTCCAACGATTGAATGTCAAGAGATTCGACGTCTTCGGCCTCAAGCAAATTTTCCGTCGATTTATTGTTCATTTTTTTTTTTTTTTTTTCAATTTTGATTAAGTGGTAAGTAGTGTGTATTTCCTGCAATAATTACTTCTAAAACACGAAGTAGGTGTGGAAGCGAGTTACTGAGTTTGCTATGTTGTTTTTTTCCATTATTTATTTTTAGTAAAAAACTCGGTAAAATGAATACTTTTTTCAATTAAATTTACTCATTTTAATTTATTTTATCAATTCAACGGTATGCATCAACATTCTTAAGTTTTCCAATCAACGCCTTTCAACACTTTCTTGCCAGTTTTTTTGCTTTGGTATAGAATTTTTTCAGGCAATGCTGTAAAAAAAGAAAATTACGATTTATTTAACAAAAATCTTTCAAAATTTCGTCAAGTTTGGTTTTTGTTTAACAACGACATTGATGATACAAGTAAGAAAAAGTGCGCTAGTATGTATTCGGAACGCATTTCCATTCAAAAGTGGACAAGGCTCCTCAGTTAAGCGTGTTGAGTGTATGTTGTTTGTTCAAAATTTTAACAGTTCGCTGTAACAGATCTTATTGAAATAGACTATACAAATGAAGTGAACTAAGATGCAGAGTATCCTGATTTGCTGCTGCTCAGCATATAGCTGAGAGCTGAGAAATGCTGAACTCGTGCGGCTAACGCATACGAAACGGATGCACGATACATATTCCCCTTTCGCTTCGTATGTGCTGCCGTTGACGCTATTGCCGGTACAACGGTTACACACTATACCAGCGAACATACGAAGTGAAAGGGGAATATGTATCGTGCATCCGTTTCGTATGCGTTGGACGTACACTTTCAGAATATACGAAAGACTGAGAGCAAAAACAGCACGTCGCATCTCATCTCTTGCTTTCACTTACGTAAGCAAAATAACGAGGGATGCGACGTGATGTTTTTCTCGCAGCTTCTCATATGTCGGTCGCAACACAATTTCAAACTCAACTGGTTACTTAGTTTTGAGTTTTGAATTGAACGTCCAATCAACTGTTTATAACCGTTTAAACGAGAAGAATGCATGTGTGCGTGCCATCCGTTTCGTATGCGTTAGCTGCACGAGTTCAGCATTTCTCAGCTCTCAGCTATATGCTGAGCAGCAGCAAATCAAGATGCTCTGCTAAGATGTTAACTAAAAAAAACTATTGCTTTGAAAAGGTGCGATGCATGCAAATGTATGGAATTCATGAAGTCATTAAGCATATACGATTCACACTGTAAAGACACATAACAGAGAAAATAAATGCTAAGAGTGCAGTCAACGGAGAAGCAATGGAAATATAACCAAAATGTTCTTTCATGAGATACAGCAATTGAAATAATTATCCCAATAATAAATACCATGAAACGGCGGCACTTTATATTGTTTTCCACCCGATTTTCGATCCATCTTCGTACTTTCCACACTGGACATTTTTTTTTGAATTATTATAACGAAATATTTCATATTTGTATTTTCTTTTTCATATAAATGCATCAATTCTGATCAGAGTTTCGAATTTTTCAATGCCAATTCATTCAATTATAATTACCATTAGTTAATGTAAATTGAAATTTTCAATTTATTTTTTTCAATTCATTGAATTGAATTTTCAATTACCATTTACATTCAAATTGATAAATGAATTGAAATTTATTTCAATTGCATGAAGTTGCAGAGATTGATGCCTTATGCGGCATTTGTGCATAGCTAATGTCAAAAGTGAGGTTAATATTTGAATGCGCACATTCAACAATAACGGTTGCTCGTTGCTGTGTCAATAAGTTTAAAAGAAATCGCAGCAATGAAAACAGTTTCAAATTTTAATTTTTTTAATTTGTATATTAATATTAAATTTTAAATATATATACATTTTAATTTACATTCAAAATGTTATTATAAATGAATTGACGGTAAAAAATTGAAAACAATCGAGAGTAGTATTATGGGAGCCAACTAGAATCTCTGCAACTTCACGCAATTGAAATGAATTTCAATTCATTTCTCAATTTGAATGTAAATGGTAATTGAAAATTCAATTTAATGAATTGAAAAAAATAAATTGAAAATTTCAATTTACATTAACTAATGGTAATTGATTTTCAAATAAATGAATTGAAAAAACTAATCATTATTTCAAACTCTGATTCTGATCGTGTAAACAACTTCGATTCCGCAGTGTATTTACTTCTGAAGAACTGGCAACATTTTTAATTTTTTATTTGCAATAATAACAATAAAATGTCTTACATCCGTAAGATGAACTTTTCCGCACTGTGATCCACAACATGCATTTATTACGTATCTTTTACCGTAAATATGAATTCATGAGAAAACTGAATATGATTTAAATTTTGCGATACAAATAATTTTGATAGACTTTTCAATGTCTGTATGATATCGTAATCATGTGAAAATTTGCAGATGTTATTTTCTTCACAAGAAGCTAACATTCTGAAAGTTTGAAGAAATTTTAATACAATTGAGTGGTACCTTCCATACAAAATTTTCGTTTTTGAGCACAAAATCCAAAATTTTGTTCGGGAGGTACCCCTATTATGCATTGAAATGTCTTCAAACTCTCGAAATGGTATTTTCGTGTGATAAAAATAACCTGTGCAAAGTTTCAGCTCATTACGATATCATACAGGCATGGCTTTCATACAAAAATCCAACTTTTTTGAAATTTTTGTATGAAAAGTGTCTCGAAATATATTTGTATCGCAAAACTAACGTCATATTCGGTTTTCTCGTACCCAAAAACCCCCCAATACACATTTTTGAGTGTTTAAGTATACATTAAATATCACTTTTGGAAGAAAAAATGAATTTTTCCCATGGATGGCCATGGGCATCACACCAGACATGACACTTCACTCTGTCAACCAAAGTCGCTCAAAATCTAATGGTTTCTATTCCTCGGCACCCCCAATCATCCTGTGAAGTCAGATTTTGAATTACTTTTCTTGTTTGAAAGTTATCGTGTTAACAAATTTTTGCGTACAGCGTACAGGGTACGCACATACATTCGGACCGATAGTTCACCAGAAAAATATTCACTTCGTGTTGTTTACGTTGTTTCTTTTGACAGATATCAATGTTTGACAAATATATAAACGAACAACCAAGTGTGTAAAGTTTCGCTTTGTCTTGTATTGGGACTCAGAGATGGCGCTCGCAGAATCCGATCGCCTTGAAAGCCGACTTTAAGTGAGACTAGGGTCTAACACGGTCATTATGGTAAAAAATCCTATTTTTACCGTTATTTTGCCTGTATTTTGCACCTTTTATCGTCAAAAAGGCGGGAATGGACCGTGGTAACCATGATGGCTGACCACCGTGGTAAGTGGTTTAAAATGAAAAATTTTGACGATTAAGCCATTTTAACATCATTTAGTTCGTACATCACAGTCCATCGTGGTCTAACACCATTTAACACATTCTCCATCGTGGTTTTACATCATTTAACATGGTAAAAAATGTCAAAACATGATTTAACATGGTTTACGGGGTCGGAAATCATAGTAAAAACTATTAAAACATGATTTACCATGGATTTTGAGGTCGACCATCATGGTAAAAAGTGTCAAAATATGATTCAACATGATTTACGCGGTCGGTCATCATGGTAAAAAATGTCAAAACATGATTTAACACGTTTTACGGAATCGGCCATCATGGTAAAATAATTGGAAATAAATTCCATTGGAATAGGCCCAGTTCCATCATTCGTCCAATGAAAATATAATTGAAAAACAAATTCCTCGAATTTTTTTTTCGAAAAATTTATTTTCAAATGAAAACATTGGAACAACTGTGGAACTGAGCTTATTCCATTGGTTCTGGTCGTATCCAAAGAGTTTCCAGCAAAAAAATAATTAAATAAAAAATGCCCATATGAAAATTATTCTTGCATTTTGAATTTTAAAATATGAAAAATTTAGATTTAGATTTTTGTTATTTTTTTTAATATTGGTAATTTTTTTATTCCGAATTCACAGATCAATATGGGCAGAACTAAAGGTTCAAAAAATAAGAGGTTCGGCCCAGTACCGAAACATTTAAAATTTAGTAGAAATGTTGCGGTAATTTGCGATGAAGATGCTTCTGTGGATAACAAAATAGAGGCGATGGGATGCCCAAAGACAAAACACAAAATGCACGACACCAAAAAATTGTTGGGTGCTAAAATAACGGGAAGGTCGAATAAGTCAAAAGTCGATCCACTTGCAACCAAGTCGGTAACAAGTTTCTAAAATAGAGACCATACACAGCGGAAAAACCACCAAAAGTCCAAATTCGCAAATTGATGTTATCGGAAGAGATCTTGGCTAAATATCCCAACCAAATCTGGTCAAAATACTTGAGCTAAGTTTGCCTCATTCATGATGGGCAAACAAAAAGCCGCCTTTATATGCCATTTTCATCGTATAATTTGTTTTATTGTGCTGCGTATAAGGACAACAAGCGGTTGATCCAACGGCGGCAGAGTCGTCTCCGTCGAATCAAGATCCATAAGAAATATCAATATTACTTGAGACAGCCGGTATTAGGACGGAAGGGGTGCTACACCAACACGAAAAAGCGCATGCAGCGTATTCCGATTTTGCCGAAAAAAATGAGTGAATATGAAGAAATGGAGGAGGTCCACATGATAGATCCGATGTTCAAGCACAAAAATGACATCGTACGTGCCAAACCTTATTTTGTGGAATATATTACTTACTGCCGCCGAAATAATTTGCTTTTTGTCGAAGGCATTGGGAAGCACGTGCTGATTCGCCTGATTCGCTTCAAGCGCATCCTGAACATCATGGAATTAAAAATGTTAAAAATACGTGAAATATTAACAACATGTATAGATTTACATTTTGCTGTAACACATTACAATTGTAACGAAGCATTACTGTAATGCTATTACAATTGTAATGTTAGATTTTTAGCAATATCTAATAATATCTAATACAATTATAGTAACTCGTAATGCTTCGTTACAATAATAATGCGTTACCCAGCGTTACCGGTAATGCTAGAAATC